AGATGCTGTCCAAGTGAAAGAGCCCGGGTGCATAAAACCAAGGGGTCTTTATTACACAATTTAAGCTAACAACCAACCGCTCATGGATTTTGATTTTTCTTAAACCTTCAGTGCTGATTTGAGATATTATTATTTTCCCTGACAGATGTACTGGTCATTTATCACTGGCATGCTGATGAACCTTGAGAGCCTTCCGTTGGAGCGAATCCACTCCATGCTCAAGATGTTTGCCATCCAGGGCCCTTCCACGACGGAGTTCACCGAGAACGAGCTCCGACATCTTCTAGAGACAAAGGTCAGGGAACAGCAGCTTGTCTACTCGGCAGGGACCTATCGCCTTCCTCAACAAAGGTAGAACCGGTTTCTGAAGGACTTTGAACAAAGTTTTGATTATCCAAGGGCTTTCCCGGATAGAGTTTACGGAGTATGAGCTCCAACATCTTCTAGAGACCAAGGTTAGGGAACAGCAGCTTATTTACTCGGCCAGGACCTATCGCCTACCAAAACAAAGGTAGAATAGGTCTCTAAAGAACTTAAAGGAAAGTTTTGATGTTCCAAGGGCTTTCCCGGATAGAGTGTGCAGAGAATGAGTTCCAACATCTTGTAGATTGGGTTTAGGAAACGACAGCTTCTTCTTCTAGAGACCAAGGTTAGAGAACAGCAGCTTATCTACTCGGCAGGGACCAATCCCCTTCCTCAGCAAAGATAGAACAGATCTCTGAATGCCTTTGGAGAAAGGCTGGATGTTCCAGGGGCTTTCTCGGACAGAGTTTACTGAGAACGAGTTCCGACATCTTCTAGAGACAAAGGTCAGGGAACAGCAGCTTATCTAATCGGCAGGGACCTATCGCCTACCACAACAAAGGTAGAATTGGTTTTGAAGGACTTTGCAGACAGTTTCGATGTTCGATATGGCTTTCCCAGATATACAGAGAATAAGCTCCAACATCTTGTAGACAGTGCTTAGGAAACACCAGCTTATTCTTCTAGAGACAAGGTTAGGGAACAGCAGCGTATTTACTCTGCAGGGACCTATCGCCTTCCTCAGCAAAGGTAGAGTAGGTCTCTGAAGGATTTCGAAGATGTTTGCCATCCAGGGCCCTTCCACGACAGAGTTCACCGAGAATAAGCTCCAACATCTTGGAGACTGGGTTTAGGAAACAGCAGCTTGTTTCCTCAAATGGGACCTATCGCCTTCCTCAGCAAAGGTAGAACCGGTTTCTAAAGGACTTTGAAGAAGTTTTGATGTTCCAAGGGCTTCCCCAGATATTATTGACAGAGAATGAGCTCCACCATCTTGTGAACTGAGTTTCAGAAACAGCAGCTCATCGACTCAGTTGGGACCTATCGCATTCCTCAACAAAGGAAGAACAGGTCTGTGTAGAAGATGTATCCAGTACCAATTGGTTTGTAACAAAGACAAGCTAAAGCATATCTAAGACACTACAGTCCGAGAACTGCAGCCCTTCTGCTTGACTGGGACCTAGTGCTTCAATCAAGACAGAACTGATATTTCAAGGAATATAGGTAATTTCTCAAATTCATTTCATTGGCCTACCTGCAGTACCAAACATAGGACACTCATAAGAACTATGCCTTCACTTTGACGACCACCAGCAAAATGAGGACGCCCCTGTTCCGAGAACTCTGTAAATACACCCTTTAACGGTTACAAGAGTACGCATGCGCTGACATGGGCGCCATTTCTAATTACGAGTAATTAACAAATACTCGTAATTAAAAATGGCGCCCATGTCAATATGATTTCATCGCACAGCACAGGCAGTGACGCAATAATACATGCGCATCTGAAAACACTGATGACGCAATGATTACGCGCATATTAAAATGGCGGCCTTAACTGTGAAAGGGTGCATAGTTTAAAATTTGATGCACTTTCACATAGGGGTACCGGTAGGTTTATTTAGGTGTTCCATTTGGATGGAGAAAGTAGGTCCTCGGTTTATATGCTGTGAATTTCCAGATCGTCCTCGGGATGTTTTAATGCCTTCAAACATTTGGCTTTGAATATCTAATAACGCACACCCCATCGCAGCTCTAACTATTTGGACTTCATTTGTCGCCATTGTAATAGAAACTGTAATAAGGTGTATATATTGAATAAAATTATACATATGAACTTTGTAGATTACTTGTCAGTTAGTCTTTTATTATGGACTGAATTTCCTTATGTTAGATTTCTTGTCAAGATGGCAGTACAGTACTCTGGATTCAAACCCCATACCTAGTGGTTCATAATCCGGAGACTTATCCACCGGACCACATCATCTTTACTAGTCTATGTGCAAGTTTTATGCATTCATTTCAAACACAACACAGCTTGTCAATAGATGGATATAATGAATTTATTTTATAATAGCCAAGTATGCGAGATTGAAGGAAATACATGTACTTTACTAGATGCAAAATATAACTCTCCAAAAGGATTTCATTGAGAAGTAGATTTCATCTGTTGAGTAAGAGCCAGAAAGGTGTTAACTCATATACTGTAATACAGAGTTAATGCCTTTCTGGCACTTCGCCCTTTCAGGATAGGATTTATTAACAAGGCTAAATTGATCACATATTCTTCAAATTGGCAACAATAATATTTTTTCTTCTATTGCTACATGTACATCGTTAAAATAAGGTTTAATCTCTCTGAAAACAATATACATGGGCTAGGATGTTGTCGAAAAGTTAAAAATATGCCTACATGTAATTTTGATTGAAAAACAATCATTTCTAATCGCTAAAGGCTTTGCCAATTTAAGGATTTCAAACTTTATTTTCTTTTCGAAAATTCTTGACAAGAATGCAAGATATTCATGAAACAAAAATGGATGCAGTATGTGCACAAAATTTTGCCTTTTCTACTCGTGCATTTGGCATATTTTTGAAGGCTCTGATTCAAAAGTTATTGAGTCACATCACAACATGTGGCATGATTGTACATGCAGTAAGAAATGCCTTTTGAAGAATTAAATTTGCATAAAGAATATATAAAAAATAGAGTTTAACAGTTTGATACATCTAAGTGAAAACTACATGAATGTATAATGTTGGCTGTATGTACAATACATGTACATGTAAGGCCTTTAAAAAAAATGTTATATTGCCCTTACGGTGCCAAAACATGGGTCAGTCGGTCAGATTTTTTTTCTTCCCTCTTTGGGCTGGTATTTCTCAATTTTGAATATTTTTTTTTTTTAATATCTTTTCATTCTAAAAAAACGGTTAAAAAAAAACTGTTTTAAAAAGCCGACCATATATTTCAAGATTTTTGGGCCAGTCACAAAGGGCAATACAACATCTTATTTTTAGGCCTAATTATATGAAAGACTCTATTACAATTTTATTAAATATGAAAATATACATCATTTGCGATCTCTTTTTGAAAAAAAAGAGAGAATAGTGTCACCTTAAAAATCATAATTAAATCGAGGCACCTTGTGAGTTGATTCCAGTAACTTATGTTGTTCCCAAAGGAGGAATAACTGGCTGGTAAAGTCACATTGGACTACTATGTTCAAGTGTAATTCACATCTCTTAAAAATTTCAAAGAATATATAAATTTTATTCTAAAAGTATATAAAAATGATATTTTGAAAATAGTTAAAGATAACTTTTGCTACATAAAATTGTAAATGTAGGCCATTAATTATGACCTTGCATTTCTTTGTGCGTTTGCAGCATTCTTAAAAAACAAATGAAAAACAAAATTCCTTTTTTTTTATATCAAATTAGAAATTATCATACGAGCAATGTCAGAACTTTCTGTGGCAAGATTATTTAAATTTTTGTAATGATTTCTTTTTCTTTCCTCTTTCAAATTTTAAATAAACAGTATGATTTCCATGTTTGATTTCAGGCTACATCATTATCATTTTAATTATATCAATTTCACCAAGCCATAATTCTAATAATTTCACTGTTTAGGAAAATACAGCACAATTTAAGAACACCATCAAAATGAACAGGAAATAAAATATAGAGTTATTAACTTAAATCTCAAGTATGCCAAATTGTAAATTCATATAAGATTACACTTATGAATACAAAACTAAGACTCTCACAATGCTTAATGAGTCTGACAACAAGGAATACAAAATGCCAATGCCATCTGTAGGCATATACCACGATCAAATTTTTAAAAAATCCAAGAAGCATAAATTTAACTACCGATAGTTGAAATATATTAAATGCTATATTTATGTGATTAATACAGTTATTTTGAGCTAAAAAAACTCTTTGTCAAATATAATTTATTTGCCCTTTTACACGAGCCTGTTGAAAACTTTAAAAATTCTATACAATCCTCAATTTTGACTGGCTGTTTTTGATAGCTCGAATGGTTTTATACAGTTATAGCAAAACAAGTATATATGCTAATTGATTTCACTGGTGAAAATAAGTTAATTGGAACTGTGCTCTTGAAGATTTGTTCACATTCAATTCTTTTAAGGTACTAGAAAGTTTTGGTATGGGGTCATGAATTTGGTTCAAATGAACATATTGGAAGCATATGCAATCCTACAATATTCAGTGATCGTTGTCGCGGTTGAAAGTAAGTCTAAAGTTATGAAATTGTCAATATTAAACTCTTTATGTTGTATAGCTCTCTCTCAAGGTCAAGATATTAGTTAAGCTATAAAACAATGTTTCTTGACTAAAATCGACCGATTAAGCTATGGTCACAAAGGCTCGAATGAATCTCCCTGTTTTTCCATTGTTTTCCCGACTTTTCGTACAGCGTTCGTAGCAGTTCGTAATGGCATTTGTGACCGAGGCTTTAGCTATTCCCGTTTGAAAATCATATATCGCAACTACATATTCTGAGATTTTCATGGTCGCAGCTACCATTTTACGGCCGTAGGCGGTATTAGAAATTTATCAAAATTTACCGGGGAGCACCAGTAAATTTTTATATTCAATTTTTCTCGAAAGCAGAAGTGTTTTAAAGGGCTAAATTTTCTAGTGCTTAAAATACATCCACAGGGGCATCCAAATATATCAAAATTGTAAAGAATCACTATACAGCCAATTTTCAAAATCTCCCAAAACTTAGTATTACCTTTAAGGTTAAAAAACAGGGAGTACAAATGTGATTTTCTACGAGTGTCGTAGGCTGTAGAATGATGTTCTAGGGGGGTGGTCGGTTCAGCTGTCGCACCCAACCGCTCCTCTGGCGGATGTTCTCGATGGCGTCTGGGTCGTGGCACTCACACCCCTCGCCACAGTTTTCGGGGAAGGTGATGACTTCGCCCGTCGGGGCTGTAGAGGGGCAACAAGCCCCACTATCCCAAAGGCAGTAGGCCCTGTTGTTTCTCCACTCACATTCGTCGTCACCGATGAAATACTAAGGAGATGAGGAAATTGGAAGAGGAACTTTTTTAATTTTTTTCAGTAGAATCAAAATCTTTGGGATTCTCACTCTCCATGAGGTGTCATCAGCAGAGGGAGAATGGCATATACACGCAGTGAAACCTGTGTATAAAGACCAGTAGCAAGAGACTAGATAAAGGGTATTTATAGGCAGGTGGTCTTTATGTACAGGTTTTCTTGACTAAAAAAATGTGGTCTTTATGATCAGGTGGCCTTTATGATAAGCTGGCCTTTCTGAACAGGTGGTCGCTATTAAAGCAGGTATGACTGTATATCAGTTCATTACTTGAGCTGAATATTCTGCAGTAGCATATGGTATCCAGAAATTTAATGAAAGTAGAAGCATGAAACACCAGTCTGCTTCTCTAGTGTTTCTTTTTCCTAGTAGTTGTCTATAAAGGTTGGATTTCCTTTAATTACTGTGTATATGAAACACATTTTGTAAGATCCCGGGAAGATAGTAAACAAACTTCTAAGGATTGGAATAGGAAAACTATCACATGGACATGATGACTAGTACACGTTTATGATCAAGAAGACAAGTTCAAAGGCCATTAGTTTTGTTTTCAGTCAATGGTCAGAGACAAAAAGTAAGATATTTTGTTAATGCTAATGGACTATAGTCGATTAGAAAAATAATGACTGATGATTCAATAATGGTGTCACATAGAGAGAGAGAGAGAGAGAGAGGAAAGAGACAGAGTAAGAGAGAAAAAGAATAGTAAGTGGATTGAGAGACAGGGATGGAGAAAGAGAGAGAGAGGGAGAGAGAGAAAAGAGAGAAAGTGAGGGAGAAAGAAAGAGAGCGAGAAAGAAAGAGAGAAAGAGAGAGAGAAGGAAATGGAGAGGTCCACTACATGTATTACATATCAGTAAGGGTCACTCCATTGTACTCTATTTCACAAGTGACCTTGATACAAATCTTTTGCTGTAGCAGATTCACATTAACTCACCTCCAAGCATTTTTCATGACATACTATCTGGTCGAGGTTGGGGTACCAGACACCACCGGCCGTGCACAGGATGACCTCATGCCTTCCCAGCAGCCCCCGCTCTCTGTAGTTAGCGCCCTCCAAGGCAATCTGGTATGTACGACCCAATCGGCACTTGGCCTTGCAGATAGCCCCTATGAATAATTGATAAGACGATGAGGTAGAAATTGAGTTAGAGAGGGAGCACACATCAATTAATAAAGACTAATTTATATGCATTTAAAGGTATAGACCAGTTTTGGAAACGCCCCCCTCTCATAAAATGAAATGGAAGCTGTTATTACTAATCGTGTGAAAGAAAATGTTTTGATTAATAAGTGATGATACAAATTTTGCCAGGAAACCGCCTACTAATTGATATATTTGGTAAATTATCATATCTACCGGCCTGGATAGATATCGCATAGTCTCATATACATCATTCTGTGTTCAGTGCTTGTAACTTTACCAAGACTGGGCCAAATTTCTTATCATTTTGATGATTCCAGAACCTTGCAGTACACACCAATACTTATATGCTAGATGATCAACCTTTTCTGATCGATTCCACGATGTTTCTTTCACAATGCAATCGCATCACCAGAACTGGTCTATACCTTGAAACCATGATGTGACATTTTCATTTGGTAAGTTCACATCTAAGTAAGAAGTGTTGAAATAAGTGAAAGAGAAAAAAATGGGAAATAATACTTGTGATATATCATGAATCATAATAACAAGTTGATTTGTGGCATACATTCATTTGCATTAAATATTTATTGGGTCCTACATATATGGATACAAAATAGATAATCCCACACACATTAACAATCGACAGTCATGCTGGTCTACACCAATGATATATGACAGTAATCATTTTCCTCATTATTCTAGAAAGAATAGTAAAGGATATGAGTGGGTTGATGAGAACAATGCCAGGGGAAATGAAAGAGAATGACAGTATAGATAGAGAAGTGAGGGAATGGACAAAGAAAGAATAATAAGGATTGAGAAACAGGAGCAAGTTTGACTACCTGCGCCGTGCCCTTGTGGGCAGTCAACGATGACATCAGAGGGTGGTAGTGGTTCAGGGCAGGTGATTGATGGATCACAAGGGGTGAACTCTTGGTCCCACTCACCGTCTTTGGTGCAGGTAATGGTGCTCGGAACCTGGTAATTAAGAAACAATTGACAATATCGGTGTTATTACTACAGAGGTGTTGTGGTTTCGTGGATACGTCACCAGAATGTGGATCACATGGTTCGTGGTTCAAGTCCTGCTACAACACTAATAGCAAAATAATGTCCTTTGGCTTTGGCAAAACATTTAATCTGCATCTGTCACTCTCTGCCCAGGTGTATAGTGATGGGTATGGGGCAGAAATGTATTCCTGAATGCTTTTAGCAACTCAGGGCAGCTGGGCTACTATAAAAGCTAGAGTAATAAACTACTTTGTAAGAGCCTCGAGGCTTGAGCATCCCCTGGGATGCACCTGGCAATTACTGGGGTACTAATAAATGCAGGGTAAACAAAACTATGGTCATTATTTTAATTATTATTATCATTATTAACATCATTGTAAATATAATAATTAATATTTTATTTAATTATTATTATCATTTTCAATATTATTATTAGTTTCAATACTTTTATTATTATTTTCAATATTATTATTATTTTTGACATAATCATTATTTTCAATATTATAATCATTATTTTCAATATCATCATTATTTTCAATATCATTATCATTATTTTCAATATCATCATTATTGTCAATATCATCATTATTTTCAATATTATTATTATTTGTATTCTTCTTCTTCTTCTTCTTCTTCTCATTATCATATGATTATTCTTATCACCATAATCATTGCTAAAGCAGATTGAGAGTGCATGAGCATGGTTCACTACTCTAGAAAGAATAGTTAAGAATGTAGAGTTATATATACTAGCAAGATAGCCTTCTTTCTTACCACACATTTCTATCAAATATTTACCACATTTTCACCGGGGCAGTACAGTGTACATTGGCTCTTGTAGTTGAAATCGTTGGTGCAGTTGAAGAGTCCGTAATGGAGCAAGCTAAGTGGCGGGCAGGTCACCTGTTCACATCCGTGCCCAATCCACGTCGCGTTCTCGCTGCACTGGTAGCGAGCAACCCGCGATGGTCTACAGCAGTTAGTATAGGATGAGTGAAAAATGAATCTTTTAAGGCCCACTGTACTACTTGTAGCTACTTGCTCCCTCTATACAGAAAACAATGCCTAATCGGTGACCATTGGTCCCCCATGATCCACTTTTTCTTATGTTAATTGAGAGCTAATGTGGTAAGATAACCATTTGTCAGTGACCACGCTGGGAGGTCTAATCCCTCCTAGCCAAACTAGTGCAGACAGGCTTTAAACAGCCTGTAACTATTTCATACTAAATATATTTTATGTATATTTGTCGGGATATTTGTTATCTGTTTTTCTATATTCTTTTTTTAATCTACCGGTATTCTAAATATGATATATGGTTTAAATTTACATATTCATTATGTTTCATTGTGGAGCGCCAGGGTGGTCAAGTCTGACATGTTATTATGAGCTCTGTATTAGAACCCACTATTTTCACCATTATTATTATGTGCATTATGTTCACGTTTCACATGTTTGATATAGTTCACACAACTAAGCATTATACATTTCTATCCATGGACCATAAATGTTGATTAAGCACAGACTTTATACGGCAGCATTTATTCGGTGCCATATGTCTGGGATTCTTTAAGGACTTTCCAAGGCGCAGCTGAAGTCAATATGTTCATATTTATTGCCGAAATGGAAGGGTTTTGAGGCATGATGTAAAGTTAGTGTCCTAAAGATTGGCAATATCAGTTTACTGGCGCTTTATCTTGCAGTAAAACTGAAAGATGAAAATATAGACAAAACAACATATGACTTACCGGCCCTTCTTATAAACAGACGTGAATCCAGCCTTGCACCTGAATTTACAGGTGCTGCCGACATTGTGGCCATCGCTTCTGCAGTCTTGGCTCTGTAGCATGGCATGGGGTGGGGTGGGTGGGGCATCGCACAATACCTGACAAAACGACTGGGCAAGTGAGAATAAGCCGTCTTCCTCACATCGTAGGGTGTTATCCGTGCCTGATTAAAAAAGTTACCATATTATGTTTGGTTGTTTAATAAGGTGAAGAGGGCATAAGATTTGGAGTAAATTTGATCAAATTATCCAGGTGAGTTGGTTCAGTTGGTAAAGCGTCTTCCTGTCGAACCAAAGATTATGTAGGTTCAAATCTAAGTTCTAACCCAAATTATGGAAAAGCCTTTCTCCTCTTCTCCAAAATGCTCCATCCCCTCACATTTTTAAAACTATATATAAAAAAACACTTAATCAAATCCTCTAAGCAATTAAACAAATTATATTCATGATTTCGTTTTGTAGTAATTATTCCTATTCGTATTCTTATAATGTAGGCCTATATGAAACATTGGAACTTTGGTGCTGTTGTCCTATAGCTCTATATTGGGTAGAAATAAAAAAAAAAGTAACCGTGCCAGCGGTGGGATGCAAATCCACATCATCAAAATGAAAGTGGCGTTGCCGAATGCTTCTGTCTACATGGGTGCACAGTTAAAGTTAGTCTTCTATGTATACGATATAAAGACAACAGCACCATGACACCTAGAAACATAGTATTAGGCGCGTTAAATCTTATCATCATTAATATTATTATACAGGCATGACCCACAAAATAATATTACCTTGCAACTTTGCGGGTGGGATGCATTTAAAGGTGCACTCGCTACCATACCGCGTCCCAGTCGGGCAGGCGGCCGTAGCCAGACTAGAGTCGAGCTGAGGCATCCCGCAATCCACCGCCTTACACATAATCGGAGGTCCCTCCCAACTTCCGGCAATATTCTGGAGCTTTATTTTGCAGTAAAATTGAATGAAAAAAAAGTGAGACATTGATATTCACGTACGAGGAGGCGCGATGGCTCAGTGGTTGATCAGTGTTCTTGTAACCGGAAGGTCCCAGGTTCGAAACCTAGTCGATGGGCTACTTTAATTGGGTAAGACATTAATCCTCATTATAAAGTCCCTCGGAAAAGACTTAAACTCATCAATTCCCTGGCTACTTCAATCTTACACCTTTGCTTTCTTAGCCGTCAGATAAAACAAACTACCAAACAAAACCAAACAAGAATTCTTTTCAAGATATCCCCTAATTTTTGTCAATAGGCTTGGATTTGAGGCCTCATTTCAGAGTGTTATTTAAAACGGATTTGAAAAGAGAAAATATCCCGCCTGATATTTTGGGTCTAGCTAGCATTTCCAGTGCACCCTTTTCATAAGAAATTATAATTTAAACTTATATAAACAGTCTTTATGCATGACACAGAAAGTGCTTTTAATGGATATATGCCGTTATAATTATATTTATCAAAGAGATGTTTATTGCTACGAATAGATTAAAAGTAAAACTTTAAAAAACATAAGTACACTGATATGAATAAATAAAAACAAGAGATTTATTTAAGCTTTTTAAGTTATTTAAGCTTTGCCCCTGACTTTTGAAAACCATTAATGTTGTGTGTGGGGAAATTAAATTTTTATATAGGCCAGTATATATTGCTTCTAGTAATATGAGAAAAAAACTCTTCTTACCTCAATCGGTTTAGTCGGTCTGTATCCCGACATGCACTGCACCTTACAGGTGTCGCCATCCAGGAGTCCAATACAAGTCACATTTGCGTTCCGAATACTCGGTTTCTCCGCAACCGGTCTGTCGCATTGATAGTTCATGCACTGTCCCAATTTCGGATTGAAAACCTGGTTTCCCTGACAAGTTGATAGCGCTATAGGATTCAAATAATCGAACGATCGAAGCCGGATACCTGAAATAGCGATTTGCGGTGTGGATAACCATATCTTAATGAATTGTGTGTATGCAAACGGTTTGCTCAGGTCATGGCTGATGTCGAAGGAAATCTGGTTCGGATCACAAGTGACCGGGACATAGTCGGTTCGTTGAATGCGAGATAATCCTGTCGGATCGAGAAGTTCAACGGATATCCGAGGATGTGATTGGTCAAAATCGAAAGAGCTGACTCCTGCGATGTGGACTATGACGGATGTTGCAATAACTGGACTCTGGAATCCGAGCTATATATTGGGAGATAAAAAGTTGTCTATACATTTATCTGCAACAAAATTATCATGCATGGATGTGGAAAATAGAATGTAGGGACATTTTATTATAGTCTGACTTATTAAATCCCTTTAATTCCTTTTTGGTTTTCTGAATAAATCGGAGATGTTTGTTTACTACAAAGATACTCAAAAACCCCTAAACAGGCGACAATACAGCGAGTTATATACAGATTATTATATTTTAAAAACATTACCTTATTGTATTATTCATTCATCCTTATACATTTTTGGTTTGTAGCCGTTACCTTCAGCCAATAATCTGTTGAATTTTCGCGCCCTTCTCCGCACGGATACCACGCATCATCTGACGTCAGCTGTTGGATGCACTCCTGAAAAGGAAATGAATGAGATGCGGTTTGGCACTTTGTATAATCTAATATACGATCACTGGGATACTACTAATACTAGTCTAAATAATAATAATAATAAATGATGATGATAATGATGATGATGATAATAATAAACCGTTCTCGTATAGTGCATATCACATTATGATATATAATGTCTCTATGTGCTTCTATGAGTTCCGGCAGTCGTAATCAGCGCACAGTGCATGTCAAGGAATAAATCCTGTCAGGTATTAACACCTGGGTGGAGAGTGGCAAATATTGATTTCTCCTACTGGAAGGCATACAATGTCCCGTGATTAAAGTCGTATATCATTACGAATACTGTCTTACTTTCTTTGGTGGTCACCTCTCTATAAGGACCACCTGTCTACAGTGGTCAACAATATCGCCTGCCTCTTGAAGGAAACATGACATTGTGTTGAAGAAAATGTAAAGAAAGGCCACCAGACTACAGAAGTTGGCCTTAATAGACAGGATTGACTGTATTCGGAAATTCAAAAAGAAATGCGTTCACATCTACCGCTGATAACTTTTTTCCACAAAGTTGAGTAGAGACTGATTATTTAGGTGTGAAGGGAATTATGATACAAACTGAAGTTTTGAACTAACCCGGCCGTGTCTTGGTTGCCCGAGTAGTGGTGCCACGGGGCAATCTGGAGTCTGGTAGATCGGGTTAGCCTTGGCGCTAGTAGCCCACTGGTCTGTGTAACCGGGTGGGGTATAGAACCCACAATCTAACTCGCTGGTCGTCCGCTCAAACTCCTCGCACACGCCGTCTCCAAGGTAGCGACGACACCGGCTTGGTTCCCCTTCGAGAGAGGTGAAAAAAGATTACCATAAAATTCATTCTCAATTTTCTGGTGCAGTTTCAGGAAAAACACTACAAAAAGAGAAATAATGTTTATACAGCGGGTTTTTCGATAATTGGATATGAAGGACAATACTGAAATAACCTTTTCAAACTATTCTTTCAAAACATCTGAAATGATGCAATCCTATTTTTAGGACTTCCCCGTCCTTCAAAAATAATCTGAAACCTGTATTGTTTTTACATACACGGTAAGAGTAATAGTTTTCTTTAATAATATAAACAACAAAAAACTATAAAAACAAAAAAAGCCTGATATCCTAACCGTCTGAAGATCAGGTATTGAAAGCGTTAATTTGCAGGACATTGCTCTATTTCAATAGGTAATTGACGTCTTTATTTCATAGACAAAGGAGGTCAACTTTAAGGTGCACCCAGACAGAAGCATTCGGCAACGCCATTTTCAATTTGATGATGTAGATTTGCATCCCACCGCTGCCACCGTTATAAGGAAAATAGAGTACAGAAGTGCTAATGTTACATTCGCTCGCCATCCGGTTAATGGTTCTAATCAATAGAGCCTGCGCATGAGGTGCGCCGCGAAACCATTCAAGCAGCCGACCGGAGCCGGGCATTTTCAGTGTTTAGCGCCTGTGTGATCACCACTCTATTAACTGTTTACACAAAATTGTTTGGAACCAGCAACCTTGACAACTTTACCATAAGTGGTATGGTATGGTATGATATACATACCAAATACGCGTTATATCTGGCGAGTTCAGCAAAGAGGATAACTTGTCAGAGTAGGACATAATGGTGCACTTTAATATTTTTATTATAATATTTTAGTTATTTCTTCTTTTGGGGCGTTTATCCGAATGAACCAATTATTATTCTATATACCTCACATGAAACAATAATGTATGATTTCAAAACGATTAATGCTGACGAATAGGCCTACTCATCTTTGGATTCAAAACTTAAAATGGCTGAATTCCAAAAGACCCTCGACAGGTCACTTTGACTGAATGTTACAGCTGAACATGGCTCTCCATTCGCGTATTTACCCAATTGTTATGTTGTTTTTAAAAGAAAATATGTAAATGAATAACTCAAATGGCTCATTTTCCTACCTTCACAAATGAAATTCCTTTCCAGATGGCACAGTTTGTCGCAACCATCACCATCGATATGGTTACCATCATCGCATTCCTCGCTACTATCCGGAAACCTGCAAAAAGAAGCAAAAGATCAATTTTCTGACTTAATCATGTTAATCCTCTCGCTTTTTAACCCCCTTTTGTTCTCTAAGATGACGGCCGCTTCGGCCTCTTCAAACTACCTAGCTGCTGCGTTATCAGTACTGCCACAACACTAACGTCTTTTGGCTAGACGTTAATCTATATCTACCGCATTCCGGGGCCGCACTCCACCCAGGTGAGGTATATGGCTCTTTGGAAGCGCATAGAGACGTTAACACATAATGTGTTATGTGCTATATAAGAACGAAATATTATTACCTCTCTGTTCTTCCGTTGCCGCAGAACGGCTGTCCTCTCTGGTACCTAGCCGGTGGTGACGGGAGGCCGCTCAGCTCCCCTGATATGGCTTGGATGCGGTACGAATAGTCAACTTCATCTTCTATCCCCCTGCAGAAAGTACAGCATACAGAACATATTTTAATTGACTGATTTGATATAAATTATCTAAGTAACAAATAGTTTTCATTTAAAGATGTATGTATTGGGTGCCTATTATCGCCGAATTTAAACAAAAAAATGGATTCGTTACTTTAAAAACTCGGTCGAATTTACACGGGGTATTTAATAACTCTTTTGAGGCATTACCGAGGTAAGCAAATTCTGTTTGAAATTGTACTATTTTTGAAATATTAATCATCTCATGTATAATCCCATTTGAAATAAGTATCGTATCTGCACATTGTATGATTTATGTTCATAATGTTACGCCCTGCTTTTGCAAATCCATTGACCTGGGCCATTATGCTATAATATTGTGATATATATATTTGTATATTTTGTACCACTGTCTATTTTCATTATCAAATAAACACTCACATCTAGAATTAATATATTTATGTTATTATTGGTAAAGATGATCATGTCCGAATAAACTATACCAATCAATATGAAAATGAATCACTGCTTTATAAAGCATATTGAAAATATGTTGTCGGGACATTGAAATGTTCAATTCAGGTTTATGAATATTATGCATCAATAGTATAACCCCCAAAAGCTAAGTAAATTAAATATTGTATTGTACGTGCAAATGACCACTGGTTATCAACATCATGTAAACGAACCTGTCTTCAAACCACGTGTTCTCAACAACAACAATGACGTCATCGTCGCTTTCAAAGGGAGGATCCCTAATGACACGGTAGCGATGGGGCGTGCACGCTTGGCAGGCGGGCGCGTACGGGGCGGAGACGACCTGTACGGCGTCGATGATGGTGTATAAGCCGCTGACATCGATCGTGATGCCGACCAGGTGTTTGTCGGTGAAGAGCCGGGACGTGAAAGGGATGTCGCAGTCCACGGAAACGGGGCCGAGCGATTCTTGCGAATTGTCTGGTTTTATGAGAAGAAACAAATAGAGCAAAGGGTGGAGATCAAAATACATAATTTTCATAGAACAGTATTCGATATTGTCGCCTCTATTTTGGCTTGTTTATTAAATGGTATAGAATGTCATTCGATTTAATCTGGTTTAATAGGATAAATATATCATCATGAAGTTCTCTGTTGACATCTTGCACATTTTACTTACCATCGTACCGAAGGATGACGTCACGGATTGCGTCACGAGAGCGGTGAACATAGCTGGCCCAGATGGAGAGTCGAGCTGGAATGACATGGTGCTCGAACTCGAGATCGAGATTGCAATCGCTGCAGACAGCGCTACCCGACGTGAACGCCATCCAGCCTTGCTGGTTTACATCACATTGCTTTGCATCAGGTGGGCCTGGCGGTAGTTAATGACATTTTAAGATTTGTTTTATCAACAAAGATTCAGTTTCAGAATCAGATTTAGATTATTGATGGCTCCATATTGTAAAAACAAAACAAAACCAACAAATAACGAAGCAGAATCGCCTCTACTAGCATTACAAACAATATACAAAACAAATACTATCGATATTATAATAACAAGTAGAATACATACCTCATAATAAACATAAATACTCAAATACAGAAGGCGACGAAAAAAGATGAGGAAATAAGAGACAGAGAAAACAGGGGCTCGTTATTCTCTTGAAATTGAACACGATTGCGTCGGCAAAGTTTAATCAGTAACTATATTAGTTAAAGGGAATGTAGTACGACGAGACTACGTGTCTTTCCCGCGGCCTGACTCGGGGCCAATCGGGTATAGTACGACTACGGACGACATGACCGCAGCATTCACGTGTGCGCAACATACGCGAAACCGAAGCGTGAGCAGTTGTCCAAAAGAAGACATAGACGGTGTTAACCAGTATTTGCCAAGCTATATTCCCTTTAACTTCAATTTGTCTTTAGAAGGAATATACGAAGGTGTATAATTACCCGTTGCTTGCGTCAACCTCCCTTTCTTAGCGGACGTTGCCCTGGACGCGTACTGGACGAAGGCGTTCTCCGCCGTGCACTCTGAGCACCGTGACTCGTTCTCGCCATGGTACCCGTTCAAGGGCGGTAACCAGGCGATCGTCACCCCGCCCTCTGGACCCTCCTCCATGACCCTGGGAGGGAGGGGTACGGTGCCGGGGGTTGGGGAAGGGTCCCATGAGGGGTACATGAGGTCGATGTAGCAGTGCATGCGGGAAGCCTGCTGAGGGGTAAAGTGACTGGTACATGAGGAATCTGAAAAGGGGTACAAAATAAAGGAGTGGTAGAAAAAAATGGGTGCAAAATAAAGGAGTGGTAGAATAAGAGGGATGCAAAATAAAGGGGTGTAAAAATAAAGGAGTGGTTGAAAACAAGAACTTAATACAGTCATGTACCATAAATATGTCATGTATCATAATACAGTAAATCTCGAGATTCAGATTCGAGAAGGTTATATGCGTATCGACCGAAAGATATTTTTCATATACATGTATATCAAGTGGTACGAGATTGTTGTGCTTAGGTGTTTTTTTTCTCGATGCAAATTGACTTATTCTGTACGATGATTTCAAGTATATTCCGATCGTTTGTGTATCATGTCAAATATATTTTAAAAAATCTCCGCAAGAAATGCCGTAATACCTGTTTATATTTTGCTCACTTAGTAGGCAAATCGTCTCAACTATAATGGAAATCTCTTTGTTTTCCTTTTTCTAATTTTTATAGCACTCGTGTTGTCTTCTTGTTCAGATATTATGATTTAAACTAGAAATACATTAAGATATACATTAACAAGTTTTAGATGGCTCTTCAAACCTGAATAGCTCATGTAATTCCTAAAGGGTGTATCAATAAACGCCCTCCATCGTTCTTCGTCTCCGCACGTCCCGTCTCGACTCTCCGCCGAAGTAGGATCTCGACAGTGATGGTTTGTCGGCGTCGGGTTGGTGTCTTCGACGAGATCGCCGCTCTCCAGCGAGGCAGCGAGCTCGTAGCACTCATCGGTGCAGCTCATCTCCGAGACGCCGTGGTGAACGTGGAGCAAGCCGAGAGCGTGGCCCATCTCGTGGATGAGCGAGTTATTGGTGAGACGAGCACCACCTTGGATGACGACGCCGCCTGGAAAGTTATGAGAGAGAAAATGTTCGACTTAGCATCTAAACTGGGGTCGGATGCCCATCAGATTCATTGGCTTGATCTAAATGCGGATGAATTAAGCTCTCCGTAAACTATACTACCCTACTGCGTCCCGATTTTTGAAAGAAATGGTAAATAGTTGTATATGGAAATCAAAATATTGAATCATTAGGAATTTACATGTCAGGTCGTAGTCGGATCGTAGTTAGATCGTAGCAGTGTCGAAGCACAGGTCAAAAATTAGAGGGGCACTGGTTTCGTGGAAGAGGGGACACTCACTCGAACGCAATATGATTAACAAGGCTAATGGATAGGTGGAATGTGTGGGAGGGGCTGTAGCGTCTTTTTTCACGTTGCTTTTTTTTAAGATCTAAAAACGGTTCTTCCCTGCTCTGCAAACTTGAAAATCTGAAGACAATTTTGTTTAATAGTATGAACATTTTTGGGCAACGAATCACTTGGTTAGACAACATCAAGCAGTGCATGGACTGGACTTTGTTATGAAGAGGTCAGAGCAAGCTCTCATGATCGAAGACGATCCCAACCTGAATGAATTAGTAATTATGGTCCTAACAGTCTTTAAACATATGAGTGACACTCCTGTTTGCGCATCATACTGTCTCCAACATTTTACCTTTGACCGAATGAGCGGTGACCTCCCACGGCATCGTCGCAAACCCTTCGATGTCAACGTCGACGAAGTCCACAAAGAAGACATTGAGGGCGTCAGAGTTGTTGAGATGAATGACTGCTTTGAGCTCTTCTGCAGAAATGTAGGACCTGAATGCCACAAAATTATTAAATTTCGTTCCTTAAAAAAAATGATTGATCGTTGTACAGGCTTTTTGTTGTTGTTGAGACAAAGAGTGAAGAACAGATGGATGGGAATAAGAATGAAAGGAAGAAAGAGTGGTGAATGTGAGAATGAAAGATGACGAATGCGTCGGAGAAAGCAAGTCGGGTGAGAGGACCAATAATATTATGCTATCCATAACATATAATAAGTATTACCCAAAGGGAGAAGGCACTTCAGAGGGAAACATTAATTGATTGCACACGGAAAAACGTAACGGGAGATCTAGTTTTCTGTGACTATACGTCACAAACTACTGACCACGTCGCTAATTTGAGATTCGCATAGAATTTAGTGATCTCAGCTTTCAAACATTCATAACTCTTTTCTTATTAGTCCGATTTATTTCAAACTTTCGCCAACACGTTTCTTTTATGTTTCCGCTTTTATGCAAATCAACTTGTCACAAAGGTGGATTGTCAGACATGTAACCATTACCTGTACGGCGAGGTGGGATCGGCACAGGAAGGGGGGTAGGTGGTGTTAATAGGGGTACAGCAGTCGCCCTCATCCCAGTCATGGTACGCCTTGTTACATTCAGGTTGGCACACCCCGTCACCTTTCAGATCATCAGGACATTCGGTTTGCACCTCGTCACAATCACCGCCGTCATAACTGAAAATATAATTGATTATTAAACTCAACGCTCACTGTATGATCATGCTACGATCCTCTTACGATCCTCGTACGATCCTCCTGCGATCCGATGTTCGAATAAATGGAAATTATTTTAAATCTAGAAATCTAAACCAACGTTATTTCTTTTAATATTCTGGTTCTAAATAATGATAAGAATACTAACAACCGGAATTTTAGAGAATTTAACCGGGGAATTTAAGCTTTCTAAGAATAAGAGCCGAATCGGCTTCAAATCGTAGACAATCGCACTACTAGTGTGACGTCACCACGATTCTGAGCCGATTCCGTTTCCTCCTCCAAAAAAGCTTGAAATAAACTGTAATTTAGATGTTACAAATCATTTGGCAATCCAGATCCTTGACCATTAACATTTTAAAAGTTTGAATATTCACATCAAATGTTATAGCAAATTATTCCGAAATTGGATAGTAGTCAGATCGTATAGTTTGCGGTTCTCTTAAGTATCATTTGTCGTCTCTAACAAAGCGCATTAATTATCTAAGTAGTTTTTATTATGATCACATAATATGGCTTTGGGACTTTTTCATTAGCGGATTCTTTCCATTAAATTTGTTTTCAACTGTTGAATTTATATGAGATTATTGTTCGCTTTTTATGTATAATGATGACAATATTCATGTTCCCTTGGCCGTGTCTCCACTTTATCTCAAATAGCATCTCTTTCTATTTAACTTATTATTGCGGGCAATAAAATCGCTTTGCAAAGAATCTTTTATCACAGTTTCAAGTTATTTTTAATTTTTGTCTGTTAAATTGAATACGAGAAGACATTTGGAAAGACCAAGTATCATTTGTTTGTTAAGATCATCTGATAATTTACCCTGTAATGTGATATTTGCAGTCCAAGTCGCATCTTCTGTTTCCAATCTTATGGTCGCATCCCGCTATGACGAGCCGACGGCGTAACGACGAATTCCGCACCACTGTTACCCCGACGTCACGCCACGTAATGTTATGAGCCCCGTATGCCCCCGATAAAAGCCGATGCTGCATCTGAAGATCAGCCGAACTGACTGTCGGATTGGAACCGTCGTCTTCGGCTAACACGATCGGACGGAATCGGAGGGTCACAGGGCTTCGAAGTTGCGGGTTGTTGATGTAGCTTCGCGCAATTTCGGGGTTATCACAAACGGTGACACCACACTTCGGAGCGGTCACGTGAGGGTAAGATGGATGCCTCTGTATATCGGAGATCACTGTCTCTGGTTCCCTCATCTCGCTTGGACTCCAGTTGACGAGTTCGGAATCAAAGTCTTCGCTGATGACGAACTCCGGTCCTGCGTCTGTTTCGAGGAGTGATGCAGACGTTTTGATGTCTGCGTGCGATCTTATTTCGTCCGAAATCCGAAGTTGTCCGATCGCTCCCCGAAACGGCGCCCAGTGTACTCGGCTCCCACCGAGGCTGAAATCCTTACATCGCTGTGACGCCATGCTGAAAACGTCACCCCGTTGTCCAATCGCAGCACCAACCATGGCGCCATCCAGGTATAGCCTCATCATCCAGCCGTCGTAAGAAACAGCAACGTGCACCCACGTATTGGGCAGATAGGGCCGGTGAGATCTGACGGTGGTGTTTTCGATGGAACGATCAGTCTGGAGGCTAAATTTAAACTCAGCTCCACCCATACTCCACGGAGAAGGAACATCAATGTACAGAGACCATCCCCAGACAATATTGGATGCTTTGCATTTATCCGAAAGTTCTAAAAAGATATACAAAATGAAAGACAGAACAAAAATGTTTTATCTATAATAAATTCTTTAAATATGTGAATAAGAGAAAACAAATTTAAGAAATCATTTTTTAATTGGAAATGCAGTCCATCGAGAAATGATTCAATGGAAAATATACATTTATATTCTGTATTGAGAAATGATTTAAGATAGACGATATAACGAAATGACGCGCGAACTTAAATCGGTTGGAAAACAGCAATTGACAATTCCCTAAGATAGTAAATGCACCGTGAAGAAGTCTGGTATTAAAAAAAAAAAAACATTCATTTTGTAATTTTAACCACTGAGAGAGTCTTTTCAAATGTATATTATGTGCCGAGAAGCTAATTAAGTCTTAAGTGTGACGACCGTTGAATTGCGGATGTGAATTACTGTTTAAAGGAAAAATCAACAACGTCATTGAAAAAAGGTATTTTCACAACGACATATTCACACATTTAACATATCATTACATTTAAAAACAAAAATCATAAAACCTCATTGATCTTCGTCATCATTATGCTGGACCTTAATGATACTGCAGAATCTAGAATCTAGAATCTAGAGGAGCTTGTTAAAAAGAGTTTATTTGTTGAATCATATTGAATAATATTGAATATATATATCTATAATTCAAGGTTTCATCAACTACGGAGGGTGCGTCTAGCCATTGAGGGGGGCATTTGTGTCATGGGAGGGAGTGGGAAGTGTGCACCGAACTTGCTACGTGAATAGAATGCGAGAGATTTGGTATGTGAATTATTGTGTAAAAGAATATTCAATAGCGTCATGATTAGCGAACTATTTTCACCACAATGAATCAGGGTAAGGTATAAGGGAGTTTACAGATAGCACATGGTACAAATGACCCCCAAATATCCACAGATCTTTTACACATTGAGAAGTTCCACTTTGAGCATCTTAGAATAATAACTGCCAAAGTCCTAGATGTGCTTCATGAATACCTTTTGTTTGCCCTCTTGAAAAGAATACTTCCACCTGCGTATCATAGAATGTACCGTTGGTGCATAGATGAATAATGTTACATAACTTTCATGAGCGCATATCCATTATTCCTCTCTGTGGGTTTTACAATCTGCCCATGCGCAGATTGTATCTGTAAACTCCCTTATTGGAGTGGGTCTTATCGCCCATTTTCATTTAACTTCACCTTTTCCTTTTTCGTTATTGCTATATCTTTCTTTCTTTCTTTCTTTCTTTATTTCCTTTCTTAATATTTTCGTCATTTGATTCGTTAAATGTGACTATTGAGATACAACTATTCATAGCTGGTGAATGAAATAATATGTAACTTGGCACTCAACAATGATTTTGCATTAAATTCGATTAAACTACGAAAATGGTCTATTACTGGATTGATTTATTGCAAGTCATCAGCGATGGAAAAAAATGCCTTGCTCGATAACACAATGCTCGTTAGAGATGTAGATTATTAGATGATTAAAGATGAAGTTGAGTTCTGGTCATGCGATTGCATTGTGAAAGAAACGGTGTGGAATCGACCAGAAAAGGTTGATCATCTAGCATATAAGAATTTGTGTGTATTGCAAGGTTCTGGAATCATCAAAATGATAAGAAATTTGGCCAAGTCTTGGTAAAGTTACAAACACTGTACACAGAAAGATGTATATGGGACAACACGAACACGTGGCGTAAAAATCCTACCCCGGATTTTTAAGATGTTACATGACATATTTAGAATATGAAGGCATTTGAAGAGCCATGCTTTTCAGGGAACATGTCTTATCTGATGTTCTTCCACACTTGCATAATAGGAATGATAACGCTCACAAATTATTGTTCACCTCTTCCCAGAACTCAACCTTCTCTTTAATTCAGTCGTGCGCGAAAGCTATCAGGCCTTACAAGGCCTTACGAGTTTGGGAAATGGACCAATTTGAGGCGTGAAATGTCTCTACTCCGGTGTGACGAAAGAGAATAGGGGGCATTATTGTTGAACTGATTTAACTTAAACCACAATCTCTGTCACACTTAAAGCCATGTGAAACAGAGTGTGGGAAAGCTGCATTAGACCGCCATGCATGGTTAATGGGATACGAAGGGCCATTAACCAATTGTCCTCATAGACACTTGTATAGGTAAATCATCGACCATTCAATTAAAAATATTTCCTTTTCTTTTAATTAAAACAACGATAAGGCGAGACCGGTTCTACATTTGATTTATTCTCATTGATTGAAAAAAAACCTCTTAATTGTTAGTGATTTGAAATATTTTGAACTGATATGTGTATCTCCGGAACGAATTTATTTTGAGCTTTTAAGTCACATTTAACACAAGTTCGCCAGGAGGGCAAGTGAGCCTCGTATATAATCATTCAGATATGAAATTATATATTTTTATTGTTTACTTTGTGAGTTTTACAGAAAAAAAACGAACAACAGAGACTGACGAATTCAATTACTTTGAAGGTGACTTTCTCGTACATTGTTAAAAAAACGATATAATATACATTTTTTTCTTCAAAACTTAAATTATTATGAAGGTGACTTTCTCGTACATACAGTAGTTGTAAAAGAAATGAAACTATATAATATACATTTTTCTTCAAAACTAAAATTATTTTGAAGGTGACTTTCTCGTAAATTGTCAATAAAACAAAACGATATAATATACATTTTTTTCTTCAAAACTGAAATTATTTTGAAGGTGACTTTCTCGTATATTGTTGTCAAAGAAACGAAACGATATAATATACATTTTTTTCTTCAAAACTAAAATTATTTTGAAGGTGACTTTCTCGTACATTGTTGTTAAAGAAACGAAACGATATAATATACATTTTTTTCTTCAAAACTAAAATTATTTCGAAGGTGACTTTCTATTAAATTGTTGTCAAAGAAACGAAACGATATAATATACATTTTTGTCTTCAATACTAAAATTATTTTGAAGGTGACTTTCTCGTACATTGTTGTTAAAGAAACGAAACGATATAATATACATTTTTGTCTTCAATACTAAAATTATTTTGAAGGTGACTTTCTCGTACATTGTTGTTAAAGAAACGAAACGATATAATATACATTTTTTTCTTCAAAACTGAAATTATTTTGAAGGTGACTTTCTCGTTAATTGTTGTCAAAGAACCAAAACGATATAATATACATTTTTTCCTTCAAAACTGAAATTATTTTGAAGGTGACTTTCTCGTATATTGTTGAAAAAGAAACGAAACGATATAATATTCATTTTTCCTTCAAAACTTAAATTAATTTGAAGGTGACTTTCTCGTACATTGTTGAAAAAGAAACAAAACAATATAATATGCATTTTTTCTTCAAAACTTAAATTATTTTGAAGTTGTCCTTGCTATACATAATTTTTTTTTTTTTTTTATGCTCGAAAATTGATTTATTAGAGGAGATTGGAATATGTCAATTGTAACGCTTTTAACGTCCTTGAAATTGAGTGATTTGTCATCAATCAAGTCTCCTTACACAAAATGTATACATATACATTGTAACTATATCCCATTTGCCGTTCCTGAAATTCCATAATAATTAAATGTATTTTTATTCAATCAAATGAAAACTGTTTATGCTCCGCATGTAATAAATTAAACAATTCGAACAGCCACAAATGTCGAGAAAAGAGGAAATTTTATAGAAGATTATTCGCTTGTCAGAAATTTGGGACATACCAGACAGTTGTGCTTCACCACTATCAACAACACTGGATTATGCATGGATTGAGTTTATGCCTGACTGACAAAAAAGCAAGTGAGCTTACTGTTAACAACTAAATTAATCATACACTTACAAAGTTAACCCCCCAAAATAAGTATATGAAAAATTGATTTGTCCCGATTTGTTTCTTGAGAATGTGACATACTAAAGCTTGCATCTACAAGTATTCAACAGAGTAATAATTCAACCACTCCACATTTCATTCCCTAGTTACGAAAAACACAAAAACATCAAATTTACAAGGGGTTCATGAATAATAATTGAGTATAAGTTTGTATGTAAGCATTGTATGGCTTTAAGTCATATGGGGGAATTGAGTAATAAGTGTTCGTGTCTTCCGAAAGGGCATGAGTTATTGTTTCGTCTAGGTTTGAAAATTTGGTTTATACTTGCGCCCTATTACCGAGCCGCTGGGGTATAGTCGAGCAGTTATGAAGTTTATGATTTGTTTTTGTAAGAAGATATATATGCAGGAAATGTTTTCATTTCCTTTTTGAGGAGATAGACAAGATGAATGAAATGCGAATAAGCAAGGCCATCGACTGTGTGTGTGTGCATGCGTGCGTGTCTGTGTATGGTGTCGTATATCGTAATGTGGTATAGTGGTCCATTCACTTGACTTTCAATCCGAGGAATAAGGGTTCGAATCCCAGTCATGCACTAACGTTCTTTGGCAAGACATTAATCCACATTTGCCTCTCTCCACCCAGGTGTAAATGGGTACCTGGCAATTGCTGTAGTAATGATAATTGCAGAGCCCTCAGGATACAACATAATTGTATTATTTTCATTGTTACTATTATTATTATTATCATTGTCGTTTATGTTGTCGGTATTACATTATTATCTTCTTTCTTTTCAGGTTGACTCCCCTTCCTCCCCTCCTCCCCTCTCTCTCTCTCTCTCTCTCGCTTTCTCTCTCTAGTTTTTCTTCCCTTTTCGCCGATTGCCGCCCCCACATATAGATACTCCACTGTTTCCGAGTAAAACACAATGTCTTGGGAAACATGAGAAGAAAAAAAGGTCGAGTGAAAGTTCATCGCATTTTAGGTTAAAAGAAACAAAACTTTATCCCGCTTCGTTCCCAATGCACCACAACTTCAAGGTCAGCGCACTTTTTACCAGTCTCCCTGAAGGTCGTGCTGCTGTCATGTGTTATTGACTTGGATGTCACCGAAGTTGAAATGATAACATAAATAAACCACCTTTTTGCTTTCATTTCTATTTTCATCGTCATGATACATAGTGACAAATGAGACATAATACCAAGAGCGCATGTCATAGGCTATTACGTTTTTAAAGGGAAACCCTACCCTAGTAGAAAATTGCTCTGTATGAAAGCCGATGTTGAAATAAAAACATAAATAAAGCACCACTTTGCTTTCATTTCTATTTTCATCGACATGATACATACATGATTGTAGTGACAAATGAGACATAATACCAAGTGCGCGTGTCATATTATGTTTTTAAAGGGAAACCCTACCCTAGTAGCAAATTGCTCTGTATGAAAGCAGACACATTATAACGAAGCAGCCGGGTGATAGTTTGAATGAAATCGGGAAAAAAAGAAGAAGCTATGAGTGACTGTTTAAGTTGTTATTACTGAAAGCATTGGCCGAATCGGTAATGACAACTTTTCCCTTTGTTCCAACACAAGAAATGACTATATCATGTTGAAAAGTATGACGCATTCTTTCCTTTTTGTAGAGAACCTATAATAATTATGCTTCTATAATATGCTTCTACACTGTATAATATATTTTGAGTAGTGCCTTAAAGTGACTTGGTAACATTTTCTCAGATTCTGAAACAATATCCTTGATTTAGCACATGCTGCAAATTGCTGATAATTATAAACCTTTAGGTCAGTCAGGATCCCCATGACTTTTACGAGCCGATCGCTTGTCTGATTATCAAGATATTTATGATGAGAACCATTTCTGCCCCATTTCGTGCAGACGGACGATAGAAACAAAAAAGGGATTTTTCTTCCATGCCGTCAATTTTTCACAAAGCTTGACTTTTCCTTGAACTAGATCTGACGATGGACAATACAATTCATAACTAGCAAGGCTAGCGTGCTGTCGCCACAGTAAGTCCTTGGCTGCCATGTTGCCAGGCATAGCGGCATTCAAGTTCAACGCACGGCAGGGAAGCCGGCGACGGCGTTCGGGGTTTTTACCTATTTTTCCACCAGCGCGCACGTCATGATAACACGTACATTATTATGATTACAACTTAAAGAGGGTCCCGCCTGTCTCTTTCCGATTAACCCGCCGCGCCGGTGTCATCTAAAAGGCGTAGCCGACAAAGGTAATCAAGGTGGAATTCGGTGGTGTATTTCGTACCATTTTTGTTTTTCTTGGCATCGCCTATCGGGTTGTGGGCCTTTGTGATGCTACGTGCACCGCCGTTTGCAAAGTGTAAGATTTATTTATTAAAAAAACATAAAAGCATATTTCGTACAATTTAATGAATACTGATCTCGCCCAAAGGGCGTACCTAACGTAAATCTTGGAAGTCCAGGGCCCCCGTTCCATTGAATCTTATGATTGACGGGTGTGGATTAATAACATGCATTGTTCTCCATTCACTCGCAAAATTAGTTATACGATTCACTAAATTTGGCTCTATACATTATTTTGGATCCACTGGACGAAACAGAACCCCGCCCCTTGCCATTGAGGAAAGTAGGGAAAGGTGACGAATGATGGCTCATTTTAAACGTCTCAAATACTTTATAGTCGTAGGGGCGCAAATCTTGTTAAAAACCTTTCCTAATAATGGCTCCATGTTTTAATAAATTTGTAAGAGGTATATATTTTAAAGTTGTTCAAAAGCACTGAATGCTTTTCTATACAAAAAAAAAAGAAGAAGAAAAGATTATCCCAACTGTTCTTTTTGTAAAACAGGGCCAGGAGCTTTTTAAGTAAATTTGATTGACTGTGACATAATAAAACCAGTTTGGAATCAAATTAGATCGATGCTATATCAACATTAACAAAATAGAAATATAACCATAGATCCCACATTACCTTTGATAGAATAATTGAATATGCAGATTAAAACATGTGAGTTACTTGTTTCTTATTTTGAGGTATACTGTGAAATATTTACATTTGTCAATTCAGAGTAAATCCCCCAATTTTCAAAGTTTTAAAGCTAAAATGAGTTCTAACAAGAAAAGTGAGTACCAAGTGGCAAAATGAATGATATAGATATACTAAACATTTTCGTAAATAGAAATTTTACTTGTTATAAACTCATACTTGAAACTGCTTTACTTTCCATATGTATCCATGTTATATGCTGAATTTTAATACGTTATAGATATCTTGTTATTTGTTAACATTTTTTTCTGACATTCTATCTTGATTCTGATTTTAATCAATAAAAACTGGAAAAAGTATAATTATATTTCTATGAGAGAGATCAAAAATTGAGGTAAATACTGAGGTGGTTATGCATCCTGCCCCTCTGCTACCCCCGTGAAAATGATATTTATGAACCAGTGTTGACATTCCATCTCAGCTATCAAGCTGGCATCAATATTGTGAATGACTGGTAAAAACACTGTCTGCTGAAAATGCGTCATATTAAAGCACCGAACGAGTCAAGGATATTTCAAAGGAGTGAAATTACCTATATTTTTGTTTAAAGGCCCACTGCACTACTGGTAGCCACTTGCGCCCTCTATATAACAAACAATGCCTAATCGGTGACCATTGGTTCCCCATGATCCTCTTTTTCTTACGTTAAGTGAGAGCTGAGTTGATGAGATAACCACCTGTCCAGTGACCCTGCAGAGCGGTCTAATCCCTCCTGTAAACTACGGCAGATAAGCTTTAATCTAACTTCAGGGCTATTATACGGTATAATACCATTGCTAGACATTCGGCCTGGAACAACGTACTGCATTACCAAAAAATCAGATGTTTAGTGCTGGATGTATTGTGATTAGTAAAAGGAAAATACTGTGAAGTCAATCCTGTATATTAAGGTCACCCAAGGGAAACAGAAAAAGTGGCCACTGTTAGACAGTGGGACTTTTTAGACAGCTTTTATATACTACAAACATTTCACTCTCTCTCTCCCTATGTCTCTCGGGGTAACAAATTTAATGGCTACTATGAACAGCCTTATAGCGGTCACTGTTAAAAATATAAAGAAAATAAATAAATAAACGTTGCTTATAAAGCGCTTACACAGGTGGACTTTATAGACGATGGCCACTGTGACAGGTTTGACTGTATTTAAAAAAAAAGAAAAGAAACAGTTACCATCCGGTTGGACAGATAGTCGCCCTCTTATCATGAATTTTAAAGTTAATTGAAAAGATAAATGACATGGATTTGGTCTTAGATCGGCTTGATGTACCCAAAACAAGACAAAGGAGGGGAAAAAAACATATTCAACCAATTCATGACATTGATCACCAACTCCATCCTTCAGCTGTCATGTTTATCTTTTAGTTTTATTTATATTGTCTAAAAGTGAAATTAAAACATGGATAAAAATGTTTTGACTAACATTTCGCTTCGTCTATGCATATCACATTCCGATGAGCATATAGACTTTAAATTTCAAGATAAGGGGTGGGGGGAGGGCGTAAATGGACAAAAAGACGAGTAACATTGAAAAGTTGCACATACCTGCGATAACGGCGGGGCTGGACTGCCCCCCTTCTGGTTTAACCCACAGCTCCATCGTGAAGCGTTGCCTTGGAAACGTGAAGCCAGCATCCCCGATCCTCTTATAGAGGAGCAGATCCGATTCTGCGGTGAAGTAAAGCGCTCTACCCAAACCCCCGCCTTCTTCGTCTTGAGGGGCGGCGCCGGTGTCCATCCCCCGGGCGTGGCGGGGGTAGCGAGAGTGATCCTCCCGTTGGAGTTTTTCGCTACTGTGGCAGCGGTTCGCGACAGCATCCCTATGTCTCCTCTCATGAGCATCTCCCAAGGACCCGACGTCGTCCTCGACATCGAAGAAGACACGCTCGGGAGCACGACCACCGGTCGCTCCACTAGATGCGTTGACATTGTTAATCAACACAGCGGAAAACATTAATAGATGATACATCGCTATGGAATGCCTTGGGGTAACCCGACTGCCAGCAACCATGGTTTACGGCTATCGTGACCGGTTGGTTATCTTTGTTTATATCTTTCTCTCTCCTTTTCTCTCTCTCTCTCTCTCTCTCTATCTATCTACCTGTATCCCACTGTCTACACCCTTCAACAGGCCCTGCCGCAACAAATCTGCGGTTACAAGACCCAAACGATTAGTGACAAAGGCCCTAGTTAGGAAACAAAAGAACAGTCAATAGCTCCTGGGTTTGAGATAATACCCCCACTTCCGTTTTGTTTGCACCGCTTCTAATGAATAAGTTAGACGAGCTCTCACGTTTTTCTTACTGGATGAACACGGCTAGAGGGGCGTTATGAACCACTGCGCAAGCTACTCATGCTGACTGAGCTTGGCCCGACCCCCTGTGGTGAGTCTTCCTGGTCAAACCCCTCTACCACACCTTAGGGGTGCAAGTATACACCCCTCCACCATGGATAGGAACTCAACAGTATCTAATTCAATATTTACTATGTCTCTTCATAAGAAAAGACTTCAAAGCAGCTAGCAATTTGGCGAAATATCAAATTCGTAATGGGAAGGTCCTGTTATAACGAAATAATATTCTAAGAGAGTCCATGCGAAACATTTTTGAGATAAACAAAGGGTGAACATCAATGAAAATTTTGAAAATGTTCACATTGTATAATATTGCAGGGTTTTGTGTACACGTACATTTCCCAAAACATTAACTATAATTGGTTTAATTAAAAATGGGAATGCCCTTGAAGTTGACGGATCAAATGTATATTATTGTGTAATAATTCTATATTTTTCAAACACACATCATTTTGAATGATATCATTCAGAATTTCGGATATGGTCTCGGGAGATGATATAGTCTTGAACTCTCCATTGCATTTTCTTAAGGACATAAAACTTGTAAACAAGTCGTAAACCGTTTTGTTTTTCTTTCTTCAAACCATAAAGCAGCTGTGTTTGTTGGCATGGTCTGCCAATTTCATTTTCTTTTCCCATGGAAAAAATAACTAACTTTACTCATATTTTGATAAGTGTCATGAGCATTTCTAGATTACTTATTCTTTTCTAGGTTTTAAGATCAGAAATGTGATAAATGATAAACATGCACATTTCTTGAAATATTATTTTTCACTTCAGTTATAAAGGTTTTAACTTTCCCCTCTTTTTACAAATTGTCCTTCACAACATAAAACAAGTATATTTTTATTCGTGGTCTGCTAATTTAGTTTGCAGTGAATAAAAATGCACTTTTAGGCTAATCATAATAATATTTATGTGTGATGTCATGTTTCTGTTGTTATTTCACAGAGAACTAAAATGTTCCAAACTGTTATTGTCATAAATTAACCAATCACCTTATCTCAAAAAAAGAATCATGTAAATTTTGAGCAAAATTAATCGGAAAGGTTCATGATTATTTTGACAAAAACTTCATAAGACATATCTTTCGTAGTATTATGTTTTGAATGCATTTCATTTATTTACCTCTGTTCTCACTTTCAGTATTTCAATATTTTCCAAATTCATATTCCTTTATTTTTAATAAATTTTCCTTTTTGCCGATTTTCATTTCCCTTTTAGTTCATTTGCATAATAAGTGTGTCATTATAAAGGGGGGGGGGCAGATATATAATGAAAAGAGAGGGAGAGAGAGAGAGAGAGAGAGAGAGAGACGGACAGACAGAGGGGGATGTATGTTATACTACATTATCAAAGAATGTAAGTAAAACCAATCCTTATCCTTTATCAAGGTTAATAGACCAATTATAGGCGCTTTTCTGGCTCGGCTCCCAAAAACATCGAAAGCGCCAAAAAAGACATATTTTCGCACTGCCAAACTCATAAATCAATGAAATAGTACAACTATACTTTCTAAAGAATAGCAGAGATATACAAATAAGAAAATGGGCGTGACATAAGTTGTACCCTTGGAAAGGTCTTCACCCTTTTACAAGAGGTGAACGCACTTTCTGCCCAATGTTTAATAGTAGGGGAGGTTGGCAGATGTAAAACTTTGATGGAAACGGATTCCCATATGACTTGTCTAGTCTGAATGGTTGTCGCTTCACTGAAAACTTTCATCTCGAAGGGCTGGAGAAGTAAATCAAATACACAAAATTTGGGGGAGAGTCAGATCATAGACTTAGAAGAGAGAGGGTCGGTTAAAGAATAAAAGGAAATCAAATGAATACGGTTTAGCTTTTTCTAAGAAAAACATAAACAAAATATGATAAATCCACGAACTCGTATATAAGCTATACATAAGCATTATGAAATGAAGAGAGAGCAAGAGAGTGAGAGAGGGGAGCGGGAAGATGAAATAACGAAAGAGAGAGAGAGAGAGAGAGAGAGAGAGAGAGGAAAAGAAAAGGGAACGGAAAAAACCTTGTATAATACCGATGCCCCCAATGATGTCAGTGCCCCTAAGAAGTCTGAACCCACTCTACGCCAAAGTGGGCGGATACGGTTAGTGTTTCTATTGTACAGTAGTATTACAACTAACATAACAAAAGTTTGTGCTACCATTACTACCGAATTCATTCATACAATACACGAAAGAAACAAAGAAACACCACGACTCTTTCAATGAAGTTTCCTCTTAGTTTCAACTAAACACCTGTTTCAATGAATAGAACACTACTGGCAAATAAAACGCCCACTCCCTTTTCAAAAATCAAATCAAACACAAGACGATGCGATCCGCACGAACTACTACGACTGCTATGCACCCGTGGGAAAATACTCAGCTTCTATCAATGGATCATTTCCGAGTATATACCCTAGTAGTGGCTATTGTACTTTCTGAAGTTTGTTTACTTCAAAGTGGGCTAGTAGTGTTCTTATAGGACGTATAGTATTGCAACCTTACAAATTCATGCAAACCTTGTGTTGTGACTAAATTGTCTGGGTGATTCGAGTAGCCATTCCTTGACGCAGTCTTTGGATTAAGAAGAGGAAGAGAGAGAGAGAGAGAGAGAGAGAGAGAGGGGGGGGGGGAGGAGAGCGAGAGAGAGTAAGGGGAGAGGGGAGCGAGGATGGGGGGAAGGATTGATAATAGCGGTTCTATAGAGGATTTCGAAGAGAGGAGAGAGAGAATTAGAGAGAGAGATAGAAAGAGAGACTGAGGGAAGAATTAGAAAGAGAGGGAAGAAGAGAGAAAGAAAGAGAAAAAAAAGGAGAGAGAAACATAGAAAGAAGGGAGAAGTGATAGAGAGAAAGAGAGAGATAGAGAGAGAGAGAGAGAGAGAGAGAGAGAGAGAGGGAGAGAGGGAGAGAGAAGGGTTGGGGAAAGAAGGGGCGGGGCGAGGCAGACCGAACAGACTAGACAAACAGACGGAGACAGGATAGAGCCGAGACAGACAGAGAGAAAGATTGAGATAGAACAAATTAGGAGGGAGGAATAAAACGGACATGACAGGGGGCGAATGGTGCTGCTAAACCCACACCCCTAACAAAGGCTCTAAGTAAAACGATGAGCTTAAAATATAAAGATGAAGACATAATTATTAGTACGCAAAATAACTGCATGATAAATTTTGGAGAGAGCGATCTCGAACTGGACCCTATTTGTGGATGGTTTTTGGAGCTAAAAGGAGATTTATCTGGTAAAAAAATAAACGAACGTTCATTCAACTCAATCTACCAAATATTAACAAGTTTTTTTAATCACCTTTTACTTTTAGGCTTTCCATAAATATCTCCTTTTTAAACTCCAGTTTGTTTCTTCTTTTAAAAAAGACGGAGTCAATCAGGATAAGTTTCGCTAGCTCGAGATTCGTTCAAAGTATAGGTTAATGGAAAATCTAAAGATTAAAGGTAAAGACCAGGGGGGTGTTTCACAAAGATCCTAAGTTGAACTTATCTCTAAGTTGGACTTAAAAAATATGGAAAGCCATTAGCATCTTTGAAAATATTTTGTAAAAGTTATTTTGAAAGGCATTCATTGTTTATTGAAATCATTCATATTTTCTATCATCAAGGAGATTTCATGTTCTGGATGTGGAATTAATAAAAAGTCTAAAATACTTGAATTTCTGCTTTTGAATATATTTCATTTAAAGACTCCAATGGCTGTCCATAATTTTTAAGTCCAACTTAGAGTTAAGTTCTACTTAGGATCTTTGTGAAACAGCCCCCAGTATTGGAAACGCCCCAATTTCAAAAAATGAAATGGAAGCTCTTATTACCAATCATGTGAAAGAATATGTTTTGAATATTACATAACGATAACAATTTTGACGGGAAACCGCCTTCTAATTGATATATTTGGTAAATTAGTATACTGTTGAGAGATACAAATGCACGTGTCGCGCACGTGTGTGTAGTCCCATATACATCTTTCTGTGTACAGTGCTTTTAACTTTATGAAGACTTGGCCAAATTTCTTATAATTTTGATGATTCCAGAACCTCGCAGTACATTTATGCTAGATGATCAACCTTTCTTGCAGATGCTAGATGCTAGAGGATAAACCTTTTCTGATCGATTTCACAACGTTTCTTTCACTATGCAATTGCATGACCATAACTGGTCTTTAGCTTTAAGGTTTAAATATTTTACTTGGAAATGTTCCAAGAAAATCAACCGGCACAGCTTTTGACCGATTTGTTGCGGATTTTGTTGTATCATAGTTTTAGTATTAGGATCTATAGAATTGACGTTACAGAGTGCAAGATTAGGAGAACCGCTTTCTTTTGCTCTTACCTTAAAGGTAATACAAAGTTTTGGGAAATTTTGAAAATTGGGTGGATAGTGAATCTTTACAATTTTGATATATTTGGATGCCCCTGTGGATGTATTATAATCACTAAAAAAAATTAGCCCCTAAAACACTTCTGTTTTCGAAAAAAATTGAATATAAAAATTTACCGGTGCTCCCGGTAAATTTTGATAAATTTTAAATAGCGCCTATGACCGTACAATGGTAGCTGCGACCATAAAAATCTCAGAATATGTAGTTGGGATATATAATTTCCAAACTGGAATAGCTAATCGATCGATTTTAATGAAGAAACATTGTTAAGTAGCTAAATTAACATCTTGACCTTGAGAGGGAGCTATACAACATAAAGAGTTTATTATTTATAATTTCATAACTTTAGACTCGATTTCAACCACGACAACGATCAATGTATATTGTAGGGACGCATAATTATGCTTCCAATATGTTAATTTGAACCAAATTCATGACCCCATACCAAAACTTTGTAATACCTTTAAAGGGCTTCTTCTCACATCTCATATAGTATGATAGGCATGTATTAAATGGAAGGGAGGATCAGTCTCCCGTGCATGACAAAATAGGATGAGGGTTCATTAGAGTGGAGAGGGGGTTCATGCCGGGGGGGGGGGGGGGGGGGTACTCCATAATGACATACGGGGTGTGCCGCTCTAATGGGTGACTTTTTCACAAAAAGTCCTTAAACATGGGTTCCACTTTTAACCAAAATATCATAAGAAATGTGGCAATTTTTCCAAAAATTTCAAAAAATTTGCATGGCAAACACCCGAAAAAACACCCGAAAATTGTGAAATCATGTCTGTCTGGGGGTACAAACTTATTTCTATTGGCTTACTTCGAATCATCAGATTATCGTGTCGGGTCGGGTGGTCGCATCACCAATTCTTTTGTGAAAATGACCCCTTATTCACGAAATGTCATGTATAATGTTAGTGAAATAACCCCTCCCATCTACATAATTCTGGTCCAATTTACCAGACACTTTGTGAAATCCCTGCTGCAAACTACAAAAGGTCGCGTCCTTAACGTGCATCTTCGCATGATCTTCCGTTTTCGTTTCGTAACGCGACTACTCGACCGGACGTGATGATCCAATAATTTGCAGTAAACCTTTCTATTTTATGCCACTCGATTTTCTTTGGGCATTCATTCTTTGGCAGCTCTGGAAACTGTCGCCTTGGGCAAGTTGGGAGCGCAACTAGAGTTTCTGCCAATATGGATCCACATGAGTTCTGTGAAATAGGCCCATACATCAAGCGGATCCAGGATTTCTTAGGGGTGGGGGCCCAAATTTGAAATCAATTTGAAATTTAGTGTGCTGAAATATGAAAATCGTACCGGCCGGAAAAGGGGGGGGGGGGGTGGGGGGGGGGGATTAGTGAGCACTAATTTGGTTTTGGTTTTTGTTCCCAAAAAATTGAAAATTCGCTCAGTGGGGGGGGGGGGGGGGTAGTGAGCTATAAAAAAAATGGCCCTCGAAAATTTGAAAAATGGACCGTGTGCGTTGGTCAGTTGGTCTACTATTCTTTAGACTGGTTTGATTGAAAAGTGAAATATGCCATTGCATCTATCTATAACTCCGGAAAAAAGAGAGATAAATGTTGGAATCTAAGGAAACGGTATTGCTTTAATTCATACTTTAAAGGTAAAGACCAGTATTGGAAACGCCCCAATTTCAAAAAATGAAACGGAAGCTCTCATTACCAATCATGTGAAAGAATATGTTTTGACTAATACAGTCATGATGATAAAAAATTTGCCGGGAAACCGCCTACTAATCCATATATTTGGTAAATTTGTTTCTTTCATGGTTTGTGAGAGATATAGGGTAGTCCCATATACATCTTTCTGTGTATAGTGCTTGTAACTTTACGAAGAATGTGCCAAATTTCTTATCATTTTGATGATTCCAGAACCTTGCAGATGCTAGATGCTAGAGGATCAACCTTTTCTGATCAATTCCACAACGTTTCTTTCACAATGCAATCGCATGACCATAACTGGTCTTTACCTTTAAAAAAAAAAATTCCGATAGAATTTGACGTACATTAGAAACCACACTGTAGGATTTTGTAAAATGTATAGTCTATGCCTTTAATTTGTGTAAATATCATGATACAGAATGTGGTAAATGGTATGGGCCTACATGCAGGTGCGTCGCTAGACCTTTTTCAGTGGGGGGGGGGGGGGGGGGGGTAGAGGCCAACGATTACCGACAACACTAGCCATAAATTACCGACAAAATTAAATGTCCTAATATTATCTACAAATTTAACCCTACAAATCCGGGGCCAAAGGCTAAATTGTTTCTCCTATGAACTATCTATAATACTTGCATATGCGCAAACGGTCATTTCCTCGACGACATAAATATACGAATTATTTCGTCAACCTAGTCAGCATCATAGCTATATATTTTAATGCAGGTGCGTAGCTAGGATTATATTTGAAGGAGGGGCGGAAGTGAGTAAGCGAATCACTTAAATAGGCTGGTAGGTGAAAGGCCTCCCGCGCGAAGCGCGGAAGCTTAGACGTTTCATTAAATTATGAGAGAAAGTAGACGATTCGTTGTACCGTTCTCGACTCTTAATTCTTGTCTGAATGAAGTTTCCCCCCTCTGCGCGAAGCGCGCAAGTTTTGACGTTTCATTTGATTATTATAGAAAGAAGACGATTTTGTTGTACCGTTCTCTACTCTTAACCCTAATTTTCTGAATTCAGTTTCTCCCCCTCCCGCGCGAAGTGCGGAAGCTTTGACGTTTCATTAAGTTATTAGAGAAAGTAGACGATCTGTTGTACCGTTCTTTACTCTTAACCCCAATTTTCTGAATTCAGTTTCTCCCCCTCCCGCGCGTAGAGCGGATGCTTTGACGTTTCATTAAATCATTAGATTAAGAAGACGATTCGTCGTACCGTTCTCGACTCTTAATCCCAATTTTCTGAATTCAGTTTCTCCCCCTCCCGCGCGTAGAGCGGATGCTTTGACGTTTCCTTAAATTATTCGAGATAGAAGACGATCCGTTCTCGACTCTCAATCATTGTCTAAATGAAGTTTCCCCCTCCCTTTGGCGTTTCATCAAAATATTGGAGAAAGGAAGACAATGCGTTGTACCGTTGTTGACTCTTAATCCTTGTTTGAATTTAGTTTCCCGAAAATTTTAAACCTCTGATTTCTTTAGCTGATATTATAGGAAAGTTAAACTTCGAGAAAATACAAATATTGTAGTTGTAGTCACTCTCGAAGTCGTCACAGCGGATAAAAAGTCAAAGTTCGTCACAGGAGAAAAAAAAAACTTGCCGACCGACATTATCCATCTCATCGACTTTAAATTTCTGCGTTGATATAGTACACGAGGATCGAGCAAGAATACCGACACAGCTGACCCGACAGAGCAACATATTTACGTGCATGCGTGTCTTTCTTGCTCCCTCGACGAGACGACTCCACCCAACATCCCCATCTCTCTTTTACTTCCACTCCTCCTCTCCAAGGCTCTTACCTCCCCTTTTCTCTCCTCTCTTTCACCCCCCCCCACATCTTTTGTTTCCCTTTTCCCTTTTTTTCTTCCTTTTATTTCTTTTCTTTCTTTTCCTTTCTTTCCTCTCCTCCCTCTTTTTTCTCTTTCTTTCTTCTCTTTTCTTTCCTTTCTTTTCCTTTCTTTCCTTTCTTTCCTTTTTTTTTCCCCGACGGCAGCGCAATTTTTACCGACAATATCCTGACAGGGTGGGGGGGGGGGGGGGGGGAGTGTCGCGCCTACATGTTCTCTGTTGTTAAAACCTATGCGTGCCGAAGGTAGATCTACTAATAAGATAAATCAATCGTCTATTTACTTCATTACAACTTTTGTCCATGAATCCAAGTGCGGGAACTTATTTATTCAATTGACGGAAAGAGGAGCACTAAAGACGTTTTTAACTACGAGTAATAATTTGTTAGCACTTGTAGAATTCGTTTCAAGGCACATCATCGATGCTAGTGCGGAACGGACAGTAAATTATAATTGCACTTCCCGTGATCGCATGCTAATTTCTGAACGTAAACACACTCTGGGAAAATTCACGAACTCCAGCAATAACTAAGATTTTGTCATCTCATTGTAGTAGATTTGAAAAGACAATCTACTGTGGTGCTGGTGTCAGCTAGTTCTACCAGTCTGAAAGAGAAACCAGAGTCAGAAATGCCTCGTAAGAAGCCATTTAGTGGCAAACAAAAGAAGCATCAGTTGCAGGAGAAACGAGATCGCAAGCGGCCAGATAGGCCAGATGGACACCATCGCCCGCCGCACGGGCCCCATGCAGGTATGACATGTTCCCGTTGGAATGTAAGAAGCCGCTGACAGAGTGGCTATAGCTAGCTATGGCCTAGATGCAACATGAATGATGAATGCATTGCATTGCATACCGTTGTGTATGCGTCATAAAACTTGAATGTGGTCTTACTAAGCGTTATCAACTTGTTTGCCACTTTCCAGCACGACATGATTATAATCATGATAATTTAATTATAACTTTATTGTGTGCAAGAAAAAAGAAAAGGGAAATGTAGACCCTGATTGAACTTGAAGTAAAAACTAAAATTCAAGACTAAAGGAGGAGGAGCTAGGAGGAGGAGTACTTTTAATTTTTTTTTTTTAAATGGGATTGGATTATGATTTAATCATGAGGAATGGTGACACAAGTTGATTATAATGGAGAATAGAGTTTAGCATTTATTAAGGTGATATTACATGGAGATGCAACTTATGCAATACAATAATCATATTGAGTTGAAATCTATATATGATGTGAAGCAACTCCGATGTTGGCTATGAATTATTCTGACTCGAGTCTAAAGCAAACTCCTTTAATTAAGGGTAAACCCTCTATTGGGAGTTGGTTAACCTTGAGTGCTTGACTAAATAGCAACCAAAAAATTACTTTTTTTTTTACGAGGGCTCTTTTCAGATTTTCCCTTAAAAAAATAGCCCCCCTTAATTATTTTGCGGTGGCTATTTTGGAGCTCAGGGGGGCTTTTTTTTTTTAAAGGTTGTATTTTTTTTAAACGCGGTTTTACCTAATTAAATTCCAAGCAAAGGCAAATATAGATACAATTGTAGGGTACATATGTCTTGTAGAGTATTGCAGACATTCAGATACCCATGATTTATTCACTTTGTGTTAAACGTGTGGCTTTATGATTTACATATACATGTAACTAAAACTTGTCAAAAGGAGTGTTTTGTTTAACTGTTCGTTTTTCATATCCTAAGAAAATATTATCACTGACACGCAGGCTAGGAATTAATTTTTTTATGGGGGCTACTTTTCCCCATTGCCTAAAAAAACCAAGGGGCTACTTCCTTAAAGCCATATTGTAAGCTGTAACAATAAGTTGTGTTTTTCCTTAGCCATCATACTACTAGCAACCAAACTGGTAGGTAATACATGGCCCTCGCGTACACAGATAACGCGTGGCGCGCGCGCCACGCGTTCCTGATGGGCCCGACCTAGCGCCACGCGTTCTTAAAAAAAAAAAAAAAAAAAAAAAAAAAAAACATTTCTTTTTTTTTTTTTTTTTTTTTGGAAAAATCAGAAAATTCCCGATTTTCTGGTCCTAGAAATCCCCCAAAACAGAATATTCTGAATTATTCGTAAGGGTTGGCAGGTATGTTATTAAAAATTCATCAAATTACTTGTAATACTTGTAAAAAATAAATTTAAATTAAAAAAAAAAAAAAAAAAAAAAAAAAAAAAAAAAAAATCAAATTTTTACTTTTTTTTTTTTTTTTTTTTTTTTTTTTTTTGGGGGGGGGGGGGGGGTCAAATTTCCCCTCGGGTCGCGCCACGCGTTTTTAATTTCTTGGCGAGAGGCCTGAGGTAATATGTTATTTAGTCTTTTTTTCTGTCCCAAATTTATTTGTTATCATGGACAATGCAATCCCATTAAAAAAAATGTAGACCAACTCCCTTTAAAATTGTGTTATTTAGACCATTTATAACCATTAAATGTGAGTAAATATTTTTACTGTTGTCCCACATACCGATGTAGGGTCTATTTGTTATGCCGAAACATGCAAAATCATGGCCTTATTTTTTTTTTATAGACTCTAATTTTAAAGGCCAAGCCAAAGCTAGTTTCATTTCGTAGACAGAAATTGATGTCATCATCACTCATGACAATTGGCCTGGCATCGATCGTATATAAATAATTTAATTTAATTAAACAGTTGTAAGAAAGATTCTGAGGAGTAGGAACATCCTTTATATATTTATTTACGGTTTTTTTATAACAAAATTCAATTTCTGTGTAAGAAACTTGCTTTATACCGATTTTACAGGAAAAAATCCGGCATTGATTTTGCACGTTTCGTTATTACAAATATATCAGTATGTGGGACAACAGTAAAAATATACTCGCATTTAATGGTTTTAACTTATAAATAACACAATTTTAGACGGAATAACATTTTTTTTAATGGGATTGCATTGTCCATGATAAAAATTAGGGCCAGAAAAAAGACTAAATAAACATATTACGTACCAATTTGGTCGCTAGCAGTTGAGCTCTCGTCACTCGCAAATACTTATTTGCTTCATACAAGGAGCGTGCGGGCGCGCGCTGGAGCTGAGCTAGTACGTTGTGAACGTGTGCGAACTGCGTATGCATTCATGCTGTGCACGAAACTACATCGGGGCCGGTGGCCTGTACTGTCCGGCCGCCGGGAGCTTAGGCGCAGGCAGGCGGATACCGCTGTAGATCTAGCTACAGTAGGTACGACCGCCGATCCGCTGCAACTCACAAAACTTTTAAAATGTTGATGGAAGTTTCTAGTTTTGGAGTTGGTAGTTGGAACGGAGATTTCACTCAGACACATCAATAAATTGGTTTATTAATTCATAGGGAATATCAATTTATGGCGGGGGCGATTTTTCAAGATATATTGATTTTTTTTCGCCCTCGTCTTGATTTTTACCGTGGCGATTTCAGAGGTTTAGGGGGCGAATCGCCCGTCGCCACCGTGTATTTTTTTCGTTGCTAAATAGCCTAGAGTACATCATAACTTTTACTCAGCAGCAGGGAGTGGGTCTATTATCTGGAAAGAGGGATGTTGTGATTAAGAAGATCATGAAGTTACCAGTGCGTCATGGACTTTATTTACTTGGAAGTTGTATGAGTCATAGTTTTGAAGAAAGTGTAAAGTTTGTAAACTACACTGACACTGTAGTAAACTTCCTATTTATTTCTTGTAGAGGTATTGATAAAGTATTGATAAATCGTTGATGAATGTGGATGTCGGTCATATCATCACATGATAATAATAATAATAGGTCCATTTATTTAGCGTAGATACAAGATGAATACATTCCTCTGCGATTAATACAAATTATTATGTTATTACCTTGGCTGTAGCTGAGCTGCCATAATAAGGCGCTAAGACATTCAAGGAATTTTTTCCTACCGGGTATCCATTTACCTCGCCTGGGTGGAGAGTGGCAAAAGTAGATTAATGTCTTGCCAAAAGACATTAGTGCCAAGGCGGGACTCAAACCATGAACCATGTGATCCACAGTCTATAATAATGAATGGAGAAAAAATCTAGAGTATCTTTAAAGGGATTGGGTATCTTTGTCTCAGATTCTAAACAAAATCCTGGATTTAGCTCATGCTGCGATCATAATTATAAACCTTTAAGTCAGTCAGGAATCCCATGACTTTTACAAGCTGATCGCCTGTCTGATTATCAAGATATTTATGATTGGAAATCAACATTTCAAAAACCGTTTTCCTAACGTTTTTTATAACACTACAGTCTATTGGGGGAAATGAGGTATGGTGAAACCGGTCACTCAAATATTTTTTTCTTTTTTGAGGCACTTCATATCTTTATGATCATTTTGAAGCGCAATTTTTTAGGGGTTCAATATTACACCATATCACAGAGACTGATACCATGTAGGGCCGTGCATCTCAGATTTAACATTGTTAAATGATGCCTTTAAATTAATATGTTGTTCTTGATTTGTATGAACAGGAATGGGTCACAGATCTCGGCAGCAGTCCCAAGAGCTCCTGAGCAGTGAGGATCGGAACTCCACCTCGGAAGGGGAGATGCCCGAGGTCAACGTACTGAACCAGCAACCTAATCAGGGAATGGGATTGGACTCGCAGTATGACCCCAACAGGTACGACGTTAGGTCGCATGTAGACCAAGGGAGCGTTTTACAAAGACTAAGATCGACTTTGAGTTGACTTAACTATGACAGGCCATTCATGCCACTAGTTGCTCTCACCATTATGATCTTTAGAAAATATTTTTTCTTCAATAATGTAGATTTGTGACTATGAATACCAGTAATTGGTGAGAGAAAACAGTGGCATGAATGGCCTGCCATAGTTAAGTCCAACTTAAAGTCGATCTTTTGTCTGTGATACGACTAGGAAAAGAAAATAAGTAGACAAGTCCCAGGTATTTGGTCCTACGCTGTCCTGTATGTTACCAAGAAGATGGAAACTCTGAACATCAGTTGACATAGATGTCTTTTTCCTTGATATATGATCCGATTCAAACTGAAGAAGGGCTTTCGACTGACACAATTCTCAGAATTTCTAGAATTGTATGTACACTGTAGTCAGTGACATATGGAACAAATTACTTTGTACATGCCCAAGTACATTTAGACTCAATTAGCACCACACAAGGGGAACAGAAAAGTGGCCATTATTCTACACATTTTGAAGTATTGACAAATTGTAATAATAGTTATAATCATATTATTATAATACCCAACTCTGACCTCGGTTCCATGCATACCCTGTTCTATGTGTGTGGAAGAAGTCTACCCAACAAGGCATTTTACAATTAATTGGGTGTGCATTGAAACTGCAATATCTCTCTAGAAAAAATATTTGAAGCTCAGAGTTTGAATAGCAACATGGAGCCCTGTATAAAATTAAGAGCAAAACATTTTTTTGGCGATTGGTACACCTTTAAATCTTTCATCTTTTTTTTCTCCTGCAGGTATCATCTTCACTTTCAAAAGGATTCTAAATCTGAGTTGGCATCCCGTAAGAAACGGGCCATGCAGCCCTATGACCCGCTACCAGAGGTAAGTTAATTCCATAAAAAGCTCTGTTTTGGTTAATATTCCTGATTTAAGGCCCATTCACATATTTTGCAGTAAACCACAGCATATTTTTTTTGTACTAAATGAATGGCATCTGGGATGGAAAAAGCAACTTTGCACAACAATAGTCCTTCCAGACTCACTAGTTATCTGTGTGTTATAAGATACGAAAATGTGCATTGCAGTACCACATAACGATTTATCACAGCATATGTGAATAGGCCTTCACAGTGCCATCACAGTGCTCGTCTGTATGCACATTACAGGCCAAAAGTTCTGCTTTATATCGCTATAAGCCTAACCTAAATTTTTATAATTGAATCTTTTTGATGTGTGCACACAAAAATTTCACACATTTGATATTCTGGGTGAAAAGTATACAAAATAGAGTGCATTCCTAATTTTGCCTCAAGAGAATTCTAATCTTTGCAGTGAAAGGTTGGCAGGTAAAGTATGAAAATGTTCAATGTTACCATAATCTTTCTAAATGTACTATGGAATTTTATTTTAACCGTTCTGTATAAACGTTCATTATGTTCATTATTATTCACGGCCCCATGGAAGACCACTACTTATTAGTGAATGGGCTACCCTGACAAACGATTAGAAATAAATGAATAAATAAATAAATCTGATTGATTGCTATAGAGTGCCCTGGAAGTGGATATCGATGACATCTACCAGCCAGGTTCGGTCCTGGACATGCCTAAGAGACCCTCCTGGGACTATAACGTCGGCAAGGACAAGCTGGAACACAGAGAGGAGCAGGAATTCAGAAACTACCTCCAGACAATCTACGAGAAGTTCCCTTCAAAGAAACTCAGCTATTTCGAGATAAATCTAGAGGTATGTACTTTTTCTGCTGATAATTTTCTGTGTCAATTGCAAGCAGGTGTTAAATTGATCATGGGTGTGCCCAGATATAGAGATGTCCTTAGAAACAGAATTGTGCTTTATCTTAAAATGAGCTGCATATACAAATTTACAATCGAGTAACCTTAATAGCTTATTCTTCCAAAGGCTATAGTAATTAGTATGTGGCAATGTTGAAAGGGAACAGACCTATTTTATTTCATTGGACATACAAATGTTTTGAACGCTGGCCAAGTTATGAGGACTGTCTGTTTTCACAATATCAATTACTTTAATCTAATTCTGTTCAAAGCAAGTTGTGATCAAGGATTGTTTCCATCTTTTTCAGGAAATTAATGTTGCAAAATATCAACTTACATTGTCAAACAACGGAGAGTTATGCATAGCAAAAAGACAGGAACTACTTCGTGTTTTGAGCATGGTCCCTGCCTCGGCAGTCTCCGTCTTTTGTGTTTACATCCCCCTTACAGTGTTTGGAGTGCGGTGCGGTGGATCCTTGTTTCTACCGGGGCTGCGCTCTCTGCACTGGGTGTGGCAGGCAGAGATGGTTCGGGCAGTGGACTAATTTAATTAATTTAAGCCCCGAAAATAAAATATTGATTTCCTGTGTTATATTTCACAAGATGTAATAGAATGCTTTTATAATATTGTTTTTATTAATCATGTCACAACTCAGTATTATATTATATCATATTATATTGTTTTGAGTGCCAGGCAAAATATCACTTGAAAAACAAACAAAAAATTACATTCCTATAATTTTTTTGAACAGACCTGGAGACAGCTTTGGCGGGTGCTCGAAATGTCCGACATCGTGCTCCTGATCACCGACATCAGGCACCCGGCCCTCCACTTCTCGCCCGCCCTCTACGACTACGTCACGCGGGATCTCAAGAAACACCTCATCCTCGTCCTAAACAAGATCGACCTGGCCCCGCCCCCTGTGGTGGTGGCGTGGAGGTCGTACCTCAAGGAGAAGTTCCCCCAGCTTCAGGTGATCTGCTTCACGTCTTTCCCCAGGGAGTCACAGACCCCTGAGGGCGGTATATCTGGTGTATCAGGTAACCATAGCTGCCAATCAGTCCTCTATAGGCCTGTTTTCATCAGCTCGAGTTTGCCAAATAACCCACTTTTTTAACTATCCCGATCACAAATTAGCAAGTTAATTTGCGTCCTCATCAGCCCGCAGTTGCAATTAGCGGGATATTTGGTCGAGAAAATATCCTAAGAAATCTTGGTCTTGTTTCCAAAATATCCCGCTATTTGGGAAATAGAGGGCTAATTTGCGCCCGTCCGAGCTAGTTTGTGATGAGCATATATGGGTCTGGTGAAGACGCAATTTTGAGCTTTGGGGAAAATATTCTGAGTCTGAAAATGGCGGGTTATTTGGCAAACTCAAGCTGCTGAAGACAGTGTTTGAGGAATGATTTCTAAATTCACCTTTCATGCTGACATTATGAACCCTTGATACCTTTCTCTTTCTGAATTAAAAAAATATATAACGGTGTACACATTTCAGTGTATTCCTCCTGATTTTGCTTTAATAAAGACATCCTAATTTTTTTCTGAGGAAGTTTGGCAGGTATGGGCAGCAAATATGAAAGATGCTACTTAATTTGGGTCCATCTATGCAATGAGGGCCAGCTTGTTAACATTGAAAGAATTGCCTACCCTGTTGTATTATTGTGCAGTAATCTATTTACAATTTTTTTTTTCTTTTTTTTTCTTCAATACTTTGCTTAAAAATTGTGGATGTTGTTATTGGGACCAGAATTTGACCAATGCGCATTGTCAGTCACTACCGGTATGTGTAATTATTCTTTTCATGTTAACTATGTTCAACACCTGCATGTATCATTTGACAATTTTTGTACTGGTAAAATATATGCCAGAAGTGTGCTGCGGCACTAATGTCCTTTGGCAAGACATTGATCTACATTTGCCACACTCCACCCAGGTGAAGTAAATGGGTACCATTAGGAAGGAATTCTTTGAGCCTAGCATAGTCGGGGCAATATTGGAGCGCTTTGAGCACCTTGAAGGATGGATATGTGCGCTATATAAATATCCAATATTATTATTATTATTATTATTATTATTAAAAAGTAAAGTTGCATATGCATATTAAAATCAGGATGTAATGGGTCTGCAATGCACAGGGAAGATAAAAGATGGGCGGCAGTCAAATTGTAATCGTATGAAATTTAATTGTAAGAAATATATCCTGGGGAGCGTTTCACAAAGACTAAGATCGACTTTAAGTTAAACTTAACTATGGCAAGCTGTTCATGCCACTCTTTGCTCTCACCATTTACTGGCATTGGTCTCTCAAGAGACGTACAAATCATGGTCACAAATCTACAGAATATACATTTTTTGATGATTCATTATTGAAGGAAAAAATATTATCTACAGATCATAATCGTGCGAGCAACCAGTGGCATGATTGGCCTGCCATAGTTAGTCCAACTTAAAGTCGATCTTAGTCTTTGTGAAACTCCCCCCAAAGATACTTTGTTGTTGCAGATCCCATCTATCAAAACAAAAATAACGCTAGGTGATCGAGCAATTTGCTTGTGCAGCCCCAAAACTCTGGATTAACTCACCATTTGAAGTCAGGAAATCACCATTTGCACATTTTTTGGATTAACTGTAAATCTAAGCATATCAGGAGCTCTTGTAGCGCAGTAGAATATATACTTAATTTTGGATAGTTTCTGCGCTCTATAAATGTATTGTTATTATTGTTATAGTACATTTATTTGATTGAAAATACATTGATGGTCAGCATTGTGCTATGTAATGTCTTTCAGGATTCAAGAGAAAAAAACGTGGGAAGTTCACGGCAGTAGGTCCTATGCAGCTACTCCAAGCATGTGAGATGGTAACACGTGGAAATGGTACGTTTAATTCCTTTCATACAAAAATGATGTGGATGATGATGCTGATGATGGTGATGGTGGTGATAATGATGATGATGATGATATCGATGATGATGATGGTGATGGTGATGATGATGATGATGATGATGATGGTGATGGTGATGGTGATGGTGATGGTGATGGTGATGATGATGATGATGATGATGATGCTGATGAAGATGTTGATGATGATAAAAATGAAGCTGATAATGATGATGCTGATGATGATGATGATGTAGATATACGGTAATCATAATCATTAACATAATGATTATAATAACAATAAGGATAATGATGATAATAATGATGATAATAATGATTATAATTAAAGTTAGAATAATAATAATAATAACAGTAATAATGATAATAACGATAATAAAATAATAATAATAACGATAATAAAATGATAATAATAATGATAATAATAGTAGTACATGTAGTCGTAATGTTGATAATAATATTAATAATAATGATTATGATGATAATGATGATAATAATAATAATGGTTATTCCACAGAACGAGACTACTGTACTATTACTCGTCTGTAAAGGCACACAATGATTTGGTCCTAAATGATTTTCATTGTTTTTACTTATAGTTGAACTAAATAGTTGGAGAGAGAAAATTGAGGCCGACATGAGAGGTGAGGACAGCCTAGCCTCGCAGGTCATCGCTTCAAACACCGAAGAGATGACAATGTATGAGGAACATGAGGCATTTAAAGATGGCATCATTACAATAGGATGTGTCGGTGAGTGTTTATTGAAAAGAATGTTTAAATAAAACCTATTTTCCTCAGGGTTATTTTCTCTTGATGTACCTTGAAACTGTTAATTCTCAGAAAGATAGGTTCATTGAATATGATTACATAAGGAGTTTCACCTACCAAATGTTATCTAATGATCATAATTGAGAGACCAATTTTGAGAGCAACCAGTGGCATGAATGACCTGCCATAGTTCCAAGTCCAACTTAAAGTAGATCTTAATCTTTGTGAAACACTCCCCTGGAACCTTAGTTTCAAAATCCTCTGTTCTATCTACTAAGCATTATAAATGAAGAAAAATGTTGGCCCTATGCCTTTCAAATCCATCCAAAATTATATTTTCTTTATACACTGTGTACGAATGTCTTTTTGCGAGACATGAGTCTGCATTTGCCACTCTCCACTTGGGTGTTTATTGATAACTGGTAGAAAGAAACTCCTTGAATGCTGACATCAGATGAATATGGTAGCACCTTGTGTGGTGGCTATGTGCGCTTTAAAAACATCATAAGGTCTGTCCTCATCAGCTTGAGTTTGACAAATAACGGGCTATTATAACTATCCCGATCGCAAATTAACCTGTTAATCAGCCCGCAGTTGCAATTAGCGGGATATTTGGTCGAGAAAATATCCCTGGAAATATTGGTCTTGTTTCCAAAATATCCCGCTATTTGGGAAATCGTGGGCTAATTAGCGCTAGTCTGAGCTAGTTTGTGATGAGCGTATCAGTCTGGTGAGGATGCAATTTCGAGCTTGGGGATAAAATCCTGAGTCTGAAAATAGCAGGTTATTTGGCAAACTCGAGCTGATGAAGACAGGCCTATAGTTGCCTATGGTAAGGGTTTAATGTTTTTCTTATCCCCTCAGGTCATCCTAACGTGGGCAAATCCTCCGTGATGAACGGTCTGTGTGGTCGCAAGGTGGTCAGTGCCTCCAGGACGCCTGGTCACACCAAGCATTTCCAGACCATATTCCTCACACCGACGGTCAAACTGTGCGACTCACCCGGTCTTACGTTTCCCTCGCTGGTTGACAAACAATTTCAGGTTAGTGTTCATGCTTTGCTTGTTCCCTCTGTTCCTTTAAATATCTATTTGCTTCTTTGGCATATAATGTTAGAGAGCTGTTTGTGTGTTTGAGAATATGTGGAGGTGTCATGGTCGAGTGGATATGTCACCTGACTGTGGATCACAAGGTCGGTGGTTCAAGTCCCGCCGCAGCACTTATGTACTTTGGCAAGACATTAATCTACATTTGCCACACTCGACCCAGGTGAGGTATTTTGGTACCTGGTAGGATTATCCCTTGAAATGCACTGTGCGCTGATAACGGCTGCCGAAGCTAAAGTGTCGACAATGAAGTTCTTTTCCTCCAATGTGGTGATATGTAAAGAGTATCAGAATTGACTATTCTCTCTCATCCATTTTTATTTCAGATACTGTCGGGTATCTACCCCGTAGCTCAAGTCCAAGAGCCGTACACAGCGGTTGGCTACCTGGCACAGAGGATACCTCTTACTCAGATTCTAAGGATACGCCATCCTGAGGCTGACGGTTCACCAGAGGGGGCCTCAGGGGCACATTGGACCGCTTTCGATATATGTGAAGGTAATTGATTGATTTATCTGTTGGTGTCTATTGAACCCATAGTTTTGGAGACCATGTGTTTACTTGTGTGTATGTGTGTGTGTGTAATTGGGTTTTTACAGACGTGTAGCAATCAGATATGATTATTTAAGTCTGGGGACAGACCTTTAACGTCACCATCCGAAAGACGTGACTCAGTTTCGAACCGGGGTCGTCTGAGCCAGTTATTAGGCAAAGACTGAAAGCTGACCAAGTGAACGTGTCGCTAGACAAGCTCACATCTCTCTTATACTGTACTTGTTTTAAAGCATACAAGATTTATGAAGGTCAAAAGTGATAAAGTTTTAGGGTTATTGATTGAGTGATTGATTATTGTTCAGTTTTGTCAGATACATGTTGCTAAGAAAATAAACTCATGCTCGTAGTCGATCTTATGATACTTTGTGGACATGTACAGAACCTTCTTAGTATTTGTCCGTTTCGTATTCGTAAATACCTCTGTACTCGTAATTAAACAAGCATATGGCTAAAGAATATTGCTGATTGAGCTCTCCAAAATTCCTTTTTGAGGGAAAAGGAAAATAAAATAAAGATTGCTTTAAATGAATTCCTTCAGATTTTAACACAAAGCCATATAGTTTAATAGACAAAGCGTTGTATTCAACTGGGCCATCTGGGAGGTGTTTTACAAAGACTAAGATCGACTTTAAGTTGAACTTAACTATGACAGGCCATTCATGCCACTGGTTGCTCTCACTATTGGACTCTCAATTATGATCTTTAGATAATGTTTTTGCCTTCAATGATAAACTATCAAAAAATGTAAATTCTGTAGATTTGTGACCACGATTTATATGTCCCTTCAGAGACCAATGCCAGTAAATGGCAAGAGCTAACAGTGGCGTGAACTGCCTGTCATAGTTAAGTCCAACTTAAAGTCAATCTTAGGCTTTGTGAAACACCCCCTGATTTGTATTCTGGAGCCTGATAAACGGTCACACCACACAACCAAAACTTGTTTTTTCTTTTTCGTCCCATGCAGCTTGGGCAGAGAAGAGAGGCTTCATCACAGCTAAAGCAGCCAGGAAAGACACGTACAGGGCTGCCAACAATATCCTAAGGATGGCCGTAGATGGCAGGCTATGCATGTGTATGACCCCGCCAGGCTACACGGCTCAAAAAGGTACGGTTTCTTCTTCTTCTTCCTCCCTCCAGATAATCTGCCTCCTTCAATACTGAAGATTCTTGCAGATGCCGTATATACTCGGCCTGATTGGGGTGTGTAGATGGACCACTGCACCAGGGTTTAAAGGGCATTGCAGGGATTTGCACTGTCAAAATCTCCAAGCTTGAAAAAGGGCTAAATATATTGTAAAAATTCATAGTTGAAAACTTGACTAAAAGAATAGTGGCAACATTTCAGTCATTTTTTTGTTTCAAATTAATTTTGCAACTGGCAGTGTTTTATTCTTCCCAGTTGTTGAGTACAAATTGAGGTCTTCAATTTTCACTCAAAGAGAGAAAACCCAAGAGACTTTTGATCTTAAATTTTGCACGTACTTCCATAAACTCATCTTGCTGCCACAGATAAATTTTGACTTGAGTTAAGTTTTTGGTGGCTTGCAAATCCCTGATAGTGGCTTTCAGGTTGTGCAACATTTTCTCCTGCAACAACTGCTGTGCATCAATTTCCAACACTTACCGACTTCTTAACTTAATCCCTAGACCCAACACTATACCTCACCCTAAACCAAAACTTAGCCTTATCTCAATTGCAACCCTAAAACTACAGAGGATAATGATGTGACGCCAATATTTGCCAGCTCAAGCGCTCATGGCGCTTCTTCAAAAAATACATATTTCAGTTTAGGTTTCAATGAGATGAGAGTTTGAGTGAAACTAGCTAAAATTAATTCTGAATGGTTTATCATATTCTTATTCATGGGTTGTTTAAACCAGCATAATGTAGATAATTTAACCCAAAATTCTCATACTCACTGAAAAGTACAATTTACAAGAGAATGCAACTTCTGCTTTTGATTCAGGACATTTAATTTGAACAAGAATTGCTAAGCAAGCAATTCCTTGACTTGACTTCCCCACGTTTCATTGGTCATTCTTTACCTAGTACTCTTGTACTTTTCCTACCAAACTTATTTGCATATATGGTGTGGGACATTCATTGTAAGTTTGGATCAATTTTCTGAAAAAATGAATTCCTTTGATTGCCGTAAATCAATACAGTCAAACCTGCTTTAGTGACCACCTGTCTACAAAGACCACATTTTCTGTTTTGCTTGAAAATTGTTTCTCATTGAAACTGTTGTACTAAAGGAACCTGTCTACAAAGACCACCTGTCTTCGAAGACCACTTTTTGTGTTTCCCTTTGGCAGTCACTATAGACAGGTTTGACTGTATTATCTTTAGTATCTTATAAGTCTTCATGTTTTCTTGAAACCCACAAAAGAATTTTGGGAGCAGCACCAAGAGACGCTCGAGATTGGTCGACTTCAGGATCAGCACAGACGAGTGGAGGAGGATTTGGACAGAGAGGGCGACAAAGAAGATGACCTCTCGGACCAGTTCACCAGCAGCGGAGAGGACAGCGATGCCGACGTCGAGAGCAATGATGTCGACAGGGAGTCGGACTCGAGGAGGAAGGAGCGGAGGCGGAAAGGGAACTCGAGCATGGCGACTACGAACCCGTTTGATTTACTAATGGATGCATGATAGTTTGGAAGTCAGTGGAAAAGACTAATAATCTGGCATTTCATCGTGGAATCTCTTTGGATGCATGATATTTTGGGTGTCAGTGGTAAAGAGGAATAAAGTGGTATTTCATAGTGGAGTCCACTCAATTTGCAGTTGGTGCAAGATAATTTGGAAGTCAGTGGAAAAGGGTAATAAAGTGGCATTTCATAGTGGAAACCGTTTGGTTGTTGATGGATGCCAGATAGTTTGGAAGGCAATGGAAAAGACTAATAATCCGGCATTTCTTTGTGAAATCTACTCGATTTGCTAATGGATGCATGATAGTTTGGACGTCAGTGGAAAAGACTAATAAAGTGGTAATTCATAGTGGAAACCGTTTGGTTGTTGATAGATACAAGATGGTTTGGAAGTCAGTGGAAAAGACTAATAATCCAGGATTTCATAGTGGAAACCGTTCAGTTTGTTGATGGATGCCAGATAGTTTGGAAGTCGGTGGAAAATGCTGAAAATGGGAGCATTTCGTTGTGGAATCCATTTGATTTGCTGATAGATGAATGATCGTTTGGAAGTCTGCAGAAAAGACTAATAATCCACCGTTTGTTTTTTTGACGAATCAAATGATTGTTTGGAAGACAGAGACAAAGGCTAATAATCAAGCATTTCATTGTGGAATCCATTTGATTATCTAATGGAAGCAAAATAGTTTTGAAGTCGGTGGTAAAGACTTTTAAAGTGGCATTTCATAGTGAAACACAAACGGTTTGTTGATGGAGGCAAGATAACTTAAAAGTCAGTAGAAAGAACAGATAATGAATGAATCAAATGGATTGAATGAAATTAGAGTGAAGATGAGGGAATGGTTTTTTTTACAGCTCAATCAGAACGCCAAACCGACTCCTAACCAACCAATGCTTTGGCCGTTTTAGAGTGTTATGTACTGTTGTAAGACTACTATCAGATTCTTCATTATGACTGGGGTATCTTTTGAATGTTAGCTTTCCAGACAGAGAAGCGAAAAAAGACACCCTCAAAACAATCACCTACACTGTATGTCACTTAGCATTATAATAATAATAATAATCTGAATTTATATAGCGCCTAAAGGAATACTGTCTCTAAGTGCTTTACAGATATTATTACCCTGGTCAGTGCACTCATTCACGCACAGTGTGCACCATCTCCACTCCCTGGGGAGTATTTCTACTGTACATGTATGTCACTTAACATTATGATACACATCACGTTACATGCAGAAAAGGTTAAATTAGACACAATGCCTACTTGTTGCCTCAAACTTCAATGGAAAAAGAAAAAAGATATTGAGTAAAATGATTGGTACAGTGAAAGTACAGTGAGACAAGAAAAGTGGTCTTTATTGGCAGGTGGTCTTTATGTACAGGTTCATTTAGTACATGTTTCAATGAGAGATCATTTTCAAGGGAAACAACAAATGTGGTCTTTCTATACAGGTGGTCACTAAAGCAGGTTTGACCATAATAACAAATGGGGAGGGGCAGTAGATTGTCTGTGCAGAAAGTTTCACCATCTTCACGTCACATGTAATAAAAAACAATATTTTAGGAAATGTAGAAATATTTCTGTACATAAAACCAAAGCAGTATTTTATTCATCTACTATTCTAGTTTCTACTGTGATTTAGCATGTGACTTGGTAGTGACACTGTGCCTAACCACTAACTGCACTGTTCGAATCTTGCCTGAAATAGTTACACATTAAAAAGCTACACTATTCGCACAATAAAGCATGTACAACAAAGCACATTTTATGTATTTTATTAAAGAAATGAAGACATTGTCATATTTTTTGCATGGCCCTTATGTCGCAGTGTGAGCTTAAAATTGAGCATTGCCTAGTTTCATGTTGATGCCATAGTACTGTTTGATGATAAAATAGAGTAGGTCTGTTACTTTGTTGCATGAATAAAGATGGTTGCAGTTGATGTTTGCAGCTCTGACAAATTTTGGTTCCTATATATATGTCTTTGGTTGAGAGCCAAGTTCATGCATGAAAAACCTGGGATAAGGCATTAACCCTCCACCGTCTAGTCCCTCTGATGTGACTTATAACTGTAGGTCCCCTGGTTTCTAAGCAGCAGACACGCATGAACAAACAACAAGCATTAGTTTTCGCGGCATTCCATATCGAAGTGATATCATTATCTTTCCACATATTGTTTTTAATACTGGGGCCCGCCATTTCAGGCTATACTTCTGCAGTTGAAAAGCTTCAAATCAAAAACAGAATTTACTAAAAGTGGATTGGTAGAAATGTTTGATTTAGTTTGGAGGAAGTTTAATAATTGATTCTATCCGACACAGTACTTATGATCACCAAATTTATTTGTTTTTGTTGCAGAAAGGATGGTTATGTCTTTTTTATAATTATGTGTGATTTATTTATTCCACTTCTATTCCTTGGTTGTTTTGTCATTATATCCAATACTTCGTCAGAGACACATATGCATAGAAAATATTAATGCTATAAATCATTGGTTATGTATTTCTCTAAATTTACTTATTTTTATTTCCTTTTTTTCTGACCAAAAAAATAAAAAATAAAAACAAATAAATAAAGGAGAGAGATAAAGAAAGCAGAAATTCAAATATGAAGAATTGCACTTTGAGTGTACATACATGAATGAGGAATATTAAGAGACTGAAAATAGAAAAAGAATAATTGTGTATGGATTTATGTCTTCCACTGTAGTAAGTCACTTTGCTGTAGCATCGTTTTTGCATCAAATGCTAGATACACAGAATATTAGAATATATTGCAAAGTATATAGCTCCGTTCACACATGTGTGCACAATGCACATTTGGGCTTTTAGAGACTGGAAGCGGGATACATGTACATGAGATATGTGAACTGAACAAATTGCAATTCTTTTTGAGAAACATCTATTTTTCATCATAGTTGATGTCCACACAGAATCATTCAGGGGGGCGTTTCACAAAACTTGTCTTCAGTGACAAATGATAGCTTTTGTTATAAGCTACTGAAATCCTTGCTTCTGATTGGTTATCGGCAGATTTGTCACTGATTTTTGTCATTGGTCATTGAGAAAAGGCTTTGTGAAACGGGTCCCTGGTCATATCGCAAGGTAGATGAATCAATTGCTTTTGCGTGATGGTAAAGCAAGGAAGAATAGTAACTTAGTTTGGTATACAAAATGCAAAAGGCCAAAAATGAGGGAAATGTATTTTGCTACATATTTTGTATGACACGCTATGCATTTTGCAGGAAAATTCAGACTGTTTGTACAGGGTTTGAAGATTGAAGATAGAGAAATGATGCTGTTTTTCCTATGAACAGATTGATATTCTACATGATAAAATGTATGTGTTGCATAAGATTGAATACATTATAAATACCAGTACCGCTATTGAGATGCATCTTGCCTGTATGTTTTTATCGTCAGAAACCAAAGTTGAGACATTGTAAAATGATAGAATTTAAGCCTTATGAGTTCAATTGTTTGGTGTGGGAAAATGCTGAGTTATGATGCGAGGTAAATGAAGCCTTATGAGTATGAAATATGTTGGAATGTTTTATTGTGAATATTGCAACATTGCCAACAATGGTTTTAGTTAAAGATCTTTTGTAGATATTATGTTGTAATAAAACATGTAACAATTTATTTCAGTAATTTAGTAATGTAATACACGCTCCTTTTCTGTACAAATCATTGGGCTTTTTGCCATTTATTTGTTGTTCTGAACATTCATTGTTTGTTATTTAGCGATGACTTATTTTCTTTTTTTATCAGCACTCAACTGTCACCTTAAGCCAAGTTGTGACATGATGCAGCAAAATCACAGTGGTTTTTGAATGACGTATTAAAAGTGTAATACGCTTTATACATTTCCGTATCTATAAGTCTGCTTTAAACAATATACATTTTGAAAAGCTGATAACTCGGTCCAAAATTCGGTACACTTTATGAATAATGGCAAAATCATCGGGCATGAGTGATTTTTATTTAAAATGTAGCATTTTTGAGAATCTGAAATACAGTGATATGGAATTCAAATGTTTTCTTGTACAATATTCAAATGATGTATACTGTATCAATCTTGAGATATAAATGTACCTCTGTTTATTAACTGTATTTTAAACAATGCACACCCTAGTTTGCAATAATTTGATGGACTCTTAAGATAAAATGAATTGAGTTTAGATATTCTTTGTCAATAGATCATTTTGATATTGTATGTTCATAGCCAGAAAGGTGTTACATCTGTGTTTAAGATACTATGTCCCTTTTGCAGCCAACCTCAAATGCTGTAGAACTTTGCAGGAATTATGAATATGTCATGTATGTCCTATCTCTGAAATTTAAACGTTAGCAGTGTCCTCATATTCAAATTATGCAAGGAAAACCGTTTACTTGCTAGACTTCACTGTCAGACACTATTGAGTGACTGACTGGCTTTTTCTTCTTTGGTAATAACATACATGAAAAGAGTTGTAAAGAGTACATGACTATTTGTCTACATCAATAACCCACTTTTTGTGATGGCCAAGATTAAACTGATTGAATCTTTGCGCAGCATAAAACGTATGACCATTCGGTACAATTGTCTGAAAATCAAGACTATTACTACTGGGCTCTATAGCCCTAAAGTCGATTTTACAACTAATAGTCATTATTTTCCCACTTGAAGACATTTTCAAGCCCCACCTTTTTTAGGGAAGTTCTAAATTAGTATTATCTTTCAAATGCAGTTGGAATTTAACTTTTTCATTTTTTTGGCCTGCAAATGGGACATAGTCCCTTTAAACTATATGAGTTAACACCCTTCTGTCTCCAAACAGATGATGTATGTACATGTAACTTGATTTGATATTTGTTTATATTTGATATGATTATGATGGTGTTGCAAGTTTGAAAGACTGTCATTTATTGAAGGACATTTAAGAATTGAGATAAATGGAGGTTATAGAACAAAATTGATATATACTATTGTGTATGGTTAGATATTTGATTGAATGGTTAGTTTTATTATATATTTTGTAAACACTATAATGAAACATTGCCTTACCAATACATGTAAGTGCTTGATAAGCTTCAAACTTTCTTTATAAATGTTATATAGTTATGGTTTAAGCCTTCAAGCCTGTTCTTCAACTTTCTGTTAAAGAAAGTTCCCATGTGTCTTAAAAAGATGAATGCAACTTATTACTTAAAATAGATTTCACAATAGATATTATTGCATGTGCTAACTATTTGTATTGAATGTAGTTTGGTAGATTGAATCATTATGGTATAGTCTTTGTTTATGTTTTAGAAATGGACTAATTTAAGGTATGTAAGTTCTAACATGTAGCTGTGATTCTTTCCTTTTTAAAGATGCAGATTATACTATAAAAATTGTGTTTTCGTTTTAAAGATTACTTGATGAAGCATATAATAATCAAGTAGACCTACAAATCAACCAAAAATAGGAATGATAACATTTCAAAATTATACACACAAACAGTCTATTAATGAATTGCATGTTGCATCATTTATCTCATTTATTTGATAATATTTGGTTTTGTAATCATGTTGAGTTCACCTCAACTTGTGGTTTTAAAGAATCTGCTTACATATATACAAATGTGTAAAAATATTATTTTATGGAATAAGGGAATGCTGGGTGCTGAAGAGGCTTGTTCAGATATGATATTTTATGTGTAGAAAACAAAAATGCAGTGGCTTAACAGCCATATCTGAACAAGCCTTAGGAGAGGAAAAACGTCTTTAGTAAATCGTCTTCTCTGAATGCAAGTTAACATTTATTTACTACAACTCATTCATCATTGTGAAATGTTCAAATCAACTCTAAAAAGAGTCGTTCTAAATACTTAATTGATATGTAATGCTGCATCTTGGTTAAAATACTTTGTTTGGATAAGTAGAGTAAGTAATAAAATCAGAATTCAACCTTGATATTTGCTAGAGATCAAGGTAGTTGCCATTTTTTTTTGTAGGGGTGTTTCAATCAGCAATGAGATAACAGTTAAATGTTATGTTTGTATTGTATTGAGCAATGCTATATATTTTGGTGCAAATTAATATGTGATGAAAACACTGTTGAATTTCAAGTTTGTTCAAGATTTTAAAAAAGGTTGAGAAGTGCTTGTTTAGAGTACTTAAAACATACATATGCACTGTATGTGGAAACGTTGACTATCCCAGTCCAGAGTTTGTTCTAAAACCAGAAAAGAATTAAAATTAGAATACAATTAGGGCCTACTGTGCAAATATTCACAGCAATTGTCTAAACTGTATCGTTGCGTAAGATTCATAAGATGTTTGATTGAGAAATCACCCTTTACTTGTCCTGTTGTCGTAGATCATTTTCAAATCTAGAAATGCATCACTCTTGATGGTTTTGGTCAAACAAAAATAGGTCATTTACTTAGCTTGTTTGAAGTTATGTCAAGTTTCCTAGAATTAGAGCTAAGAAGTGCAATCTTTTCACATTTAGTGAAGCAATAAAAACACACTTTTTGCCAGTACTGTAAAAACAAAGAGTATTATTTGTGTATTTATTGAATTGTGTGGGGATTATGGACCGATGGCCTTTATATAGAGAGGTGGCCACTAAGAGGAGAATTGCTGTTTGGTCTACAAACAGTTTTCCTAATACCTAATTAGTCTATTCCAATATGGTCTACACCAATCAACCCCGTCTACTATCCACATGGTCTAATGATGGTTTTCTATACTTGGTGTAATGACCATTTAGACAAACTGGGTATTGGACCGACTGGGAATAAGAGTAAATGAGCAATAGACCAAATGGGTATCAGACTCATTGGAGATTAGACAAAATGGAAATTAGACCAAATGACAATTAGCCTAAATGGTCCAATTAGACCAAATGATCAGCAGACAAAATGTTCATTAAACCATATGGGTAGAAGACGGGTTGGGTGTAGACCATATGGGAATAGATCAATTGGATAGTAGACCAAACGGCAATAAACCCACTAAGACATGTATATTGATGTAGCAATATTTCGATGGTGGCTTTCATTTTCATGGAGAAAGAAAAAAGGGTGCTTTGAAATTTCAGGAAACTTGCACAAAGACTTACCTAATAATTTGAGACAGAATTAAGGGCGTTAACTATTTTAATCTGATGTTAGAAAATGCCCTACTGGCTCTCACCACACACCCTTTTTGGGGGAGGGGGGGGGGGTAGTTCACAATATGATTACACACCCATAACCACAGGTTTTTCCAAAAAACCCTGAACTAGTTTTAGCCATAGGTAACAATCACACCCTTTTCTATTTTTTTCTAAAAATTACGCCCTAAACAAGTTTAATCCTCTCAAAACATTTTTTGAACACTAAACTTTTAAAATAAATCTCTAGTCTAAAAAGGGTGCCCTGAATGAGTTTTGGCAAACAATTAGAATTTAGTTTTGCAATTAGTTTTGGAATATGAATGCTCCCCCCTTTTCGGTCCCCGGATCAATGTTATGTTTGTTCAATTTACATCTCAATAATCTGTCTACCTTGGAAAAATAATCTTTCCTCCAAATTTCAATAAAACCATGCGAATGAGTCGTTTTTTATAAGTTGTAGGCCTACCATTTTTGTCTGAAAATTAAGGTAAATGAGTGACGGCTATTAAAATATCAATACTTGCATGGTTGATAGGCCTGACGGTTAACATTTGTTCTGTGATTGAATCACCTTGCTCCATCTATTTGAACTTCAAACGGCACTTTAATACTCACTCTATTACCAGCACTATACTCGTCGGGAAAGTTCAAACTAAGTTTAAAAATGTCAAAAGTATCAATCTCACTTTTAATATCAAAGCAACATTATTCTGCCTGACGCCTATGTTGACAAACATAATTAATTAGACAAGGGAATTATTACCCGCTTCCCTTAAAATATGCATATTTTTCTGTAAGATAAAACTCATTAGAGTCCCCCCCCCCCCCCCCCCCTATGTTTCCACTGTCAGTCCCATTTTATATCGCTCTTTTTTTTTTGTACCTGACTGTAGGCCTAGCTGTTTTGCGGCTGGCTATCTAGGCTATCATGTATATACTGCGTATTATGTGCAAACGTGTAATTGATGGAGTCAGACCTGGCAGACTACATGTACTACTGTTTGTTTAGGTAGCGACGGGAACGACCGTTCGAGCACCAACATTTTTACTGGAAACAATCGAAAATGGACCGTTGATTCAATCAGTAAAGAGGTATATGATTGATTACATATAAGTATCGTCGAAAATCTTGGAAAAATGGAGTTTACATTCAACGTTAATCATCTTTTTGGTGAAAGTATTGCAGTTGTCGACAGAGATCTGAGGCCGTATCGCACACACTCTCATGGGTGAGTAGACAGCGGGGCGGAGCGGGCGTGAAATATGTTGCGAATGTGCTGTGTGGGTTCATGCATAGGCCTAACGTTATAGCGGCCTAATTGCATTGTTCAACCTCGTTTTCCATTGACAAAAAAAATAAATGAGAATAGACCTTGAATTCATACTGTCAGTACAATGTCAAAAATCTTGAGGTGATAAATTCTTCGCTTTTGCTTGTTAGAGAATATTTGGACCAAAAATGGCAAAATCTGAAACCCTGATGAAATTCTGAAGTCTGACCCGTACCCCCACCTTTTTTTTTATGATGGAATTTTTTTTAAATCTTGGATTTGCACCTGATGTTAAACAAAATTAACTACCCCCCCCCCCCCCACGCCTCCCAGAGAGAGAAGGAAACAAATTGTCTCTCCCAACACTATGTTTTTGTTATATTGATGTAGAGTCTACAGGTGTAAATGTTTTACACACAAGCTGCTTTAAACTCTGATTTTAAGCGATAAACTTTTAATATGATTCAAAACAAAATCGTCAATATTATGAGCCGACAAATTTGTACAATAACATACTATATATGACAGATTCGTCGATTTATAATAATGCCGACAAAATGTACAGTTAACAGCTAAATAATTCATGAGTAGCCTTGCCAAGTTTTGTACATTTTGTAACCATTCTCTACTGGAACTGGGTGGTTCCTGCATTACATACTGTACATTTACATAGCCATTGAATAGACCTAGACACTATATGAGTATTCATTTGTCATTGCAACGGGTGAAAATTGATTTGTCCAAATTTATTTTTCTTGAGAATGTGACACATACATCTAAAAGTAATCGACAGTGGCCCTAGAATTAAACCAGCCCACCTTTCAGTCTTTAGTTATGAAAAACACAAAAAAACATTGAATTTACAATGGTGTACATGTATGTCTGTATGAATAATTTAGTTGTTAACTGTACATACACTGTACACCTGTACAAATGTAAATGTAATTCCATCAATGGGATCTCAAACAACCTTGATCACATGACATTGTCACATTTTTGCCCTCAGATCCGAGGACCACCAAGCGAATCTGGAGAAGGTTATTGATCAGATGGGGATGGCATCATCAAAGGTAGTGTATTCCATCACAAATTTGTTTTCACAATTATATTTTTTAGTAGCTGGCCTGTAGTGACAGATTTCATATGATCTTATTGCACCAACTGCAGTTCTCCAAACTGGGGGAAGCCAAGCCAAGAAGAAGAAGCTTATAAGACAGGTTCTAGAATCTAAGCAATCCGACTGGTCAATTGAAATCATGTGGGCGTGCATTTACATGACCATGTACATGTACATGTACATGTACATGTATACAGTGTACATGTATCTCCTTTGTGAAAATATGTTTTTGTTAAATTCCATGAAAAAAAAATGAAATTTGAAATTGAAACTTAATTATATGTTCAGCATTGATTTAAATATAAATGTATCATCATATTTCTTCAGAATTGGTGAAGCATAATGTTATTATGTTAATCTGTCCAACAAACATGTACCTCAGAAGTTCAAAAGTTCAGTTGGGGGGGGGGGGGGATAAGTCTTAGATTTGTATGAATCCTTAGTCTGGATGTGGATCACAATATGTTGCAAAAAATTGATCTTTGTCTATCCTAGAAAGTAGAAACAATAATAGAAAACAAATTGTATTGACCTTTTATTTACCATCTGAACTTCTCTTGAACATGGTTCATATATGGTGCATTAAAGTTAAGTTTGAAATTAAGATTTCCTGTTACATTCATATACATGTACAATTGTACAGTACATACAGTACATGCTCCATGAATATAAAGTACATGTACGTGTAAGAGTTATGATGTTTCTGTATTACTTACTGTATATTTTACTTATACACACATGCCAACTGTTCAGATTAAAGAGGAACATTCCTCTTTTTGGGAGAAGATAATTATCATTTTAATGCAGGTGTTCCTCTTCCTGTACAAATTTGTCTGTAGTATTGAATAGGAGAGTTAGGATTGTTCCTCTTTTTTTTTTAAAATAGCATAATTTGTACAGATTTCTGATTTTCAAATGTTGGCATGTATGCTTATATCTCTCTTGTTTGTATGTATTTTTGTTTCATTCTAGGCCCAAGGTTTAAAACATGTCATCACCACGGCTCGGAGATTACGTTTTACAGACAATAAACTGTATGTTGTCACAGATCCCATGGCTAATGGGTATGTTCAAACTCTTTATTTTTTATTGTAAAGTACGTTAAATTCTGATTAGGTGAATAAAAAACTATTTATTTTGATTTTATTTGTGTGCTGTGAGATTTTATGAACATGAACATTGTAAAATGATCAAGCATTTTGATGAAAAGGATTTAAGATGATGCGGGTAAGTATTCTGAAAACGATGTTGTATTTTCATGTTTGTTTGTAAAATAATTATTGTAACAAATATACATTAAGAAAAGTCATTTTGTTAATGTTTGCAAAATGCTTTCTGCAAATGTGATGAATAGTTATTATGACAATTAAACAAAATTTTCTCAAACATGAAAAAGAAAACATCATTTTCAGAATATAGCCATATACTGCAGGTGTGCATATCGGGACATACTGTACATGTATGTTTCCTTACATGTATTTGTGACTCAATTTTCGCCTAATTGATGAGAAATGCATGCCTCAGAGAATCCAAGTGCAAACACAAAAGAAGAAAAAAAAGAAAGAAATGGTTCAAAATACAGAAATGCACTGTATCGATTGCATTACACTTTCTATTCGAGTCAAAGAAGGACAAGGAACTCTTCCACGTATTGATGATGCACTCTGCATCACTTGATGAACGCATCACTTTGGAGTTAAGGCCTAGTCTCTGCTTGCAGACACATAACGCTCTCAACGGAATCAGAATACTGAGCATAGTTTACATGTTATGTGATTAATCAGTACTTACAAGAGACCAATGATTACCAAAAACGGGCAAAAAGAGTCTTTTTTTTCTGTAATTTGGGGGTTCACATGCTGGTGTTTTAAAATATCACCTTCAAATATCCTTTCTGTTTTTGCACTGTAATGAATTGGTTTAAAATGACTTTTGAATGGTTACTTGAGTTGATCCACAGAAGCCTGGTTCTGATATGATGTGGCAAAATAGAGGCCCTTTTTATGATGAATTACAGTTTAATATGGTTCAAATTTCTGTACCCAATATTAAATACAGAGCTCAGTGAATACACGTATGCGCAGGACTTTTGTTGGTGTTTACATGTAAAGCAATCAGTATTTTATTGCGCCATATCCGAAAGAGCCTTTACCGGGAAATGTACAGTATGTGCAGAAGTTAAAGCTGAGTTACCTTCTGAAAAGGCCTTTACATGTATATTCAATCATTTTCTCATAATACTCTTTGATGGCTAAGCATTTGAACATTTCATATAATATGGGGATGTTTACCTCTTTCAAAAGGTACATGTACACTGTATATGTACATACATGCACATGTACCGGTATACAATATTTTGTTTAAGACCCACATGTACACTGTACATGTATACAAGTCACAATTTTTGTCCATATTTTATGTAATTCTATACATCTCCACAAACATGCAACATATATATTTGCATCATTGTAAACTCTACAAAATTGCATATAGAACTTTCTATTTCAATAACAAGAACGGATAACAATTAACAATACATGTAGGTCTGTTTAGTAGACTACTCACAGCTAGTCTTGCATGCAGGTTGTCACGCTTGCATAGATTTTGTGACACGAGTCAGAGGCCCACCTGTATAGTATAGGGGTAACTTATACAGGTCAAGTGAGCTCGCAGTTCAGGTGCATAATGCTAAATAGATTAAAGATCACTCTTGTGAAACATATGGGTTTTGACAAACAAAAGTATGAATTAAAATATGAAGGGCACAGTTTTGTGAATTGTCATATAATTCAGTTCAGTTCAGTTCAAAGTATGAATTAGAAGAAAAACAAATAAAATTTAATATTACATATGTCATATAAATATGTACTGAAAAGATGGTCAGTGCTGGTTATAAGTTTGTAACTTGTACATGTAGTAAAATAGTCATACATGCATAGTTTATTGCATAATATAGCGTTGCTAAACTTTTATCAAGATAAACTCTGTGATCTATATTTGGAACCAATGGATAGGCTCTGTTATTACTCTGCGTGAAACGTTAAAATGTCTCTGCTACAGTGTACATGTTTTACAACTTGAACTATCATGGCCAAACTGACTCAATTTCATTGATTTTTATGTCCATGGCCCTATCTGTAGCATTGATACAGACACTTTCTCCATTGATCCTTTAATTTACCTTCATGGATTTAGTAATTAAGCATCTACATGTATGGCTACACGTACATGAAATGTAGTACTGTAGGTAGATTAAAATAAATGAAATTGTATGCCATCCCATTCAAGTGAATACATGTACATTTGTAGGTCATCTTGTACAGGTTCATATTCAAACGTTAGAACTGTACCGTAAGTAAATGTACATGTACAGTTGTACATGTACATGTAGCTGTGTGTTTATAGTAAAACGACCACCACCACCACAACCATCATCATCATTGTCATCATAATTATAATATTTTTCATCATCATAATCATTATTATTGTTGAAGTCATTATTTTATCATCATCATCATCATCATCATTGTCAAAGTCATTATTGTCATCATCATCATTATATTTATTACAATAATAGAAAACGAAATTTGAAAAAAAAATGGTTAAAGCTTCATGTACGCAAGCTACATGTACACTGTATGTACATGTACATGTAGCTAAAATGTACAATGTAAGTTGTAGAAGCCTACAGAAGGTCACAGAAATGTAGATCAATGCTTTAATGACATCAATGCTTTAATGACATCATTTAATGTCATTGAATTCAACACGGCAGAAAAAGCAACAGTCACACTAGAAGTCAATTAGGGCTCTATCAAAGTGAATTAAATAGATAGAGCTCTAATGATAAATGCATTCGTTTGTGGATGGATAATTGGTGAGTCATTGATCTAGATTCATGCTCATCTGTAGCTAATGACCTTCTGAATTTATGTGCAATTAGAGAGCCATCAGAAATGATTAAGGAGACAAGTATTAGGTGCATAATTGTACAGTTTAATTCCATTTTATAATCATGACTGAACCGTATGTGAATGTTCATGAATGTAAATTTAAATACCTGTTCATGCATTTAATGTGTAATTGTAAGGCCTATTATATTTGTAAAAGTACTTAAACCATAGCAAGACAGCATCTTCTTTTATTGAAATTTGTGCAGTATCTTTTGATCCAGAATGCTAGGACTCGTACACATTATACAGAAGTAGGAGCAAAGATCACATAATTTTTAAAGTCCATTTCCAATGCTGTAATGAATTAAGAACGATTTAATTGTAACTAATCATTATAAAAATCTTTTAATTGGTAACACAATGTAAAATATAAATCACTCTTTTGTGTACAAATTGACAATTTTTCAATTAAATTTTACAATTTTTGTATAAATTCAACTTTTTCGAAACCATGATTGAATGGAAAATAAGATTAATTGCTCTCAATTTGAGTAGGAAAAATTACTAATTTTAGAAAATAAAAAAACTCTGAACTGTTGCATTAAAAATACTTGGTAATTATGCAATTTGGTATCACTTAGAGTAAATGTGGAAATACGCCACTAAAATCAATTTCACTATGGAGTTCAAGTGTAAGAAAAAACCTGTTAATCTAGGTCTAAAAATGGCTGACATTACATGACTTAATAACATATTTTTTTCCTCCAATTTTAGTGAACTTGGAGCAGTGGTAGGCATCCTGAAAACAGGGAGGAAGAATCTATTCGTTCTTGATCGCCATGGTAACCAGACAGAGATGCAGCCTATCTGCGTCCTGGATTTCTACGTCCACGAGTCGTGTCAAAGGAAGGGATACGGCAAGAAACTCTTTACACACATGCTTCAGGTTAGTATTATGAAGTGGTGAAATATGATGATGATGGTGATGTTGGTGATGATGATGATGATGATGATGATGGTGGTGGTGGTGGTGGTGGTGGTGGTGGTGGTGGTGGTGATGATGATGATGATGAATATGATAATGATGATGGTGGTGGTGGTGGTGGTGGTGGTGGTGGTGGTGGTGGTGATGATGATGATGATGGTTATGATGATGATGATGATGATGATGGTGGTGATGATGATGAAGATGATGATGTAGGTGATGATGATGATGATGATGGTGGTACATGGTAATGATGATGATGATGATGATGATGATGATGATGATGATGATGATGATGATGATGATGATGATATGATAATGATGATGGTGGTGGTGGTGGTGGTAGTGATGATGATGATGATGATGATGATGATAATGATGGTGGTAGTGGTGGTGGTGGTGGTGATGATGATGATGATGATGATGATGATAAGATAATATGATGATGATGGTGGTAAGGGTGTTGGTGATGACATACAGATGATATTTGCAATTTTTTATTTTTTAATACCTATTTTATTTTTTTATACAAATATTACTGTAAAATAGGAACATTCTGGTAATAGAAATTCAAAATTCATTACATCAATTACTTTCATCATCACCACATCCTCATCTTTATTTGTTCATACATACCTACATACATGTACACACTCCTTCATCACTACTTTTATATAATTTTTCTTCAAAAGGAAGATTCTTGTATTTAACACCAAAAGAAGTTTAAACAAAAATAGTATGTTCCTTAAAATATGTACATGTACATCTTTCTTTCCATTTTGTACAGGCTGAAGGCGTGAAACCACATCACCTCGCAATAGACCGTCCATCACACAAGTTCCAATCTTTCCTTATGAAGCACTACAGGCTCAGAGCTACAATTCCTCAGGTAAGATTCAGCAAATTCAGCGATCAGGCCATTAAAAAAACAAAAATCATGTTTAGCGTCCCTGTCTGTTTCCTCTTTGGGGGCCGCCTTCTTTTTTTTCTTCTTTTAATTTTTTTTTTTTTAATTTAAATTTTTTATTTTTTAAATTTTTTTTTAATGGAAAAAAAAGAAGAAAAACATACAGCTAAAATGATCTATTTCTGATTTTGAAATAAAAATTTTAAAAAAAGGGCCTCCTCCTCCTTCCTATTTTTCAAAAATGCAGGATGCTAAACATGTTTTTTTCTTTGAATGGCCCTATACTCTTTTCACACTGGTTTTGCTTAACCCCGTACTTTGCTTAGCCCCGTACTATCCTTAACCCCGGACTATTTTTTTGGCTTTTCACACTCGCTGTTTTTAGTCCCGTACTAGCGCCTATTCCGGAATAAGAAAATTCCCGCTGTTCTCACTGCATTTCGTTAACCCGGATATCGTGTATGTTATGATTGGACATACCTCGCATCTGGCCAGCTGCGATACGCTCCATTGCGTAGTACCGGACTATTTTTCGTTTCTGTTCTCATTCATTTGCTTAGCACCGCAATTGCGGGGTTAGCAGGAGTTAGCACCACAATTGCGGAGTTAGCCCTGCTATTTTGCAGGGTTAGTTAACCCCGTACTATAGGTGGGGTTAGCCAACTTTAGCCCACTTTGGTAAAAACCAGTCTGAACAGAAAGTGGAATATGCTTAACCCCGTACTATAGGTGGGGCTAAGACCCCCCCCCCCCCCTTAACCCCACCTATAGTACGGGGTTAAGCAAAATATTGCCAGTGTGAAAACAGTATTAGCCTAATAATCAATAAAGGTGGTGTACGTGTCCCTTTTGCATGCTGATCATGTGTGTGAATCCTATGGTAAACAAGAGATTATAGATAATACCATCTAAGAACTCACCAGAAAAGATTAGAACTGGCAATTGCCTTTATGTGGAATTATATCGACAGTTAGGAATTTTTGCAAGGCATGTAGAAAATAGTCTGATTTTCAGACCCTTGTACCATATGGTTGTGTGTTTTGTGCTGCGCTAAGATTCAATCAGTTTTATTTTGGCCATTACAAGAAGTGGGTTATTGATGTAGACAAATGCTCATGTACCCTTTACAGCTACAGTGAGTATTACCAAAGAAAAAAAGAAGTCATTCAGTCACTCAATAGTGTCTGACAGTCTAGAAAGTGAATGGGTATCCTTGCATAATTTGAATACTAGGACACTACTAACGTTTAATTTTCACAAATAAGACATACCTGTACGTGACATATTCATAATTCCTGCAAAGTTCTGCAGAATTTTGTCTTTGTTTTCTTGTTTTTTCTTTCTGCATATGGCACTCTACAGTTATTTTGTTACACAGATAAATTTAAATGTCTACAAGTACAATACTCCCTACTGCACATACATGTAATGTACATACGATTGTGAAATAATGCTTTAACAATGTTGGTGTGTATAGACTTCTAGACTTCCTGATTCTTCTTTGTCACATACCAAACCAAGCATGTATAATTACTGTCGAGCTTGAGACGGTTTGCAACCACAATATTTTGTTACCCTGGCTACTATGCATTCATGTATTGTAAAGTGAAGGCCTTTCAGAGTTAGACTTTTCCCTTGTAAACAAGTTGACAGTAGAAAGACGGGCAAGATGATATTAGATGGTTCCTCATAGAGAAATTCTAAGTACATATAGGGTTCATACATACTGTACAGGTCAATTTGTAAAAGTTGATTTAACTGATATGAATCTTAAGCCCCTACAGCACTATAGCTACTTGCTCCCTCTATATAGCAAACAATGCCTACCGGTAAACGGTGCCTGTTGGTCTCCCATGATTCTCTTTTTCTTATGTTAATTGAGAGTTGATTTGATGAGATGACCACCTGTCACTGACCTTGCAGGGAGGTCTAATCCCCCTAGCCAAACTAGTACAGACAGGCTTTAATATCCTCATAAATAATTACTCACTACTGCATTAGCTCCATATATATTTTCTTTGCTGGTTGAAGCTAAAAGTATACTAATAAAAAATTCTCTCTTTAATTATGTGGGATTCTTTTGATGTTAAAGCATCTTATGTTCATCCAATAGTATACATGTATGTTCATATGATAGCGTAATGCATCACCTGATCTTATAATGGTTATGTTAATCATTGGGACTATGGCTCCAATCCATGACATACTGTATGGAAGTCCGACATGGGAGCCCTGAGTGCTTTGTCCATATAATGCCCTTTATTTAATACCAAGGCTTTTTCTTTTTTCATTTTACAGGTGAATAATTTTGTAATATTTGAAGGTTTTTTCAACAACCAACCAGAGAGCAGCTACTGCAGGAAGAGGGCCATGGGTAAGCCCCCTGTCCCCCCTAACAACAGACTAGGTGAGTAGCAGGGATGGTGTATGTAGAGGGGAGGGGGAAGAGCGGAGGAAAGAGGGGGGGGGGGGGTTAGAAGGGGAAGGTAGAAGCTCTTGGATTTAGAAAACAAGATAGATAGAGAGAGAGAGATATATATTATGTTCCTTTCTGAATGTTCCAATGTTTTATCAAAATGCACTGGGCTGGCATACAAAAAGTGTAAGATTATGTAGATGAGGGAAGTGATCCATATGTGATTGGGGGGGGGGGGGGGGGCAGGGTAGTATATAGATGACAGTAATTGCATACTGACATGTTGACAACCAGAAAGCATTCACTCCTATCACTTCCCATCAGACGATAATGGATGCCAGAACGTTTAACTCCAGAAGGGTGTTTAACTCTATGTTACTACATTCTCGGCCAGCAGAAAAATCAAAAGATGCATAGAAGCAGGGAGCCATTTAGCTCTGGAAAGCCCCTAAATTGCTCTGGTAAACTGCAAATCAATCAAATACCTACATATCACTGTGAGAAAATTGCACTTTTACTACACCTGGGCCCGTTGCAGAAAACTTATCATTGATGGTAACTTTGCCATTAATGGTAACTACCTTGGAAACCATGATTTTGATTGGCTGTTGAGTCCTGTTACCATGGTAGTTGCCATTGATGGCAAAGTTACCATCAATGTTAAGTTTTATGCAACGGCCCAGATCCTGAAAAAGCTCCCACAAACAGAATAGTACTTTTTTACACTGCCCTCAACAGATGATTCATCATTCAAAGGACCCTGTGCTTAATTTCATTTCATTTCTTTTCTCTATGTATTCCACCATCTCTTCCCCCCCCCCCCAATCCATCACAGTCCACCAACCCTCGCCCACAACGCCCCATCGCAATGCTACCTCATCGGGTGTGTGGGGCCAGGGGACCAGTCCGTCCCCCGTGACGGCCAGAAAGAGGGACAAAGAGGTTCTGAGGGATGTCATACCGCCCTCTAGAGGTTCGTCAAGTGGCTCCAACGATGGTGTCGCTGGTTTAGAGCTGTCAGGGTTGGAGTGAGTATCTCAGATTCATTGTGTTTTCATGTGTACATCCATATTGCATGATTTACATTTACATGTAATACAGTGAAACATGTATATAAAGATCACTCAAGGGGAAAAGGAAATATGGTTTTTATAGACAGGTGGTCTTTATGTACAGGTTCCTGTAGTACAGGACTTAATGAGAAAATATATTCAAGGGAAAAACATGTGATCTTTATAATTGGTGGCCTTTCTATACAGGTGGGTCGCTAAAGCAGGTTGGACTGTAATATGCAAGATATCTGTTGAAGTTGTTAACAAGTCATGATTTATCCATAATCAAAATTGTAGAGATGTCAATTGCCTTTCTCTTATACCTGGAGAGCTTTTTTCTGGATTGCAAGCTAGAATTTTTCTCTTTTTGTTGTTTCTCTTTCAGATGATTTCTTTCACATTTAAATCAGATAGAAAAGAAGAAAAAAAACTTTAGATTGTGTAAATGTATTGCAATGTATTAAAATTAAGACTTGCATAGGTGTTATGCTATGGTCACATTACCCAAAAGTAGCCTGCTCGGCGGCCGAGCGGTGAGTTTTTAACCAATTTTGCCCGGCGGCTGCCTGGCCACCGAGCGGCGGCCGCCCAGGTACCGCTCGTTTTTAGGGCATCGCTCGGTCGCCGCTGAAGTTTTAGCGCGGAGTTAAAATTTGGGCGGCGCCTGCTCATTTTTCACTCGCCGCCCAAAATACGCTCGGTGCCTGGGCGGTCGCCGCCTGGGCACCGACCTAATTGCTGAAAATGCTTAATTCCAGCAGCGACCGAGCAGGCTACTGATCGGTCGGTCGCTGCTCTGATTTGTGACCAAAGCTTTAGTTACGTACTCTTATGGAGTAAATTTTGCATCATTTCATCATACATGTTGATTCAAAAGTCTCTAAAGGGATTTCTTTACAATTGAAAATTGGGGCTGTAACTGTTTAGATAACTGTAATAAAACAGTGTTTTCGCAAATGTTGTTCTACATATCTATACAAAAGTTTCCTTTGACAAGTTTTCATTGAGAAACACTTTTCATAGCAACAAGATAAGATCATGGAGATGGTTCCTGTGTAACATCTCCAAACATCATTTTGTTATGTTCCTATTCTTTATCAGGATATCAACCCGGGGGATGGGAGCCCAGGCTAGTAGCTACAGCAGGTACGCCCAGAACTCGACCCCGCCCGTTGGTAGGACAGGTAGTGCAGGGAGTAGGCGTAGCTCTTTCACCAATTCACCCATTGCGGGCAGTCCTTTACAAGGTAAAGACATGTTGTTCTTTTGGAGCAACAACCTAGATAACAATATGACGTTGGGCCAAGATCACCATTTTTTCACTGATAAACAGTGAATATTGGTTGGCTGTACAACGTTTGGCCAACAACATTAGCTAAACGTTGGGCCATGGCACATGGTGGGATAGGTTTGGCCCGACGTTGGCTGACATCAATTTGTCGTTGTTGAGCCAACGTTGGCTCACCAGCCAAAAAGACGTTGGGCCAACGTAACAGCACACGGCCCAACGTCGTATTGCTATGTGGGAAGAGTAGATCACCTAAAACGTGTTTTTAGAAGAAAAAAAAACATACAAAGGTTTCAGTATATTTATGTTTAAAGGAAACCAAAACCTTCATACTAAGTTACTTTTATTGTAAAGTTTAAGATATTTGAAAAATATCAGTGAAAATTTGAACAAAATCGGGCAAGGAATAAGGAAGTAAGAGCTTTTTGAAATGACTAGTCACTAGAGGGCTGTATTCAATTTGATGACATCATCTGTGGACAACTCTCCATGCCTTTTGTACATCAAATTTCATGTTTTTCCTTCTTTCTTGTGATTGAGATAATGTACTCCCCTGAAAGCAAGATATAGAATGCAAAATGATATTCTACTTCACATGTTATGAAGTCGGACCAAGAACACAAATAAATACGAAGAAAACAAAAAAATGGTGAAATTTTATGTACAAAAGGCATGGAGAGTTGTTCACAGATGATGTCATCAAATTGAATACCGCCCTCTAGTGACTAGTCATTTCAAAATGCTCTAACTTTCTTATTCCTATTGACAAAACTTTGTGTCAATCAATATGATGATTCAGTAGTTACACTATTATAATAATGTATTAACACTCCTGTGACAGGCTTTTCTGTGGGTGAGCAGAATCGAAGGAACTCATTGGACAACCCCAGAAGAGGAGTCGCAAACGGCAATCAACCCAATACTTCCAAAGTGAGCAGTAGCCCACCCCCTTTTGGCCACATCGGTGCCTTCTCTACGTACAATAGCCACCTTCAGACGCAGTCCAGAAACGGCCATCTCAAAGTTTTGCCAAACAGTACTCCGATCACGAATAACAGGTAGGGAGTCTTTTGTTCAGCTCTGTCTATGAAAAAAAAATAATTTGGGGTTATGCGCTTAACCAGGATTTCATTTTAGGGGGGGGGCGGTAGTGAGCACGCAAAGCGTGCGAATCACTTACAGGGTGCAGAGAGGGAGGAGTTTCCCCCCTCCCGCGCGAAGCTTTGACGTTTCATTAAATTATTAGAGAAAGAAGACGATTCGTTTTACCGTTCTCGACTCTAAATCCTTGTCTGAATTCAGTTTCCCCGCTCCCGGTGCAAAGCGCGGAAGCTTTCACGTTTCATAAATTATTAGAGAAAGAAGACGATTTGTTGTACCGTTCTCGACTCTTAATCCTTTTTCTTCCTACGTCCTCTTCCTTTCTTTTTTTTTTTTTTTTTTTGCCGGCGTTTTTTTTGGGGGCTATCGCCCCCACCGCCCCCGCCTGATGCTTGGTGATGCTAATGGAGAGGATAGGAGTTCTTGTTTGTACATGTAGATTGCCATTTTAAAACTTACTCAGAATTTAGGGGTATGTGTTCTGTCAGTTTGACACACCAATCTTCTGGCTCTTGTATTCACCTAAAAATCTTATCTAGGATTGCAGCATCCTGTGCTAGAATATTCCTTTGCCTGAACCATGTGAACATGAATTTCAAAAGCTACTCATGTATATGTGGACTTCATGAACCTGTTCATAACTGGGCCCTGTCTTTTAAAGAGTTGCGATCGATCCAAATCAATCGCAGGTTTGCAGTCCCCTATCTCTAATATGTACATAGTTGCGATATCAACTCCTTATAGGACGCGGCCCTGGTCTTTTGATTGAAATGTTATCCTCTTATATCTTTCAACAGTCTAATTAAAGATCAAGCTATAATATTTAAAATCATTTTCCAAATGGGATTTATTCAGAAATTGATAATTTTTCTTTTCTCCTGTCTTCTACTTCAGACTAGACAATCAGGTAACATCAAACACGGCGCCAACGTCTAACAGCCAGCAACAGCAGCAGCAGAACTCCGCCCACAACCCCTCAGGCAACTATGTCATTGACTACACGCCCCCTCAGAAGGTCATGCACTCTTCCTGGAATGTGATGGGGATTCCCCCCAGCGGCAAGACCAGGGGAAGCCCCAGCAGCAATCAGAACAATACCCCATACAAGGGGGGAAGCCCCGCCTACCAGCAGAGCCCCGCCCAGGGTCAGGGTCAGCAGGGGAGCCCCACCAAGCAGAGTCCGGGGTACAGGAACCAGCACTGGAGCTCCAATGGGATATTTTGACGAAGGCCTGAAGGTGTTGCCGTGGTGGGTAGCAGAGTAACAAACTTGTAACAAATTTGTGACAAATGTGTGACAAATAAATGTCATAACATGTAACAAACATATTATAGACACGTATTCGATTGTGTTGCAGGTGCGTACCAAGCAGACTACAAAAAGTTTTGCCAGTGTGTAACAAGCGTGTAGCTGTCGTGCTACAAATGTATACCAAACATGTCACAAACATGTAGCACATGTGTAACAAATGTGTACCACCATGTCACAAATGTGGCACAGATACATGTGACAGCTTGTAACGCCATGTAATGCCTTTGTTCCACCTGAGTTGCTCAAGTGTGTAACAAGTTTAAAAACATGTGTATCAACCATGTTATTTGTATCAATTGGCTACAAACATGTGGTAATCAATTCAATTCAATTCAATCCAAACTAGGTTTTATTCAAGACTTGTCAAAACGTCCAAAGACTAAAAATGCAAGTTTACAGAATTGGTCTTTTGCATATCTTCAATCATATTTGAGCCCAAATTCTCAACATTTAAAACGACATTCCTGACAAAAAAGTTTACATATATATACATTTTTTTTCTTCAAGGGGGGGGGGGGGATTACAAGTACATGAAGGTTTAAATTGAAAAAAAGATGATGCATATTTTTATCCTCTAATGGGAACAAAGAAATCTGTTGCACCTTGTATTTTATTCTGTTGATATCTGATATGGAAAAACAAACAATTTATTAGCTTTGACTGTGCATACACATGAATTGTATAAACAGCTGTAAAGACTGATAAGTCTTCTGCAAAACTGTCTGATGAGAACAAATATATAGCAAAGCTTGTGTGTGATGTTCTTGCGAGATCTATTTTGCTAAAATCAGCTTGCAGTTCGTATTCCAAATTAGCTTAAATCAAGTACTTCATGTGCTCTCTGCAGATATACAAGTCTTCTTTTGCAATCTACTTTTGTACTTAAAAACGCATTCTTCTAAATGTACATATACATGTATGATATGAATCATTATATTTTTGTGTATTTTGGTGGCTGTAGTACAAATGGCTTAATTTTGTGTCCATATTGAAGCTACAATGTATGTGTAGTATACTCATCTGTTTCATCTATTTATTGTATACTTGTGTGTTTCATCTAGCTGTTCAACACATGATCTAGCGACGATTGCTCTGTGGTTAATCCCATGCACTAAGCATACTCCTAACTTACACCCTGGACCCACATTGTACCTAACCCTTACCCTAAACCTAACCTTAACTCCATTGCAACTCTTATCCTTACCATATGTCTCAGAAAAAATAAAATCTTGGAGCAATTGTTGCTGGATCAAAAGTTGAATCATCATATCTTCTATCGCTAGTGCTCTTAGATTTCAGGGAAAAAAGCATTACTTACCTTACCTCTATATCTAGTCTTCTCCATTTCAAGAATGTAGTCGCTTTGTTAAAGATAAGCAAAGAGAAAGAACTACCGATGAAATGCTAAAACTGGTAATGATTGCTTTTAAAGTTTGAATGAAAATTGTTGTAGGGTGAACGATAGGTTTTGCTTCATGTATTCATGCTTAATAGTTGTGATGGAATCATCACAAATTATATTACTTACTGGTATTAAAATAAAAGAAGGTCATCAAATCAAAGAAAACTTGAAGTTGTCTTTAGAATTACAGATTACTCCAAAATATGATGTCTTTTTAGTACATTTTGCAGTGGAAAACTGCTCAGTATTTGAAATTGGGGTATATGGTTTTACTGCTTGAGGTCACAGATATTGATTTAAAAAGAAGATTTAAAAAAAAGAAAAACAGAAAAGCAGGGTTTATTAATGCCAAGGTTACATATTGTATCAATAGTATTCGTTTCGTTGGGTTCATAGTAAAACCAAATTATATATATATTTTCTACAAAAGAACTGTCTTATTTCATATACCCTAATAGAAATTAAATCAGAATATATCTATTGCCAAGATGTCAACAGTCTGTGTTTGTATGCCATTTAGTGGAAAGACATTTTAAGATACAGAATTTCAAATAAATATTGAGGGAAGACTGTGCTGCCATTTCTGTAATATTCTGAAAGAAATATGATTAACATGTCTCTTTATATACATGTATTCTATATCTCTAGAAATCTGCCAAATTATTCAGGAAGATAATTATTTTTATGAAGTTCTGCTGATGACAGAATAGGTATTCTTCTCGGAGTATTAGCATTTCTAGAGGATAAAAATCTTAAAGTTTTCTACACTTTCATATACATTCATACATTTTATCAGTATTTCCTCAGGACCTGACTCATGAAAAACATTTGTATCCAATTGATATATTTTAAAAAGTATCATCAGGTTTCATAACAAGATGTGTCGGCACTTTGAATACTGCCATGAATTTTATCTAACAAAGGCCCATATACATAACATTGCAATGTAAGAAGTGATTAGGAAGGATTTAGAGTTTTTAATCAAAATCTAGTAGATTGTGATACATGTACATGTATGTTATCCTAGATACATTTATATAATTTGATTTGTAGATTTTTTATATACATCTGTACTTGTATACATTGTTGAAACTATTTGGTAAAATTATTGACTGAACTAATTAAAAAAAAATGACATGTAGTATGTATATTTGTGTCAATAATAACATATGACAATGCTGATTTTCCTTGAAATTACTTCTTAAAGTTTGCTTGAAGCATTCTCTCTTAAACTATATTATAATATATTTTATTTTCACAGTAAATTACTTTGTATGCAACCTAACTGACAACAGAGAGTTGTTAAATAGAACATTTTTAAATATTTTTTTTTCATTCATAAATTTTGTATGGATTAGTAGGCAATGGGCTGACAGCTGCTTAATCATTTCTGTTTGTCCAAATCTATTTTAGTTGAGTGTAATGATCAAGCTTATTTTGTTTAATATTTTTTTAGAGGTTGTGTTTGTGTTCATATTCGTCACATAGTGATGCCCAATAGCTTAGACATTATTTGCCTGTTTCTTAGTGGTGTATATGCAATGTGCTGGTAGTTAAAAAAGCCTATTTTCCTTTTCATGCAAATTTCTCATAGTTTATTTAATATATGACATGTGAATCTAATAAATATATGCATGTATAAATAGTTGCTGGCATAACAAACACATATGTAAGAGATAGTATTTCCCCAGACTGTACATAAATAGCATATGGGTGTGCAATATGTTTTGAGTGCTTTTAAAGGTTTTTTTTATTATTGCAAATGTTTAGAAAATATAGTTTGATATATTTCTTATGAACTGTAAATTCATAGCTACCAAATCTGGTGTGCATAGTACAATTTTGTTTTTAATTTGATCACATCTAGATCATTCATTACAAAGAGAAGGCAGAGTTTTGGAAAATATATTTTGACTGCTTTTTATATAAGTTTTATTCTTATTGCAAATGTTACTATAATATAGTTGATATATGATCTGTAATTCTATGACTGCCAACCTGGTATGCATATATTGTAATACAATTATTGTTTTTATTTGATCACATTAATAATATATAATTTAATATAAAACAGAAGGTTAAGTTTTGGAAAATATGTTTTAAAAGGATTTGTGAGCTTTCTAATTCTTTGTGTGTGTTAGTATTAAAGGGAGAATATCCAGTTGAAATGTCCTCTGACAAGGGTTGCTCTTCAAACGCCCTCATGTTTGAAATATGATGATAAATAGCTGAAAATTTTGGGGTTTTTCATGCCACTTGTGTGTGTGTAGTCCCATATACCTGTTTCTTTGTGCAGTGCACACAATTTTTCAGCAAGTTTGGATAAATTTCTATTTATTTTGATCAAACAAAACCATACAGGATACATATTAAAGGAGCTACACAAAGAAAATTCACTAACAACTTATCATTAGAACAAATTACATATGGATGGAAAGATTTTCTCTTGAAAAACACGAATAATTTGCTGAGAAATCATATAGATATCATGGAAAGGCGTGCAATTTTTCAAGACCCTTCTTAGACCCCCAAGCACCCCCGAACGTAAGCCAAACACACGAGGGTAGCGAGCTCTGAATAGTGACGTCACACACTGGACAAACGGCTCGGTACCGGAGTCACGCGTGTATTAGTCTGCAGCTAGCCAGCCGTGTCCCATGTGTGACGTCACAAATATTGACGCTCTACAAAGGACCGCTGAAGGCAGAAAATCTGGATCTCAAAACTAACATTTTTGAGAGTTGATTACTGCTGGCCCCTAACATATTTTGAAGAGGAGAGTTAGGCTTCCCCTTCGCAATGATATGAGTTTTGCATCAATTCAAAACACTTTTGATTCTTTGTGTGTCTACTTTAAGTATTTTGTACTACATAAACAATCTTTGCCAATAGGCCATTTTCGTAGTAAAGTTTAATGCATACGTCTTCGTGAAGTGCCTCAAGGCAACTATTTAATTCAAAAATAATTAATATTGTATTTTTACAGTCAGAATGCAAAATGCATATAGTTTATTACCTTTTGTTAGGCAGGGCAAGTCATGTTTATCCTACCTGGCAACTACTTACGTAACATGCAATTCGCATTCTGACTATTGAAAATTTAGTTGTTTATAACAGGTGAATGAACTAATTTGTAATGAAGCAATTGACAAAGATTTATGCATTAAATTTGATTACATTACAAAAAATGGTATATTGCATCTAGTCAGGATCACAATGTAATCGCACGACCATGTTTGTATTTATTTATTTTAATTATTATTACTATTTAAAATATTAACACTAATGTGAATATCAGCATGAGTGCATGTTCTTATTTTTTACTTTTATACACTACCTTAATATCAGACAGCTCTAAAGTAATAAGCTGAAAACATTAAAAAAACGCATCTTAAAATCAAGGTAGAATATATGTTCATGATATCTTTCAGGGTGGAGGGGAATATAAAAGTACTCGGTTGGTACAAATATTTTCTATTTTACTGGAAACTGGAATATTTAAAAGGTATTTAACATGATATCCAACCATTGATTTGTAAATTTCTTTTTGCTTTGACCAAAATTTGTGTGTGCAGGATTTTGCTTTCAAATTAAAGATTTTGGTTCTCTTTTTTAGAAAGAAGAAATGAATGATCACATCTATCCTTTATTTGGTATTGAATTTTACTGCTCAGTAAAGTAAGGAAGGACAGTGGAAATGGAGAGAGAGAGAGAGAGAGAGAGAGAGAGAGAGAGAGAGAGGGAGGGAGGGAGAGAGCAGGCGCGGATCCAGGATTTCTTAGGGGGGGGGGGGCCAAATATTGGGACGTATTGGTGACCAGCAGTGACATAATGCAGGGAGATGTAGGGAGGGGCGAGTTTCCCCCTCCCTCCTTTGCAAAGCGCGGAAGCTATATATGACGTTTCATTAAATAGTCCAGTAGACGGTACCATAGACCATGTACATGACCTGGAAAAGTTTATAAGTACAAGGTTTTTTGGTTGATTCATGTTCTAGATGGGTATTGAAGTAAATTCAGCTTGGTTGCCAGCTTGGCAACCTTCGGCAACCTTGAGCAACTTTTTTTTATAGCCTAATTAGCATAATCATCTAATTATCACAGCCGCGGATCCAGGATTTCTTAGGGGAGGGGGCCCAACTTTCTTCTTTTTGTTTTGCTCCCGAAAATTTGAAAATCGCGCCGGCCGAAAAGTCGCTCAGTGAGGGGGGGGGGGGGGGTCTCGGAATGTGGGGCATCTCGCAAAAGACATTGGGAAAAAAATGTGTCGTGTGAAAAGCCAGGGAAGGACACCGACACAAAGGCCCGAATTCACAAAGGCCCGAATTCACAAAGGAGGTTTGTAGACAAACCTATGTTTATGTGCGTCATAATTATGACGCGTTTCAGACAAAGGTTTGTCTAAACCTTGGTCTGAAACGCATCGAAACGCGTCATATGAAGCACATAAACCTAGATTTGTCGACAAACCTCCTTTGTAAGTTCGGGCCAAAACCTCCATGGGTGCGATGTGACCTGTGTGGACGTTGGCTCCACCTATTTTGTGTTTTGCTCAAAAAACTATCCACAAAAAAGGACTATGTATGCCCCTTTTGTGAAGCGACCTATCAATATTAATGTTCACATATCAGTCCCTTTTTGGATTGCCCTCCTCCCGTCCCCCCCCCCCCCCCAAGAAAAAATATTATCACATTGTTACATGTGTGCACAATATATATTGATGTGTCAACCTTACGAAAGTGGTGTTTTCATAATGAAATTGACCTCCTTAAAATTTATATTTATAATTATGGAAGACTTAAGAAGACAACTGTTTACAGTCCAACTAAGGGTGTAGAGCATGCCGTGTAGACTAAAATGTGCAATGTTGTTCAATTTCTGAATTCTTTGTTTAAAAAACTTGCTTGCTGTCAATAGTGTATACATTTTTTATACATTTCAAATGTCTAGTCCGGTTAAAAATAGCACGTAATGATTTCATTATTTGACACGTACTTCACATTTATTTATCTTATCGATAAGCGAAACGATTTGCTTTAGTATCATATAACAAATATAACAATAATGACAAGTTTATGGTTTTCCTGAAAATTGCATTATACAATGTATATTCATCGTTATGGAAAATGTTGTATAATATACAACAATGGGCATAACATTTTCCAGACCAATGATTTAATTACGTTTAATATTGAAGCTGTTGCCCTATGTATATACATGAACTTGAAATAATAAGTAGCCTTGAAAGTGTCGCAATAAATCATGTGTGAGTGAGCTTGAAGTTTAATGGTTTAGGTTTGTTTGATACTGTATAGCCTTTACTCTGTTTTCAATGAGATATATCTCCAATCAAATCAAACTGAGTGATGTTATCGTACAACTTAACAATATCAATCTTCTGTTCTCCTAAATAAGCCTGGGAAACTTGAAAATTGCATTACAATGTGAATTCATTGTCAGTGAAAATGTAATACAATACACAACAATGGGCAAATAATTATTTCCAGACCAATGATTTAAGTAAGAAGAACTGACATTTTATATTGAAACTGTTGCCGTTGTATATACATCAGGCGCGGATCCAGGGATTTCTTAGGGGGGGGGGGGGCAAAATTTGAAATTATGCGAGCCAAATATTGGTTCGTAATGGTGACCAGCAGTGACGGGTTGGTGGGTGCAGGGAGGGGCGAGTTTCCCCCTCCCTCCTAAACGCGGAAGCTTTGACATTTCAATAAATTATTAGAGAAAGAAGACGATTTGTTGTACCGTTCCCAAAAATAATCCTTGTCTGAATTTAGTTTCCCCCCTCCCGCGCTAAGCGGAAGCTTACGTTTTATTAAATCATTAGAGAAAGAAGACGATTTGTTGTGTCTTTATCGACTCTTAATCTTTGTCTAATTTCAGTTTGTTTTCCTAAGTTCTCTTCCTTCCTTTCATTTGCCCCCCCCCCCCCCGATCCACAAGTTGTTGGCGGGAAAATTGCAACTGATATCCCACTTCTTTTCTTTTCTTCTTCCTCTTTTTTCCTAGCCTGGGAGGCAAGTCCTTTTGCCCCCCCCCCCCCCGATCTACTTCTTCCCTCTTTTCTTTTCTTCTTCCTCTTCTTTTTTTCCCTTTCTCTCCTCTTTCCCTTTCCCTTCTTTCCTTCTCTCTCTCTCCTTTTTTTTTTTTTGCGGGGGGGGGGGCAAGGCCCACTCGGCCCCCTGGATCCGCGCCTGGGAGAGAGAGAGAGAGAGAGAGAGAGAGAGAGAGAGAGAGAGAGAGGGGGGGGGGGAGAGAACAGAATACAAAATAGAGTAAAAGGGTGTGGCAGGGGGGGGGGGGTAGAAAGTGGGGAGGCAAGAGGGAAGCGGAAAGGAGAATGATAATAATAAGAAGAAGGAGAATGAGAAGAAAAGTAGAAGAAGAGGAAAAAGAAAGAGAACAATAACAACATCAAGAGGAAGAAGAAGGAAAACAAAATTGGGAAAAACACTGCAACAACTGAAAAGCGCATCTACAGCTAGCTTTCCATAGAATTTAAAGAGCATCGAATATTCAGATATTAGCTTTCCATAGATCTTGATTGACACGGTGACAAAAATGGCATCATCCGGAGCTCATTTAGGTTTCTCGACCTCCAAATTACTGCTGATTTTCACGCTTTCTATTGGAGTGAAAGCAGTACTCTATGAACCGACTGGCGATGTCTTTGTCCTGGATGATTCGAATTTCGCAAATAATGTTTTCAACTCTGACAAAATCTGGTTTGTCGAGTTTTTCTCGAGCTGGTGCGGGCACTGTATCAATTTTGCTCCTACGTGGAAGTCTTTCGCGAAGGATTTGCTGGGTGAGTACATCCGTGCCGAAGCTGCCGGGGCCGTGGGCGGGCGCGGCGCGGGCCCGACGCCTAAAGTTCGGCATCGCAGTTTTGCTACTCAGGCTTACTGTAATATAGACAGAAATAACCGTCTGATTGGGTCATTTCTTTAATACAATTGACATTTGTTGACATTCCCCAATACAGACGGCAACCAGAGATCTCGTACCGTGGGGGTAATTTAGAGCCACAGCGGAACATGTTTTCGTTCCTGACATTTCTCCCCCGATTTTCTTTATTTAGTCTAGATCTAGATCTAGATCTAATTTTCTGATTACTAAATCAGATGTAAATTAGGTCGGTATATATACCTCCTAATTACAGTTTTTTAAATTTGCTAACCTATCATAGAATGTGAAATTTACGGACTTACTTATTATGAGTTAGATCTATCCAATTTTATCTCAGAACTGCGAAGTAGTACGTTCATGCATTCGAATTATTACCCGGCGGCCGATATATTTCCGGTTCAACCTACCAAAACATAGCCAATGGCCAATCAGAGCACTCATTTCATGGGAGTTCGTTGGTCAAGCCAGGCTGACTCGTACGTAGCTACGGTAGCTATTGGACGTTCGAAAATAAAAAATGAATATTCATCAACTAAAACCAAGACGGATAATGTTGACGGCGAGACTTTCTCGGATTAATCATTAATTTAGGATCTAAATGAGCAAGCTATCGTAAGTCAAATTAGCTATATATATGTTATTTTTAATTTTTATTATAATTGCAGCAGTTATGAGGATGTAAAGAGTGAAAATCTCGTTGCATATCTCATTCATCGCGGTCCGGTCGAACCGAACCATTTGTTCCGTACAGTCCCGTACAGTCCCGATAGGCCATACTTCAGTCTCTATAATCGGAGGTCTAGTGGAGCCAGACGTAGTCTCAGTGGAACAACCGACGATTAGAGAGACTGAAGTTTTCGGTCTAACTGTAATACTGCATTTCTGATGTCAATTCAGAGTTTCAGACCAGAAGATATTATTGGTTTGACTGTAAATGTGACTTTTGATGCTAATGCTTTTAAAGCTAGTCTCAGCACATGTTGACTCAAGTCTAGCTAGATTTCAAAAACAGATTGATGAGCAAGCGGCCATGATTCTACATCTTCAGGATGCTTCCACCGAGAGGGAGAGAAAGCTCGAGGAGTCAATAGGAAGGCAGGAGGCAAGGATCCTTGACCTTGAGCTTTCTGAAGAAAGAAATAGAAAAGAAATTAAGCTGCTGAAGGAAAGCCATGATGGCACGGGTCAACGATTCAGTCTGCTGAGAAGGGATGTGAACTCCCAAGAGCAATACAGTAGGAGAAACTCTCTCAGATTTTTTGGTATCCCCGAGGTTGAAGGGGTGCCTTCAGAGGATGTAATAGTTGATCTGGTGAACACCTCCCTTGGCGTTCACCTCCAGAAGGGGGACATAGACCATATTCAACGGGTGAATTCCGCTATTAAGCCTGGTCCAAAGGGTCCAAGCACCATAATTGTCAAGTTCCTGTCGTTCAAGAAGAGGAACGAGGTCCTCGGGAGTCGACGCAAGCTCGCGGGTACGAGAAAATCCATCCAGGAGGACCTCACGCGCGATAACGCCAAGCTCCTCAAGATGACCCGTGACCATCAACGGGTGAAAGCTGCTTGGACACGGGATGGTCGAGTCATCGCCTTGTTGCCAGCAACCGATGGCAAAGAAATGAAGAAAACCATCTTTTCTGAAGCGGACTTGGCCAGGCTCTAAATTCAACCTTTGTCTATAAATAACTTGATAGCTCTTGCCACATGATATTTAAAACATCTCTTTTTATTTACTACACTATTGGTACTGTTGTTGTTTTGTTTTTTTCTTCATATGAATTGTCTTTTTACTTATCTGCGCAATGTATCCTGTGCGCAGTTATATATATGTTTTCCATTCTGTTCTTTTTGTCTTCCTTTCCCTGTTTATACCTTCCTTTTTCCTCTCCAACTTGCTGTCTCATATTCTATATGTCTCAAGTGTTTATCTTTCTAGTTGTATTTAAGTTAGCTAACCGTTTCCTTATGTCTATGTTATCAGTACTCGTGTTTATCCTGTCACCTATCTTGACCGATCATGGCTCAAATAGATGACCATAATATTTGCAATTTTCTTGAAGCTAGCTTGAGTGATATCAGTGACAGCATTGAAAATATTTCTTTAAGATGTAATTATTCTACAGAACAACAGTTCTTTGAGTCAGTTAAAAATGCCACAGATAAAGAGCTTTCCCTTCTTCATTTTAATATCCGCAGCATGAGTAGAAATTTTGAACATGTGACATCATTTGTGAACAAAATCAGCTCAGGCTTAACTGCCATTGGTGTCACTGAAACTTGGTTCACCAATGAAAATGATGCAAATTTGTTTGTTATTCCAGGTTATAACTTGTTAAGCAATAGTAGAGTAGACAGACGTGGTGGTGGTGTTGCCCTTTATGTTCCGTCTGGGCTCGATTATCGAGTATGTCACGAGCTTAATGTTATGACTGAAAATCTAGAAGCTTTATTTGTTGAAGTCTTTATTTCTGGTAAAAATAATATCGTATTTGGAGTCGTGTACAGACCTCCCAATGGTATTTTGAACATTTTTTTGGACGAAATGCAGAGAGTTTTGGAAAGCCAGTCACTTAACGGTAAATCCTTATTTTTGGTTGGAGATTATAATATAAACCTTTTACAGCACAATGTTGATGCTCATGTTGATGATTTCCTGAATTTGATGTTGTCGTTTTCTTTGTTGCCCTTGATAACAAAACCAACAAGAGTAACTGAATCCTCTGCTACTCTAATTGACAATATCTTTAGTAACTTACAACCTTTTCCCTTATCTACTATTGTTGTGTCGGACTTGTCTGACCATTTTCCTGTGTATACTGTAATTCCTTTGGGAAAACAACTTGTAGTCACCCATAAGAACATTTATGTTAGAAGAAACACCCCAGAAAATATTAATCAGTTTAGAGAGGCGTTATTGGCGACAAACTGGAGTGATGTTCTTTTGAATCAGTGTGATGAGAGTGCCTTCGATATTTTCATGAATAGGTTTTTATTGTTGTATGATGCTAATATTCCAGTAGTAAAGAGTAAAAACAACCGTAGAAGAACTCCACGTATGCCGTGGGTCACCAATGCTATGCTGAAATCAATAAATAAGAAAAATGAGCTGTTTTATAAGTATAAGAAAGCAGGGACGGTAGCTCTAAAAAGGAAATATTCCGTTTACAGAAATACTCTGACTTCTGTGCTGCGTGCAGCCAAAAAACAATACTATTTAGCACAGTTTAAAGCAACTTACAATAATATCAAGGGCACGTGGAAGGTGATAAGAAATGTATTTCAAAAAGCATCTAAAGTAACAAGTATAATACAAATGAATATAGATGACCAAATGGTTGAAGATAAAAATATTATAGTGGAAAAGTTTAATGAATATTTTTGTAATATTGGTCCGAATCTGAAAAAAAAATATTCCTCACAGTCAAACTGATTTTCATGATTACTTAGTAGAACCTAACATGCAAAGTTTATTTCTGGTGCCCACAAATGAAGAAGAATTGCTTGGTATTGTTAGAGCCCTCAAGAACAAGAAAAGTCCTGGGTATGATCATATTGGGAACGAACTTATTAAGCAAGTTATTGTCGGTATCCTTCAACCACTAGTTCATATTTTTAATTTGTCTATGTCAAGCGGAGTTGTACCGATAAACATGAAGATCGCAAAAGTTGTACCAATTTTTAAAAAAGGTGACTCTCAATTACTGACAAATTATCGTCCGATTTCTTTGTTAACCTGTTTTTCAAAAATTCTGGAAAAAATTATTTATGTAAGAACTATAACATTTTTAAACAAAACATGTGTCTTCAGTAATTATCAGTTTGGTTTTCGGGAGAAGCATACAACAACACATGCAATCTTACACCTTATAGATAAACTTGCTTCTGCCTTAGATAGTCGCTTACACACCATTGGTACATTTTTAGACTTTTCCAAGGCCTTTGATACTGTAGACCATGAAATTCTCTTAAGTAAATTATGTCATTATGGTGTCAGGGGAGTCGCCTTGGATTGGTTTAGAAGTTATCTAACTGAAAGAAAGCAATATGTGTCCTTAAATGGAATTGACTCTAGTCCCCAAAAAGTAACATGTGGTGTTCCCCAGGGATCCATTTTGGGACCACTTTTATTCATTTTGTATATTAATGATTTTCAACGCTCATCAAGTGTATTATCATTCATATTTTTTGCTGATGACTCAAGTGTATTTTTTTCTCATAGATGTCCACAAACATTGTTGAAAACTGTTAATGAAGAGTTTCGAAAAGTAATGAAGTGGATTAATGCTAATAAGTTATCCTTGAATCTTCAGAAAACTAATTATATACTGTTCAGTAATTCAGTTAATATTTTGCCAGGCGAAGTGGCATTCAATAATAACCCAATTGAGAGAGTAACTTCAACGAAATTTCTTGGAATATACATAGACGAGAAACTGAATTGGAAAACTCATGTGGACAAATTAAGTAAAGTGGTGTCAAAAAATACTGGTGTTATTTATAAGTTGAGATCATGTTTACCTCGAGAGGTATTGTTCATTTTGTACTCTACTCTTATTTTATCATATATCAATTATGGTATGTTGGCATGGGGCAAATCATCCAAAACTCAAATCCACAGGCTTTTTGTTGTGCAGAAGCGGGTTATTAGAATAATTTGTAAAGCAAATTATCGTGCACATACAAATCTACTTTATTATGAAAACAGTATTCTAAAACTAGAAGATCTATATTCAATGCAACTTGGAATGCTCATGTTTAGCATTCACTCTGGAGACCTCCCTCCTGCCCTTGCTCAAATCTTTAGAAGAAATAACCAAATTCACAGCTATAATACTAGACAGGCTTCTGCTCTCCATTTACCATATGCAAGGACAACCTTCACTTTGAATACACTAATGTCCACTGGCCCCAGGTTCTGGAATTCACTTCATACTACCATAACAAATGCTTCAAGTATCTCAGTTTTTAAACGTAGACTTAAGTCATATTTTCTTGACAAGTATGTCGATGACACATGAATGTGTTATCAAGCTTTATTGTTAGTGTACTGTAGCATATTTAACTCTACTCTTGATCTTTTTTTCGTTAATTCTTGACTTTGACATATAACCCCCTTTATCCCTTTTCTTTTTTCTTCTTCTTTCTCATCTGTACATACTACATATACCATATATTCCTACTTGACCTCTGCACTCAGAGAGCAATAACTCATTGATGTCTCGACTTGGTGTCGGCTTGGGTTTGTCCATATTAGATCATATTAGATGCAACGTTGGGTAGTTGTTCTCTGAGAGTATTTTGTAAATAGTTTTATATATTCCATATTTGTTGTTGTATTCATAAATAAGTTATCTTTGTCACATCATATGAGGGGGCCTTAACTTAACAAGCTGTGCTTCAACCAAGGTCTCCTCGTCTTCCTTTGTTCTACATTGTACTGTTATGATTATACTCTATTATATTTTGTCACATGTGTTTTCTGGAAGACAAATAAACTTGAAACTTGAAACTTGAAACTTGAAACTTGAATCTACTACTGCTCTGAGACTGTAAATTAGTAAACCCTCGATAAAAAGATGAAATAAAATTGACAGATGTAAATAAATGAATCATGTTAAAATTCAAAGTTAAAGGGATAGTTGAGTTCTGTTGCAGAGGGCGTTACACAAAATAATTTTTTTGTGAGATAATGAAAAACTGAGTGTCGAATTTGAAAGAACATAATATTTAAATGACAAAATCATCTTTGTTTGATCAAAATCGGTTCAGAGACGGCTGAAATATAACAATTTCTAATTCTTGTGTACCACCACAAATATTAGATATTTTGACAATTTTTAAAATACCATTGAAAAAACGAAATAACGCCTTTTACGTCGTATTTCAGCCAATGCCGCTGTTGGCATTTTCGTGTTGCATATATTACCCACAATTAGCCGGCTCATGTATTGTTATTTTTGATTAAATAATTAATTAACGGTCACCATGTTTTTTGGAAAGTGGAGCTGAATGGGATGATCGTATTGGCTAAATTTCACACATTTTGGGGTCTAAAATTACCTTCATAGCAATTTTAGGTTCTAAAAGGGCACTATAAATGTCATAGATAAGAATAAGAGCAATAACCATGCACTTTAAAGGCATTTGCGGTCTGAAAACAGAACTCAACTATCCCTTTAAACTCAATTTAAATTTTGAACTTTCGACAAAATGAAAGTTTTAAATGTAAATGATATATTCTCAGTGACAGTGCAGTCTGTGCAAAGCTTTATAGTGATAGAAGCGTAACTAAAATTTAAATTCTGATTAATAAACTTGATTGATTATATTAAAGGGATATTTGAGTTCTTGTCTCAGACGACAAATGCCTTCAAAGTGCAAGGTTGTTGCATTTGTCAACAGAGACGATGCAAACAAGAATAGTAATTTTTATTGGCAATAATTTGTGTACCCATTTGATTTGTATCTCCCAGGGGACTCTAGGAGACAGGATTTCCATGTATTATTTATGTCAACTATCAAATAGGTCCCAGAATCAACCCCCCCCCCCCCCATATGATCATCAGGACAAGGTTTAATTAAACCCTCCTGCACTTCACAACAAACAAAAATCAGCAAAACATTAAAAAATAAAGACCACAGTCATAGTCACAGGTTAAAACTTGGTTTGTTTGTTTTAATACTATTGCTAATGCTATTTGCTATTATTTACAGATACATATACATATGATCTCTCTTTTATAATTCAGATTGGAGACATGTTGTCAACGTAGCTGCTATAGACTGCTCAAATAAGAAAAATACTGAGGTATGCAGGAAACATGATGTTCATGGATATCCTTCATTGAAGGTAAGATGTAATTATATTTCTGGTATCATTGAAAAGTTTGTTTATTCCTGATTACAAGGATGTCTCATTTGTAATGATTGTGGTATACAATGGTATTCTCATAATGAGTGGATTATTTAAAGGCACACTGTCCTACTTGTAGCTACTTGCTCCCTCTACATAGAAAACTTCCCAAATCGGTGCATGTTGGTCCCCCATGATCCTCTTTTTCTTATGTTAAATGAGAGCTGAGTTAATGAGATAGCCACCTGTCACAGTGACCTCGATGGCTCACTGGGCGGTCTAATCCCTTCTTGCTGAAGTAGTAAAGCCTCCCTTTAAAAACATGTTTCGTCTTCTAAACAAAAGATAGTTCATGAATGACTACCTCATCATCCAAAACACATTTCCTCCCCCAAAATAGGCAAAATACACCATTAGCAGTTGTGCATGACCCCTTTGAACATCATTAAAACACAATCCACCTTCCAAACAAATGAAGAAGTCGCTGTTCACAATAAATCATTCAACTTTTCAATTGTGATTTAGTCCCATATTGAGATTAATTGCACATTCCATGAGTAATTAATCATCACAAATGCCATCCTATTAAAGAGGGAATAAACAAGCATTTAGAATGATGCCAAATTAGATTACAATAGTGCATTTAAAACAAGAGATGTCAATATTCTAACTTGAATTGCAGAACTCTTTTGAGGGGTTTAGTAAAAGTACATGTATGTTAAAAGTTAAGTGATAATCATAGATTTTGACACCCAAGGATATACAAGGCCGTTGTGGAAACTAGTTTTTTGGACTTACAATGCTACCCTGTAAAAATTAAAAGGACAAATAAATAAATAAATGAATATGTTATACTGCCTGCACTTGGCTGTGTGCCCTTGACAGCAGTGTAGCAAGGCCATTTGAAACTGAAAGAGTGCAAAAAGAAGAAAAATAAAGTGCAGTCAACATGGCATGAATCAAATCGGTTGGGGCTGAAGAGAATACTTTGACTTACACAATTTTTTACTCATACAGTATACAGTTAAGCTTGTATTTACAAGTCAAATCTTGTGATGAGAAGTCAATAAAAAAAAAGAAATCTCCTTTATTTTTGTTCTTTTGGTTTGAAGGAACTTATCTTTCCTTAGTCAAAACGAATGTGCTCATATAGGTATTGTCTTCAAATTTAATGTGGGCACACTGTTTTCTTGATAAATGTATTGTAGGAGTGGTATTAGTACTAGGAGGAGGACTAGAATAATTGTAGTAGGGAAGTACATTTGCATATCATGAGTGTAGCAGCACTACATTTAAAAGTGGTTACATAATGTATGAGTATCAGATAAATATATACATGTACAATAGTAGTCAATATTACAGCTTTATACATACATTGTAGTTAAGTTTTCAACCCTACAAAGTATGTAATTGTTAAGATTAATAAACTTTGTTTTTGTGCGCGTTTTTTGCTTAATTTCATTGATGTTTTTCATTCTGCCATCTTACCTTCAGTGCTTTTTTCCATTTACAAAACCGGAAAACATGACGGGTGTCAAACTACACAGAGGTAAGATCCAGATGTTCATTATTATCTTTTGCTAATTTCTTTTAGTTTTGGAAACATCAACTTGTTTGACCAATCTACACATGTAGTAACTCAGCTTCAAACTTATCTTTTAGTCTTCTTTAATTGCTATACTGTACATCATGTACAGTATAGCAATTAAAGTACATGTAACATGTATCTAAGTTTAATTTTACCTGCATGTACAGTTTCTAGCTCTTCTTTGTATTGTGCTAGGGACCTTTACACTTACATGTATATGGTTTACAAATTACGATCTCTATCAGTCTTTATGGGCTAAGGTCTACAATGTACTACGCATTCTTGCAATAAACATGTAAAGTATAAATTTTCAATTTTTTTTTGTCAAACAAATGGCAATGACATTTGTATATCACTTCTAAATATACACAGTACTTGTTCAGTTTATATATCTTTGTAATTTATTATAAATGTACTTTTATGCCATATACTTTTTACTCTGTAAACTGAATAACTTCAGCTCTTAGCTGATGTTCAATGATTTTTATATCAAGAAACCAATACAATACAATACAATACAACTCCATTAAGTACCGGTATCCAAATGTTGACTGCTGTCAGGAATTAGGGTCATGGTATTGCCGAAGGTTATCTTGAAACTGCATTGTATATTGCAGTCTCAAGGTTAGGAGCTATAGTCATAAAACTAACAGTGACTCAAAAGATAAACAGTCAATATTTGTTTTACATACCCATAAGGTAATTTATAGTGGGGGGAAAGATGTTTAAAATGGTAGAGAAAGTTACCTGTCTAAAAGTATCACTGCATGTACCGGTATTCATTGCTAACTTCACCATTGCATCCTTGCATTGTACTGACAAGTAGAAATATGCACAGTCAATATTTTTTGCAATACTGCCCAGCAGTCGGTAGTGAATTTCATGCCTTCAGTTGTGACCAATCAGAGACCTAGAATCTTGATGTTTGTATAATAAACTATAAAAAGGGTTCAACACTATTTTTTTTGGAAGGGGCCCGGATTTAACTTTTTACAGTCTGTGTGCATGAACCCTATGTAAAAACTTCAAAATTTTTGGGGTCCAGTCTTAGATTTTTGGGTCCCAAGTGTCCCAGGTGCCCTGCTATAAGATTGTGGGATGCAGTGTAAAAACCATTGTTCTGCTCGCGGGAGCTCTTTCATGATTTGGTGTGGTTAAAGTGCGATTTGCTCCCAGAGATATATAAGTATTCTATTTTAGTTTTTAGTTATTCCTGTATTACCAGTGAGAGCTCTTTTGCAGTTTACCATATGGAGTTATTTTCCCAGTTTACCATATGGAGCTATTTTTCGAGTTTACCATATGGAGCTATTTTTGAGCTTTCAGGAACAAAAATTGATCACCGCTCCTGTATATATTTTTTGCTGGTGGGGTGAAGTTGGAAAGGAAATAATACTTGTGAGATGCCTTTAGATGTAAATGTCCATGTACATATCTGGTGCTGCCAAGTTGAAACTTGTTTGAAATAGCTCTTAATTGCATTTGAATGTTACTTGTACTTGTCAGAGCTTTGAAGTACATTTTTACCAATTTATAAGCAACAAAATTTCTATGGGTGTATCCATATTCCTATACCGTTAGCATATTTGGATATCATACGCCTCAACAATGCAAAGGCAAAAAACAAACAAAAAAGTATAATTGATTTAAAGACTTGCATCGTTTAATTATCTATAAAGTCATTTTTTACAATGTGAAAGAGAGTTATATTATAGACTTATTTTTTTATTCATTCTTAAATTTTCCTAATCTTTGCCTAGGGGATGGTATATTGTTGTTTTGAATAATTTTTATTATTTTATAACTATTTTAAAACAAAGAGTGAATTGGATAATATGAATAGAACTGAACAATATAAAATGCATTCCAAGAAAACTAATTTAATGTTAACAATTTGGCACTGAGTCATACAAAGCAAAGAAAGTGGAATTATGAAGTTACCACTAATATTTGCCTTCAGATTTTAATCTCTCTTTGGATTTGGAAATCAAGGGATTAGTATCAACCCCCATGAGACCTTTGCATCTACCCTTCCCTGTTTATGGATTAGGGCTAATCCATTAATTCATACATGTACATAAAGTTATTTTCCTCTCTCACTGTCTCTCTGTTTCTTGTTCTTTCTTTCTTTCTCTCTTTCTCTCTCTGTCTCTCTCTCTGTTTCTCTCTCTTTTGTTTGGATCTGTCTCACTCTGTCTCTCTGTCTCTCTCTCTCCTCTCTCTCTCTCTCTCTCTCTATTCTCTCTCTTCTCTCTCTCTCTCTCTTCTCTCTCTCTCTTCTCTCTATCTTTCCCTCCTTCTCTATCTCTCTCTTTTTCCTTTTTTCTATCTCTCTCACTTTCTTTCACCCTTTCACTTTCCCTCTATTTCTCTCTCCAACTCTCTCTCTCTCTCTCTCTCTCTGTCCCTCTATTTCTCTCTCCAACTCTCTCTCTCTCTCTCCCTTTCCCTCTATTTCTCTCTCCAACCCTCTCTCTCTCTCTCTCTCTCTTGCTTTCTCTTGCTTTCTCTATCTGTTTCGGTCTCCTTGAGAGGTTTTCAAGGAGGAGTACATGTATATACAGTATGTAATATTGTATTCAGTCTAGTCCATTAAATTATGCATAACCAATTAATGCTGGCACTCTCATTGTACAAGTTATAGCCAAAGTCAAATGATGTGGGTTTTGTTCAAATGCATTACATGTATTGAAAATCAAAACAAATATTTCTGTGATCTTTTAAATGTATATTACATGTATATAAGTATTTAATCTTACCTGTACATGTATATCACATTGTGATATGTGATAGATTATACATTAATGATTTGTCTTCCTCTCCATATATACATGGAATTGTAGTATGTTGCCTTTAATAAAGTCTATTATGTTTGGTAAAATTTATAGATAGTGCTGTTTTCAGCATTCAGCTTTTTTGGCTCTTTTATTATATTATTCTTCCTACGTAACTTGTCTGCAATTATTTTAAAGTCTAAAAAAAATTCTATCATTTAAAAAAAAATGCATTAATAAATGCTTATTTGTCAGGTTTAGCCATTTTGGAGATAGCTTGGACGTAATTAGAGTAGCTGGTCAATTAACGTGCAGAATTTGCTTGTTCAATAAAAATTGCACACATACATTTACTGATGCACTGTTTGTTTTTTGCAAAGTTGTGGGTTCAATCTCCGGCATGGTACTATATTTGTTAGCAAGACATTAATGTTTAATTTTGTCGCTCCATATCCCGGGGAGATATGGGGACATGGTAAGATGACAAAAACCTTTGCGATAGTAATTATCATATTGGCAATTGGCATCAGAAGAAGTGTAGTTGAACTGCACAATGGCTCTTCATTTTGGTTTGATTTTATTTGTCTTGTTATTGAAGGTGGTAGAGATGTGCGGGCTTTGAGGGAGTATGTGGCCGCTCAGATTGAGGAGGAAGCTCAGAAACCCCATCGTCTCAAGCCCTGGCCAGATCTACAACCAGCAGAGTAGGTTTTCTTATCATTCAGGGCAGCGTTTCATGAAACCGTCATATAGGTACAAGTTCACCAACATCTTATTGAAACATGTGTTAAACTTAATACACACATTTCAATGGGATGTTGTTGAGCTTGTACTTATGATGGCTTTGTGAGACACTCCCCAGGGTCCTGTAACGCAAAACTTAGCAAAATTGATCGTACGATTGATGTTGCGATTGGTTTCAACTTTCACACAAGTGATCAATGCGATCAGCGCAAAAAGATCAATCGTATAATCAGTTGCTAAGCTTTTGTGTTTCGTGAAACCATCGTAACAATAAATTGGCTGGCATCCCATTGAAATGCAGGTAGTACAAGCTTTTCAATTGGATGTCGATGAACTTGTACCAATGACTGTTCCTGATATACTTCCCAGTTGAACATGAAGCCCATTACAACTCGATAATTTGTGCTAGAGTCTATTGAAAAGGCTTGTTATACAGAAATTGAATTTCTCCCAATAGAATAAATAGCATCCCTATAAATGTACCCAGTGTTCTGCCTCGTTCAAATACTTTTTTTTGCCTGCAGTTGCCATTCAGTCACACTAAAAAAAAATCTCCAGGAATTTGTTGCGATGTTGTACAGCTTCACATCTGAAGGAGCCTTAATTAACAAAGAAGGAGATAATCATCCTAGTATGAAATGCACTAATTGGGTACCCTCTTTACTTGATAGAGAACCAGGGGAGTGTTTCACAAAGGTTAATGCCACTGTTTGCTCTCACCATTTACTGGCATGATCTCTCAAGGGACTTACAAATCATGGTTACAAATCTACAGAATTTAAATTTTCTGATAATTTATTATCATTATTTATTATTTATTAGCATTGATATTTCTCTTGTTACTGAGTTATCATAATGGAAACCGGTATCATTGAAAAGTTTGTTTATTCCCAATTACAAGGATGCTCATTTGTAATGATTGTGTAATCGTGGAATGCACAGGACACCTGAAATTCACCTAAAGTTCATAATGGTGAGAGCAAACAGTGGCATGAACAGCCTACAATAGTTCAGTCCAACTTAAAGTCAATCGTAGTCTTTGTGAAACACTCCCCAGGTAACCAAGAATGCCCTTCTTTTATTTTCTTGTACCTGTACAGAGCACCTTGGGTGAGTGACTTCTTCACTCATCATCCTAATCATCAGTTTCTGGTGATCATCTTTCAAGGTACTGACAACTTCATGGGAAAAGAGGTAAGAAATTCCATATTCTTAATTGTCATAATATAATTGTTTGAGTTCTGCCTATTTTTATTTATGAGGAGTATACATGTTTGTGATTTAACATTAGCCAGTTGTGTGCTGTCTAGATACAGGATTGGTACAAGTATGCATATAGAAGCATACACAATTCTATAGATTGTCTATGTAATGACAGGCACTCATGACCATTGTAAATGTGTCATCACCTGTAATGTAAAAAGGGAAAATTGATATTCATATTTGCACAAAAATAATACTTCCTGACCTCAAAATTAAGAAAACTCAAAATATTTAAAATAGTTAGAATGTTATGGATGACTGAAATTTCCAATGCGGCGGGTAACATATGAAAATCATTTTTAAAAAGTCCTTGATTGCCTAAAATAGCTCCTGTGAAAGCCTTTACGAAGGCATTTTTTTCATGAAAAATAGCAAAAGAACCCTGTGTTTTTTTTTTTCTTCCTGTCGATATCCATATAATCTTGCTTTTAATCATGCTTTTGAGAATTTTTTGTAATATATTTTCAAAAGTCAAATTAAATATATTTTTTTAATGGAAGGGGACTTACACAATGTAAGGTTATCTCACATTAAGGTTGCATATATTTATCACCTATAGATGTTGGAAATTCACCTATCTGTATACCGGTATCATAAACCTTTCTTATTTCTTTGTAGATCATCTTGGATGTTTCAAACATTGAGAAGGTAGAGGCAAGATGGATGAGGAAAGCAGATAACCCTCTTATCGAGAAATGGGGTGTGGACTCGTTCCCCTCGGCATACATCCTAGACCGCTCAGGAGCCCCTACCAAGATTGTAGGGTAAGATTCATAGATACTTTGGCTTGAAGCTGGGTCATACTGTGGCTGTTGGAGAGGGCATATGGGGTATACTTTTAATTTAAGTTTAGACATAAAATTGTGAAAAAAATGTATCTTATATTGTATAAGATTCATAAAGTTCATGATATATAATGTTTTAATGGAAAATAAGCCTTGAAGTCTTTAAATTGGCAACTTGTAGTGTCCTACAGTAAACATGTATTGTAGGAGAAATTCTGAAGTGCTGAGATGCATTGGTGATAAATACAGTGATTAATTGGAGGATGTACATGTATGTACAGGTACCTAGACAGATTAAATTGTTGCATTAACATATTAAAGTTTTGGGGAACAGACTAAGAGATTTGGATATGAATTAGAAAAGAATTTGATGCGAGAGGCAGCAAATAGCACTAGTTTGGGGGACAGTGTTAACAATTAATTACAATCATACGTTGATGTACCGGTATTCTCCATTTTGTTATTTTCTTTTTTGTGCTCTTTGTAGAACCGACAGGGGCAGCTTCAGTGCAGCCATTAAGCAACACATCAAAGACAATGCAAACAAACAACCCCCAGTCGAACAAATCCTTGATGATACCAACCATTACCATGGTGATGAGATGCTGAAAAAGGAGCATCTATTGGGACCAGGAGGAGTGGTTGGGAAGGTCATCAAGAGCGAGGGAGACAACATCGAGAGTGACTTTGATGGGAGGGACGTGGACGAGGATGGGAATTTGGAGATTAAGGAGAAAGAGAAGGAGGAGGAAGAGAAGAAGAACGAGATGGGGCTCAGTCTGCTCTTGAGGCCAGGCGACAAGGGATTCGTGGAGATGAATAAAGGAGGAAGAGGAGAGAATGATGGAGGGAACGCAGGAGAGGAGGAAGAAGGACAAGGCGGAGGAGCGGAAGCAGGGAGAGAGAAGGAAGCGGAAGGGGTGGGGATACTACGGGAGGAGGTGGGAGGTGCCGGAGTCGGGCTCGATGATGTAGGAGTAGATGAAGGACTGGTAGGGGATGAAGGAGAGGCTGGTGAAGAAGGAGGAGAAGGAGGAGGAAAGCAGAAGATGATGTGGAACAAAGTGCTAGAGAAGAACAAAGAGAAAGCATTGCAGAAGAAGACCAACGTCAGGATGAGCGATCAGAGGCCTAGTGAGTGGTGAGTAAAACACAAGATGTCCAGCTTTGAAATATCTCTTTAAGGATAATATCTGAAATACACTAGTCCTGATAGTATTTTCTGAGAGTAATTCTCGTATGCTTCTCTTACTCAGAATACAAGACAACTTTCTTTAAAACTGGAAGAAACATGATGTACATTGAGTAACAGAAATTTATGATTTCAATAGAAATGTTGCAAGTTCTAGGCATAGTGCTTGAATAAATTCTGAATGTCTAGATGTCATCATATATTATCATCATCAGTTTGTTTAAAGAGATTTCTTTCCTCTGTAATCTTGCTTCTTCCGATGACAATACACTAATCCACATTTGTCACTCTTCATCCAGGTGTAAATGGGTACCTGCTAATTGCTGGGGTAACAATTAATTACAGAACCCTCAGGAAAAACAGCACTGATGGCTTCCTGGGTATAAAACGGAATTCTTCTTTTTATATATATATATAATACATTTTAAATACATTTTTAATGTAATACTTTTGATTGAAGTTGATTCCATTTCCGTTGTACTCCTAGGCCTAAAGTCTACATGCTGGATCTCGAGTCAGCCATCCAGTACTCACTCCGTCAGGAGGTGTCTCTGCGCAGTCACATAGAAGGGGAGGAACTCCAGGCTCTAACCAACTACGTGGGTGTCCTCAGCAAGGTCAGTGTCTCATGTAGCCTATATTGTACCCGGGTATCGCACCATGGACATACTCAAAATGGACGTAAAGTTGATGTGAAATTGGAGTTTAAATGGAAGCAGATAAAAATCAGAGAGTAATTATGATAATACAGTCAAACCTGTACTTGTATATAGCAACCGCCAATGGGAAACACCAAAAGTGTTCTTTGTAGACAGAATCCTTTAGTACATGTTTCAATGAGACATCATTTTCAAGGGAAACAAAAAAATGTGGTCTTTGTAGACAGGTTGTCACAAAAGCAGGTTTGACTGTAATTGCAGTTCCTTACGTTTCTTCTGGCCTTTTCCCTCGGGAACCTACGCCAAATATATTATGGATAGCATAATTATCATATGACGTCTTTAAAGAAAAGACCCTCCGGAGTCATGTTTTAAAAAATTAGCATGTTAGTAATTTTGTGTATTGAAACAAATTCAAAAGTTGTCTGGCACTTTGTCACAGTGATTACAACTTTTAAATATTCATAATTTTTTTCTTCTTTTTTTCCCCGGTTTCATTCACACTTTCACCAGTCTGCTTCTCTGATTTTTCTGCTTTTGAGTTTGTCAATTAAGAATGAATTTTCCTTTAAATCCTTAATTTCATTACACAATTATTTTTGTTTGTTTTACCTGACTGCTATTAAAGAAAGCATGTGTATGGCTTTAAGTCTTCTCCGAGGGACTTGGTAAAGAAGACTAATGCCTTTACAAAGGGAACTTACGAGACCACTGCTCTACCACTGAGCCATCACGCTTCCCTCTACAACACTCATGAATTTGCAAGACTCACAAATTGTGTTGAAAATCAATCAAATCATCTTGGAATAATACCCCTTTTTTCTAATATTTGGATTCCAGTATTTTCCAGGGAGACCTGAGGTGATGTCCTTTTTGTCCACCATCCATCAATGGTTGCTTGAGAAGGAGGGCACCAGCATACCCATACAAGAATGGTTGACCCTCGTTGACCCAACCAAGGTAAGGTCATATCACTCTAGCACAGTCAAACCTGTCTATACGGCAACCACCCAAGGGAAACACAAATAGTGGCCTGTGTAGACAGGTGGTCGTTGTAGACAGGTTCTTAACTACAGTGTACATGAAATCTCACGCAAGCATTTTAAGTGGTCGTTATGGACAGGTGGTCTTAACACAAGTTTAACTGTAGTTTCCTACTCTACATGTAGGTATTCGGTGAGCACGGTGTTGGCTCAGAAAGCTATTTATGGGGTTTCAAAATCCATTTCTATTTTGAAGGAAGGATTCGTATTTTCTGGTGTTCAGAATAGTGTTATAAATCCTAGATTCCTCTCTTTTGCTGAAAACTCCAATGTAATATCATACTGAAAAAAATCCTCTGCCTTCCTAAGTTTGTCTTGAGAGATTCCTATTTTTTTTTCTTCTCCTGAAGGGTGGCGGGTACATGCATGTGTATGCACCTGCAAATCTGCAAATGTGACGTGTGCGTTGTGCAGATCTGTAGAAGACGCTAACAGAAAGACAATTTCAGGCTGCTCAAAAGAATAGACATTTTTAAACAATGTCATAAAACCACAGCCATTATTATTGACCGAAATGTGTTTTGCTGACACATTCAATTGAATAGAACAGTCTACTGCATTAAAAGGGTTAATAAAACACACAGGGATATCCCCTAAATACAATTAACCAAACAAAATCATTAACATTGAACTGCTACAAATGTTTGAGGTGGTTGCTCGTTAACAGTCTTTTAGGTACCCTTTTCTTGTCACATTAGATGCGTATACAAAATATTTATTTAAAAAAAATTAAAAAAAATTTAAAATCATAATTTTTTTCATAATTGTTTTTTAAATTTGTGGACCAGGAACCAGGGATTGGACTCCCTGATCGAGTGGAATGGATTGGATGTCGTGGCAGCGAGCCTCAGTTCCGTGGTTACCCCTGTGGCCTCTGGACGCTGTTCCACACTCTGACTGTCTCTCAGGCTTCACTAATCAGGAGATGTAAGTACAAAAATTTGACGGCAAAATTTCACTTAAATAGTATCATAACGTGAAAGAAGATGTCATTTAAGACACACTTCTTCAAAGATTTCCCTCGAAAGATGAGTTTGAAGACAAATATTGATAAAGGAATACTTTATTTGGGTTTCTGTTGTATGCAGAAAACCTAAATCTTGTATTCTTTCATCAATATTCGACTTCAAATATGTTTGTTTTGAAATACATGTCTTCAATGACATCCTCTTTCACATGATACAATTTAAGTGAAATTTTGCCACCATTTTTTAGCGGCTCCCAACACTTTAGAGGGGCTTTAAAGTAGAAATAATTTCTGCAATGATTAGTTTGTCTCTTAGTGTAATCATTGCACTTATATAGTGAGAGGATACCTTTCAATGATGCAAAATTTTATCAATTAACATATATTTAATGATTTATTTGTTTGATGTTCCGTTTTACCTCTAGATGATAATGTCAGCTACATGGAGGTTCTGCATGCCATGAGGGGCTACATCCTCGCTTTCTTCAGCTGCCAGAACTGCCGAGAGAACTTCCGTCACGAGGTCGCTGACCTGGACGACTCCATCACCTCCCTCGACAGCGCCATCATGTGGCTTTGGCAGACCCACAATCACGTCAACAAGCGTCTCCATGGCGACCCCTCGGAGGACCCCACCCACCCAAAGCAGCCTTTCCCCTCCCGGACTATATGCGCTTCCTGTTACGCGAGCACCAACGTAGAGTTGTGGGAAGAGAGGAGGGTTCTTCGATTCTTGAAGGACTACTATGGGTTACGGAATTTCGCGTTCAAGGGAATCCACGCCTCTAACAGCGGAGCCGCGGACGACACGGACATGGGGACCCGCGCCACCCTGAACCCTGAGGGCGTTAAGCAGGATGTTTTGAATCACTTGCGGCAGAGGGAGATGAGTATTCGGTTAGCGGTTGGGACGAGGAGAGCGGGGTACTTTGGTCTCGGGATCAACGGGGTGGACCTCAGCATGTGCATGGTGCTGAATGTCAGCTGCGTGATGCTCATAGTCTGCGTTTACTTCGTCCTGGTATGGAGGAGGAGAAGGAGAAAGAGGCTCCTGCCTCGATGATGAACCTTCTCTCATTTTCTTTCGCACTCTTGGAGAGTGCCGAAACCAGAGACATGATTAAGACATTTTTGCTATTTATTTACACTTGAGGGGAATGATAACCTGTGGTGAAGTGAGACCAAAGTCGGATGAAAACCGAGGGTTATGTTACTCGTGTTCGACAGGTTAAAGTATCGTGGTGCAATTTGAAATATCCTTTGTAAGGTCAGTTTGTTACTTTGTGGTCAATATCTTCTCTTTGTAAGTATGTGGTAATTCCATGGTAATGAAATGATGCAAAAACACTGTTTCTCAGCCTTTAATTTGCTTCTCAGAAATGTAAGATTCCTATTCCCCAAGTTTAAAACATAGATATCTGTGGTTGGCCTATCAATTTGATGGCTACATTTTTTTCTTCCCCTGACAGAAACATTAATTTGTTTCCGTCATGAAGTTGATGTCCAGGTTAGGTATTTTTTATGACAAATTTACCAATGGGATAAAGCATTTTTGGTCCATTTACACTCTTTAAAGTTCATTTATGACAATTGTCACAAAAAAGGGATGTCCCAGAAGGGGTTAAACAATTATCCACAAAAAAATAATGTCTCCATAGCTTCCATATCTTATAAGTTATAATGATTGTTATCTGTGGTAATAGATTGCCATTAAGAAGTCTTGATGATAATCGTGATAGCAACAAATAATTGGTTGTTACATTTTGTTGTTGATTTTTTTCCTGAAAATTATACAGGGTTGCAGATTTTCGCCCAAAGTGGGATTCTGCAATGTGCCCCGCTTGGTTTCAAGAAACTGCAATAACAATCATGAATATAAATTTATAACAATAATAATAACGGATAAAAGACAGAAGAAAATAAGTACATACATGTATACAGATTCGTTGGTATCCTCCTAATAAATGTGGACCTTTTCAAGATAATACTGACTTGCATATTTGTAATATCATATACATGTGTAGATGGTAATCTGTTTTTAAATCGGGAGAAATATAAATATTAATTTGTAAACATGTTTATTTTTGAAAATAGCCTCATATAGTTTACGGAATCTCATAAACAAAGCAGAAAGTTGATCTTGGCTCACATAGATTCACACTTGAGATACCAACATTTGAGATTGAATTTCTTGTTAAATAATAGAAAATAATTTAAATGACTATATTGTACATGCATTGTGATAAAATCTTTCTTTGATAAGTATTCAACTTATGGCTATTTATTCTTAATCAACTTTGTCGGTGCAGTAATCTTATATCTCAATCAAACAATTTAAATGTTGAGAAATAGTGTTTTTTTTCTCTCTAATCTTGGAAATGCCTAACTTGTACAGTTTAGATAGTTAAATGATAAACCTAACAGTTATATTTGAATCTACTTACATTAGGTTACAAGATCTGAAATGCTTGTGAATATGATTCAGACTTTTATTTTCTTATTTTAAACTCATTGTTCACTCATTTTCTTGTATATGTAATGATTTCTTTCCCTTGCCTGTATTTTATTTTTGTTTATTTCGATGTGATATTTATTCCACACACTTTGGATTGAAATGTCATTCAATGTAGTTTTATCATTGAAAATGTTCTTAGATGGCGTTTTAGTCATTATCGGATTCTTATGGTTGTTGTTTAGATGTTGTTGAAAAATATGTGCGAGAATGACTGCTATGTGGTAAATATGGATAATATGTTCCCAAAGACTTTATAGATATCAACTCGAGGACAATTTGCTGTTTTATATCCCATTACAATTATGTCCTGATCATGTACAGTCAAACCTACTTTAGTGACCACCTGTCTACAAAGACCGCATTTTTTGTTTCCCTTGAAATAGGTTTCTCGTTGAAACATGTACAAAAGGAACCTGTACATAAAGACCACCTGTCTGTAAGCTGTAAAGACAACTTTTCTTGTCTCCCTCGGGCGGTCTTTATTGACAGGTTTCACTGTTATATGATCCCAAAGACTTTCTAGAATTCAACTCAAGGATATCAATGTTTTATTTCCCATAAAAATGATAAAAATCATGTAATACGTAATTGTAAGACTCACATATTTGAAACAGTAATTAACAAGGCTATTGAAGTTGCTTTAGGTGGCTTATCTCGAAAGTTTTTGCACTTGTGTTAAATAATTTTCTAGCTGTCTGTATTACACAGCAGTGCATGTGCCAGTATAGAGTGGTGAAGTGTGACGTCATCAAAAATCTATTTTTATAATTTCTCAATTTTTTCTTTATATTCCAAAAGAACACCAAAAATAATGTCCAAATGTCAAAAACCAATTGAATATGTTTAGTATTGGCTGAGATATGACCATCTGAATAAATATACTCCCCCATAGGAACTCAGTGTTATATGCTCTGGCTCCTAATGGTTAGGAGCCAGAGCATATAACACTGAGTTCCCATAGGACATATATTCATTCAGATGGTCATATCTCAGCCAATACTTAACATATTCAATTGGTTTTCGACATTTGGACATTATTTTTGATGTTCTTTCGGAAAATGAAGAAAAAATTGAGAAATTCTAAAAATAGATTTTTATGACATCACAGCTTCGGTACTCTATATTGTTTTTATTGGAGCCAGAAGGGTGTTAACTCATATACTTTAACACAGAGTTAACCCCCTTCTGGCTCTGAACATGCAATATAAGGTATAGAAACATCTCTGTTTTATATGAAGTCAAATCTGTGTATGTATCGAGAAGTTGGAATTTTGTAATAGGTAAAAATGCGTATGAAAAGGAGAAACTTATGTCAACCTATTTATGTTGTAATGCCTGAAAATGTACCATTTTCGTGGTGCTTCATGTAGTGGTACCTTATGATTTGACCATTTATGTATCCTTGAATCCTTTAAACGTTAACAAAATCATGGTTATTGATATATTCCTAAAGAATCGTTGATAAATGGAATTTGATCCAATTCATAATTTTTCAAAAAAACATGCTGTTTACCGGTAGTTACTTAGATAAATTTTGGCTCGAAACTTTCAGGTAGTGCTTGAAAGTAGGGAAAACTTGCCCCTTCTTTTCTTTGTATTTATCATATTTCATCGTAATATTGTTCAATTTGTTTGTTCTTACATTTGTAAGATATAGCTTATTGTAGAGAAAGCAATATTTTCTAGTCGCTTGTTGTTAATCAATGATAAGAAAGTGTGCATACAGATACTCACCCTTGCATCACAGTAGATTTAGTAATGTCTTACACTGCCATTTTAACTCCCAAATTGTCACATTAAATCTTGTATACATGTACATGTAGTCTTTCACAAGAACTAGTTTTCACTGCACCTTTCCTATCATAAATCAGAGCCAATTATTCAAAACAGTTTGGCCATCATGTTTGCCCAACCTAGCAACATGCTCCATAGTTCTCCCCACTGCAAACAAGTAGGCCAAAATGCTATACATAGCTAGATATCTCTGCCATACATTTTTTTAAAGGAATAGCGCCATCACTTGTTGGATATGAATAAGTTATCCAAATTTCTTATCCAGAAAATGCTTGCAATTCTTTCATCAGGCTTTGATGTCCAATATGTTTTGTTGCATATTTTTTTGACAGTCATGATTGTGTTTACTTCAGCTTCCTATATATATATATTTCTTCATAGTTTTTGCTCCCAAATTTTCATTTTGATTTAAGTTGTCATTAAATATTTAATCTTTTCTTACATTTATGAAAGAATTTGAATTTTTAGAAGAAAATTACCTTTGATTATTGAATTTTAATTGTTGAACTATAATAGTATAATATTTTCAGCTGGTATATAATTATATGTCAATTGTTTTGTTTAAATTTGAATGTATGTGTGATTGTGTTCCCTCTATCCATATATGACTTGGGTTCTTCTCTTTGTCTCAGCATTCCCCCTGTCTCTCTGTTTCCCTTTCTCTCTGTCTCTCTCTGTCTGTCTCTCTCCCTCTCTCTCCCTCTCTCTCTCTCTCTCTCTCTCTCTCTCTATATATATATATATATATATATCTCTCTCCCTCTCCCTCTCTTATTTTCCTTCTATCTGCCTGTAGTAATCTACTTAAAATAACCTATAATTATGTGTTGATTAAAATAACAGGGTAAATGTGTTCATATATAATAATTGTGTGGGTATTCGGTATTCCAGCTTCCTCTTCCTCTTCATTTTTTCCATTCAATTTTAAACTATATTTTGATTTTTGTTTCTTCTCACGATTTTGATATATGCACATGATATGCAAATTTCAATCAAGCTATGATTAATTTTAGGTATGAATTGCAAAATGAATGTAAAACAATGTGTTTGTCTGCAGATGGAATCTTTATTTTTCTTCAGTTTAAAAAAAAATTGCATATGGTAGTATGCAATGTTGTATTATGCACTATACAAGATATTCAGCAATGGAAATATAATTTCAATGTCAACTATTCTTTACTTTGGTAAATGTATTTTGTCGTGTAAGGTGATCTATTTGTGACTTGAGAGCTTCTGTGGTCAAGTGGTTTGGAAACTTGACCAGGGATGTGGAGGTTGTTGGTTCAAGCAGCATCACACCTGTTATGTCCCTTTGTCAGACGTTAGTCTATATTTGCTATTCTCTAGCCAGGTGTAGGGGTTGATGGTCAGGGGAGTGTTTCTCAAAGACTAAGATCGACTTTAGTTGGACTTGAACTATGACAGGCCGTTCATGCTACTAGTTCCTCTAACCATTGGTTTATCAAGGGACGTACAAATCGTGGTCACGAATCTACAGAATTTACATTTTTTGATAGTCCATTATTGAAGGAAAAAATAGTATCTAAAGGTAATAACTTTTAAGGTTTTTCCCTCCAATTTTACGTCTGGTTCAAGGCTTCTTAAGGGCATGAATCGCATACCGTAGTATAAGCCCAAGTCTTAAATATAAGATGTACAATATACAATCTGAGTAACTTTTTTCTTCAACAATGAACTATCAAAAATGTAAGTTCTGTAGATTGTTGACGTCCCTTGAGAGACCAATAGTGAGAGCAACCAGTGGCATGAATGGCCTGCCATAGTTCAAGTCCAACTTAAGTCGATCTTAGTCTTTGTAAAACACCCCCCCCCCTTGTAGAATTTATTACTTGAAATGCACTGTGTACTAGTAATAGTTGCCGAGCTAAAACCAATGTAAATTTAATAATACTGAAAGCATTTTCAAAGCGAATAGTTTCCTTTATACAAGAATAGAATACAAACCATGTTTAAAAGTTTTATAGAATTATCTAACCTTGCACCGCTAGAAATCTCCTTCATATTATTTCCTTCAATTCAAGAGAACATACCTCATTTTTTTAGAACAAAAAAAACACATTGACGTTCTATAGCTTTATTTCTTTGACATCGCACCGCAAAAAATGTCCATTTTCACCCTCTGTTTTTGTGCAATAGTATTCACTGTATAGAAACACAGCATTTATAACAATTCAGTCTTATCTAATTTCTTTTTTTCTTTTCTTACAACCTTTAAAAATCCTTATTACTGTTATTATTTTAACCCTTTATAGAAACAAATAATTTGATAAAATTCATCCTCATCTGGGCCCCATTTCACAAAACTTGTCATCAGTGACAAATGACAGTTTTTGTTTTAAGTCGTGAAATCCTGCTTCTGATTGGTTAACAGCAGATTTGTCACTGATTTTTTGTCATTTGTCATTGAAAAAGGGCTTCATTTGGAAAGCATTCTCTATTTTGCCTCCCACTTTTTGCTTTTTGGGTCTTGATTTCACATTTCGTCCACGTGTATAAAAGTTTTGAAGAAGAATATGCAAAGATGTGAAAATAATTGCATCACTATATATATAAAGAAATTCATACAAAGTGACCCAAAAATAAATAGAAAAGTGATCTCAATGCTGAATTTTTTTTTTTGGGAAACAATTTTGACTGCATTGGCTACATAATGATGTTCCTATTATGTATATTATGAATTTTTGTTTTTGCTATTTTGTGGTGCCTAATTATGACAAAAAGGAATTTTAAACATTTATCTCAGATGTTAAAAGTTAGTCCTGCTTAGACATATTTTATGTCCTTTTTCAAAAACTTTTGTTTTTACTCATGTTTGTCTAGCAAAAACCTGACAAACAAATTTGAAATTGAAGCATTTTATTTATTTTAGAAATTATAAGAGTTGTTGATTATGGGAATTATGTTTTTTTATGAATTATTATTATTTATTTTTTGTTTTGTTAGTTTTTTGTTTAATGTTTATTTGTTTAGCCAGATATCTTACAAAGTGAATATTACGTAGCATCATCATGTTTCTATTTCATGCACCGATTTGCATGAATGTGCACTTCATTTTGGAAATAAAAGTTGTTGTGAATCATTGATTTATATTCTCAAAGAAAATGTAATTGATGTGTAATTATGTTGCAGTAATTTTTTAAAACAGATTCCAAGTTATTTAGAGAAGACTTAAAATATTATCAAAAAGACGATCGTACGTTCCTTTTGTATTTTGTGAAAACTAACAACGAATTTAGATTTTGTTTTAAGGAGTGAGGGAGAGACAGAGACAGAGACAGATGAGCATAAAACAGAGGAACAAGAAGAGTGACGGAAGGAAAGGGGGAATATGAAGAAAGTGGGAAAGGAGAAGAAGAAGAAGAAGAAGGAGGAGGAGGAGCGGGAGGAGGAAGAGGATGATGAAGAGGAGAGAGAGCGAGTGTGAGAGATGGAGAGAGAGAGAGAGAGAGAGAGA